CAAACACAAAAATGGTCTCGATCACCGAGCAAACCGCCATCCTTGCCAAGTATTTGGACTTGCCCCAGAGAGGCAAGGTGTTGGCCGAATACGTGTGGATTGACTCTGAAGGCAACACCCGTCTGAAATGTAAGACGCTCGCCAAGGTGCCGTCGTCGGTCGATGACCTTCCCGAGTGGAACTTTGACGGTTCGTCCACCGGCCAAGCCCCCGGCCACAACTCCGACATCTACCTCAGACCCGTCGCCTACTACCCCGACCCCTTCAGAAAGGGCGACAACATCATCGTGTTGTGTGAGTGCTGGAACAACGACGGTACCCCTAACAAGTTCAACCACCGTCACGAATGTGCCAAGCTCATGAAGGCTCACGAAGACGAGGAGATCTGGTTCGGTCTTGAACAAGAATACACCTTGTTTGACCAATACGACAACGTCTACGCCTGGCCCCAAGGCGGGTACCCTGCCCCTCAAGGCCCTTACTACTGTGGTGTCGGTACCGGTAAGGTGTACGCCAGAGACGTCATCGAAGCCCACTACCGTGCCTGCCTCTACGCCGGCATCGACATCTCGGGTATCAACGCCGAAGTGATGCCGTCGCAATGGGAATTCCAGGTCGGTCCTTGTTCGGGTATCGAGATGGGTGACCAATTGTGGATTGCCCGTTACTTGCTTCAAAGAGTCGCCGAAGAGTTTGGCGTCAAGATCTCCTTCCACCCTAAGCCCCTCAAGGGTGACTGGAACGGTGCTGGTTGCCACACTAACGTCCTGACCAAGCTGATGAGACAGCCCGGCGGGATGAAGCTGATTGAGCTGGCTCTCGCCAAGCTTGCCAAGAGACACAAGGAACACATGTTGCTCTATGGGTCCGACAACGACCAGAGATTGACTGGTCGCCACGAAACCGCGTCGATGGAAGCGTTCTCGTCCGGTGTTGCCAACAGAGGCGCCTCGGTGAGAATCCCTCGTTCGGTGGCCAAGGAAGGCTACGGCTACTTCGAAGACAGACGTCCCGCCTCCAACATTGACCCTTACCTCGTCACCGGTATCATGGTGGAAACCATCTGTGGTCTGATTCCCGACGCCGACATGTCGAAGGAATTTGCCAGAGAAACCGCTGACATGTAAATGGCATTAATTTAATGACAAACTGTATTTTGTACACTAGATATGGAGTAATGAGCATAACCGAAAACGATTGATTCCTTCTGTAGCCCTAGACGCTCTCGCCCCCTCCCCGCCTCTCGCCGCTTTTCGCAACCGCGGTAAGCCTAATTCGGTAGCTATTCTTAGTTTTGGGCGTCAGACTCGGATTGTGCCTAATTAATTAGGAGACGTGATGAGTCAATCTCGCAGTCCGGATTCGCCGGGTGCGAAAACCCGAGCCCTTCGGAACTACACGTCCACGCCACCCGGCTATGCGCTATCTGGACAGTGACCACAGACACCCAGCGCTGTCTGAGACCGCTGAGTGTTGTGACCAGGCCCAGTGTTCAAAGTCGCTTTACATCGTACTTGGGCAAAGAAGAAAATAGACCAGTTGCAGGAAAAAAGCAATCTTTTTACCCTTAACGGGTTTCGCAACTGGCTACGGGTGACGTGATGTGCCAGCAATAAAACCTTCCATCTGGTTTATTGCCAAGAGGGGTGCAAATGAAAACAAAAAAGAAATGGCGCAGGAGACCCGCAAGGCTGGAGTCCTCCCAGTCCTCGCATGCGACGTCCCCCGGGTGTCGCTTGCCGATCGGGAGTGGCAGCACGGTGTTGTTGAGAATCCTGGTAACGACGAACGCCGCAGCCTGCGGCAGTATTTACTGACAGTGACCGCCCAGACCTGCACGCTTAAGACAGGTGTTGCCTTCGCCCGTCAACCCAGCAGCACCAAGCGTGTACACTACCTAGAAAAACACGTCATCCGTTGACGTCACGAGGAAAAAAAAATTTCACCTCTTTGTGCTGGGTTTGATTTTTAGGTGGCGACGGTGCGAAGAAGCGGAGGGGCGATCTGTGTTCGAGAAGCTTTCAATCCTGCATGACGCGACTTCCAAAGAAGGCTCAGCGTGATTGATTTTAGCAGTCACTAGCGATACCAAACATACAGAACATTATCAAATTATATTAGGGTGATCATCTATTATATGGGGATGTTACAGTAGTTTTCATCTGTAAAGGCTATTATAGAAGACTTTGTAGTGGACTGGCTACCATCTTGAAAAAAAAAAAAAAAAANTGACGTGCAAGCCTCCAAATGGTGTCATGATTGAGGTGGGGTTCTCAAATAAAGGGGAAAATTACTCCATATCCACAGGGCATCGAACCCTGATCTCTCCTTTTGAGGTTATGTGGGACATTTACCTCATGGCTAAAAATGGTCTGAACCAAACAGTTGGATAACTCTGTAGTTTGAATTGAAAACTAGGGAAAAAGATTTGCCAATGGCACAACACTATTAAATTTATTCTTTTTTGCTAATCTGCGTTCATATTTATGTAGTCTTCTCAAAATTTGAATACGCCTTCATTCAATATCAGTTGAAATAAGACATCATAAGTCGATACCCGTGGATCGTAGAAGTCAAATATGGTCCCGTTCATGGTTATTACAAGTACTATATGCGTACCTCATAGCCCAAATGACACAACTCAGCCAATTCAATAATATCGCCAAAAGTTTCACTATTTTCCTGTATATAGTGTATAGTAGGAAAACGTTTAGTTCTTTAAGACTCAATTTTCAAAATCGCCGGTCTAGTATAGTGGTTAGTACGGTTCGTTGTGGAAACACAACCCCGAACAAACCCAGGTTCGATTCCTGGGGCCGGCAACATTTTTTCAAATTAACCCTTATCCTGTACACGTCTCTATTTTTGATGCAATCAGGCGAATGCTGATTAAATCTTGTTTTCTAAGTTTAGGTTGTCAGCGTTTTAATGATAATTGCGGCGTAGCCGATTGTGTGTTGGCGCCGCACTGTTATCGCAAAATTAGCTGTACCACCAACCATGGCCGAATATGTATGTGTGCGAGTATTACCACACCCAATTGGAATTAATAATGATACTAACAGTTAGACTCCATTAGTCGTGGACTCTGGGTTCTTGTCAGACTTGAAGAAGTCGATTCGTGAGCGCATCATCCCATGGGAGGGTCTCGCTCGTTCGGGCACGATTAGCGAGGACGACGCCTCCAATATCAAGCTTTTGGAGAAAAGCCAAGGCGACCAGCGTGCCCAAGTGGTCACTAGTCAATTAGACGGTTACGTCCACACTTTACTCGATGTGTTGAATAAAGTTGCCGACCTGGGGAAGACCGACGTCCAAAAGAACGTGTTGACGGTAATCAACGACTTGTTGTTGTCAAGTGCAGACTTCTTGAATGCTACGGTGAAATCTCAGGATCCTTATTCTCTGTTCATCAAAGTTCTTAAGGGGAAGAACGACCCTGCAGTGGATGTGCTTGCCTTGTACGACTTGACGATTTTGATGAGCAAGGCTGCCAAATCTGGCAACAACGAACCTTCTAATGACTTTTTGGTTACTGTGTTCGATCGTCTTAGCCAGTTCATCGGCTCGAAAGACGCCAACTACCAATCACTTGCAGTTCAATTGTTGCAAGAATTGCTCATCACTAAATCGTACAAGCAAGTGTACGCTGACAATCATATGGTGCAAAACTATAAACCACTTGATGATTTGATCGCTCAGCTGGCAAAGCAGGCGGTCGGGTTGCAATTGCTGTACAACGTGCTTGTCACCACGTGGGTGTTGTCGTTTTCGGCATCCATCAACAAGGTGTTGGTGCGTAACTATCCAGACTTGATTGGACTGTTGTTACAAATCGCGAAAGATCTGATTAAACTTAAGATTGTCAGAATCTCGGTGGCTATCTTACGTAACTTTGTTGAGATCGCCGAATCCGCTGACAGTCAGTTCCAAATCATCAAATTGTTGATGTTTAACGATGCCCTACTGACGCTTAAAGTGTTGCGTGAACGTAAGTTTGCCGCCAACTCGAGTGATGAAGAATTGGCCAGTGACTTGGCCTATTTGAGCGAGAAACTAGAAGAGATCGTCCAAACCAAATTAACTTCGCTAGACGAATATTTGACTGAATTGGAAAACCCCAATTTGTTGTCATGGGCACTGCCAACGCACAAGTCGCAAGATTTCTGGATGGAAAATGCTGGCAAGTTCAAGGATAACAACTACAAACTTGTCAATCGCGTATTTGATCTCTTAGCTGACTCCAAGGTGCTGACATCCGGTAAAGTGATTCTTTTGAATGATGTCCAACATCTCATTAAGAACTTGGGCAGTGACTTGATAACATACATCAACACCAAAAACGGTGGTCGTGACAAGTTGTTGGTGATGAACTTGTTGGAAAATAGCAATGGCGATAATGAACTCAAGTACCAGGCATTGAAGACGATTCAAATGCTTGTGGGACACGACTTCTAGACGCACTCTACCCACAGTGGTGTCAAAAGTTACTATAGGTGAATATACACAAGTGTATTGTCAGAAAATGTAGTTAGATCGATATACTTTATGTATAATAGTACCTGTTAGTGTGAGCCTATCTGTTGTATAGTTCACTAACCCGGGCTCACAACTGTATGATTATTCGAACTGAGACGCGCCCTACCGCACCTCAACCCGCGTATATCCATGTCAACATCGTCGGCAAAAACTGCCCGACGGTGGCGGCACCTTCTAACACTGTACGAGAAGGATGATTATGTGCATCTGTGGCCAGAGAAAGTCCGCACCGTACTCGCCGAGCATGGCTTTGCCTACAGTCCCATCAAGGCCAACCGCAACCGGCTTCGATGTGTGTTTTGCAAACAGCATGAGACCTACGACGAGAACAGTGGGACACCGGGTGTACTACAGGATCATTTGAGCTCCCATCCTGAATGCCATGCCCTGTTAATAGCCATGGCCCTGCTTAATGAGCACCTGTCCGCGAGTGAGCGTATCACCCGGTTTCAGAGTCTGGGAAATAGCGCAATAACTGAACCGTTTGCTCACTCCAGTCTACTATGGCGACTTGACCTGTTCCGTGATTTTGCCAAGCTACCACCAGGGTGTCCTACGCCCCGTCAAATGGCCGAAGCAGGGTTTATCTTCAGCCAAGCGAGACCTGATCAAGTGTACTGTATATATTGTGGGCTTGCTTTGGACAGCTGGGAAGTGGGTGATGACCCCATTGTTGAACACGCGAACCACCACCTGGGATACTGCTTTTATTTGAGAACCTTTCGTCAATTGGAGGAACTCAATTCAGAGGATAGCGAGGTGGTAAATTTGGAGGAGATAGAGCCTCGCCTGGATATACGAAAATCTCTGGGTACAACAGCGGATCCCGATGTAACCTCAGATGCCCTGAACTCCGCTGTAGCTGACAGTGCGGACGAAAGTGTGCCTCAAGAGGTGTCCATCAATCCAGTTGATGAACCCTCGAACGGCGTGAACCTATCAAAGAGTTCGAATTCGCCTGATGAAATCAATATGGAGGACCCACCAGTGGATAGTCTAGACCTGCCAGATCATAATGACTTTAATGACGCCCCTCTGCCTGAGAACGTTGCGAATGAGATAATTGCCTCGCCAAAACATAGTAACTCATTCAAGATCGTCAAATCGCCAAAATCCTCAAGGGTCAATAACTATGAGTCTGACGGTCCCCATAGTGTATCGCAGACGTCTCGGCCTTCGCTCGTACCGCCCACAGCTTTTCTCAGAGCATCACTGGAAGCGCCTCTGCGAATTGGACACCGTTCTCGACGGTATCACAATCACGCTCGTCCTGACACGCTGAACGATAAGTACTGGGACAAAAAGCCGGATTTGGCCTTACTCACAAGTCTTTTGGCAGTGCCGGCACCCAATGAGACAACACCATTTCAAACTCAGCAAATTCTGCCTGCGAAACAACCAGTATCATCCTTTCTGCTTGGCCTCTCGGGTATTGATGAGCCTCCTGAAGCAGGACAGGATTATGAGGCAGATTACGACTCTCCGCTTAAAAAATCCCTAGGCCGGCCGAAGTCGCGAGTCCCTGATTCACCACTAAAAGGGCGCAGGAAGCTTTTTGGTGGAAGGTCACCTTCTCCATCCAATGTGCGTGAGAAAGAGAGTTCGCCGCCATTTTTTGTTCACCCTCAAAGTTCGCCTAATTTGAACGGTGAGAGCGTTTCTCAGGAGCGTGATCAGAGCGAAGCTGACAATCATGGGGATGATTTTGGTCCCGATCTTTTCTCTGATCAAAATGAGGATGAAAACAGTGACATGACAGAGGATATTGCTAATATGAGAATCGTGGCCGAAGAACGAAGATCGGTTTTTCATGATACTTCTGATGAGTCTCGCACTAATGAAACCCCGGTCAAGGTTTCTACTTATGAACCCCCTCGTGATGAATATCCCCATGATGAAGTCCCCCGTGGTGAACCTCCCGTCGATGATTCCAATGATGTCGACTCCAATATGAAAACTTTATCAAATGTCTGTGAGCCCCAAGGTACCTCAAATGCGATGGATGCGATGGATGAAGAGAAATCTGAGACGATGGATGTTCCCCCTGCTCATGCAAGCAGTGCTGCTCAACCAACTTCTTTGCTGAAACTGTCTAAATCCCAGAACAAGGTTACAAAACCAAAGAAGAGAGGACGACCTAAAAAAAGTAAAACATCGATTGTTGATCAGGATGCGGTGAGTCTTTCCCTTGAAACAAAGACTGAAGTGGATACCATACCGCGTAAAAGAGGCCGGCCCAAGAGAACTCTCGTTCCCTCAGCCATTGCCGTTGACGACAAAAGCGATGAACGATCGTCTGTTTTAGCTAGTGATGAGATTTCTGGCAAATTGAGAAACCGGGGACACCTCAAAAAAGTAGGAGAGCCGGAAACCATGGAGGAAAACCAGTCAACTATTGAAGAGATCACCGAAAAACAAGGACTGGGGCGTTCAAGAAGAGGAAACCGCCGGTACGCTGCTACAAAAGGCGTTGTTTTAAGTAAACTGCTTCATGATCAAGATTCTCAAGAACAGGATTTGATCCAAAGGGGTGCTACGTCAACTATCGATGCTGTTGCCACTCCTGCGGGCCTCACCAATGAAATTGCAACTGTGCTGACTCAACCTGACCACGTTGACAAAAATGAAGCTTCAAAGATACCTGAGGAGATTAATTCGACCGATGCTACAGCCAATCCTGAGGCAAAGCCAAAGAAAAGAGGAAGAGGAAGACCTAGAAAAGTGAAAGAAGTGGCGATCACGCGAGACGATGCACAAATAGCAGAGGAGAAAGTGCCAGCATCAGATGCAAAAGTTGCTGAAGTCTCGGATCAAATAAATCGTCCCAAAAGAACACGTCGTAAGCCAGCGAGAGAGGCTGAACATCAAGGACTGGGCACCACCTTAGAAAGCGAGAAGTTGGTGAACACTAATCAGAATGTGCAACAAAATAAGGAGGTACTGCTTAGTCAAATCTCAAACCAGGATGGCATGAACTCTCTTAATGACTCAACGACGCGCAAGTCGGTTAACGCATCCCCGCGAGTAACTTCCTCGTCCCTTCATGATGAGGCGATGGATGGAATTGGCCATGTCGAACTTCAGAAGTTAGCAAGTGAACCCCATAGTCCACATTCGGATATTGAGCCCATTGAAGTTGACGAAGTCGATCTTGATCAATTGCGCACTTCAAAACAATATGCTGAACGAGTAGGGACGGAAGATTCTAGTATTAACACTAATCTCCATGAGAAACAGCGCCTTGAAGCCAAAATTGCTGAACCAGATCGCTCAGAAGCTAAGGGTCCAGTGGCTGCACGTGTTGAGACTACAGTAGAATCTGATCAAGAGGCAGTTGAGAGGGAAAGAGAGCGTCAAGAGGTTCAGCGGCAGGAGGCTGAGCGGCAGGAGGCTAAGCGTCAAGAGGAGGAACGCCTTGAGAAGGAACGCCTTGAGAAGGAACGCCTTGAGAAGGAACGCCTTGAGAAGGAACGCCTTGAGAAGGAACGCCTTGAGAAGGAACGTCAAGAAAAGGAACGTTTTGAGATGGAGCGTCTTGAGATGGAACTTCAGGATAAGGAGCGTCAAGAGAAGGAACGCCTTGAGAAGGAACGCCTTGAGAAAGAACGCCTTGAGAAAGAACGTCAAGAAAAGGAACAGCAGGAGAAGGTACGCCTTGAGAAGGAACAACAGGAGACGGAGCGTCAAGAGAAGGAACGTCAAGAGAAGGAACGTCAAGAGAAGGAGCGTCAAGAGAAGGAGCGTCAAGAAGCCGAGCGTTTTTATTTGAATGAGCTAGCTCACGAGTCTGATCTGATCGTTGCGTCCGACTCAAGCGTCTCTTACAAGGATGTTCATCAATCACCTTCTCGCTTCTCACAAGAAGAACACGTTGAGGTATCAGAATTTCGAGACAGCCGGCTTCATCTTGAGATCTCAGGTAAAGATGAACATGTGGATTTTACGCACGAAGTTTATGCGGACAATCACTCTGAAGGTTCGCGGAAAGACCTGTGGTCACAAACTCCATATGAGGGTCACTTAGTGCTTGAAGATTTCGTCAACATACCCGCTGATGAGCCGAATATCGACGCTGACATAGTGCACCAACGATCAGAGCCTCAGTATCCTCGAGCGATTCATCCGATTTCCACAGACGTTGGCAATCAAGCTGACAGAAATATCAAACAGGCCCAGAAGGTGAATGGCGCAGTGCAATCCGAGGTGCCGCCAGTCTTCGACGAAACCATGGCCACATTTTTCCCGTTGCCGATAGACCTGTCGCGGGAATCTAGCTCCTTATCGTCTCTGCCTATACGTGTCGGTGCCGACGTCTCCGAGGCGGCAAATGCTAGTAAGTCTCCGATTGTTGGACCTTATTCCTCAAGTGATGACTTGAGTGAATCGGAGTTGCATGATGATGTTATGAATCCATCTGGCAAGCGGCACGAGAGTTGGCGAAAACGTCGCACGAGTGATGCTAGTGAATCTCCAACTAAAAAGCTGAAATCGCCAGCTTTGACTGAAGTTGAAAATACAGGTGTACTCGATGTTGTCACATATAAACGCGCGGAGACTGGTCTGGATCGGTATTCTGAGGACTCATCAGATGAGTCAATCATTGCGTCACCTAAGGCTGACCACCGGGAAGCAACAAACAAGGCAAGCAGGCTTCCATCATATACGGTTTCTTCGCCGAGATCACCCAAGTTGAGGGAAGATTCACAATCTAGATTATCATGGGGAGCACGAATTGAAGAACTTCACGATGAGAAAGAGTCACAGAAGGAACCGACGCTATTGGAAAATAAAGAGGAGGAAGTCAATGGAAAGCTCATTATTATCAGCGACAGTGAGGATGAGATTGTGAGAGCTAAAAATGGTTCTCATGAAGGTTCTAAGCATGGCACAGACTCTAACTCATCCGAGATTGATCCATTCGACTTCACACATTGGAGCCAAGAGGATGAGCTGGTGGAACCTACCCACCAGAGTAATGTTCTGTTGCATTCCATTGATCGCAATCGCAATGAGAACCTCGTCAGTTCAGTTCTGCCTAACAAATCATCATTTGATCTTTCGGTGAAGGATAGTGGTTCCAGAAGTCGTCATGATACCAGTCATGGTTCTAATAAATCCATATTGGATGAGTTATCGATGGTGTCTATACCTCGTGGATCCATAACGAGAGCGCTGCCGCCTACTCATGCACCACCGACCACGGCATCTGATGTGAGAAAGGTTCTGTTTCGGGAACAACCCGAATTGAAAGCTCCGAAACTTCGCGAAAGCGAACGTTTGATGGCAAAATATGGTCTGGCAATCAATACGCCCCGTCGGCGACGCCCTCGTTCCTCACTGGCAGCATTTTCGCCGATCGACTTTGACTTGGCCACAGCGTCTACGCCGAAACGACACCATGACGACCCGCCTTTGCCTGAGGAGCCGTTTGATGAAGTATTGAAGCTGCACCAGCAAAATTTGAATCGAGTTGAGGCTATATCCAGCTACTTGCGACTGGTGGTGCATACACCTTACAGTCTTCATGACGATGCCGACGGCGTGCTCTCAAGTTTTGTGGCAGGAATGCCGGAGCATGAGAAAGAGATGACTATTGAAGAGTGGATAAACCACATGGCAAAAATCACCTGCAATAACGTGGGTGAAGAAGTCGAGCAATTGACGAAAGTTTACGAAAAGCATTATTACCAAGGGCTCTCCTGGCTTGAGGCACTTGAGACAGATGACTAATACCCCTAATGATAACATATTTATAGAATGTACCATAGTAATGATAATGATTAACGAAATAATTTTGTCTGATGTTATCTGTATTATTGATGGTTAAATTAAGTTTTGGCTTCAGACTTGAGCCACCACAGCACCATCGGCCCGCAAGTCCAGCCCACCGGCATATACAAATCTGCCATCTTTAGTCTTAGTTTTCGTAATGATTTGTGCTCGACCAAAAAGTGACCGATTATACCCTTGAGGATTCATCGTCTTGTGGCCCATTTCCTGTAACTGCTTGATAGTTTCCTCAGGAATACCCTCTTCCAAGGCAACCACAGTCCCAGTGGTGTGAATGGGTCCATGAGACCCTCGGCCCCGGTCAGTTTTGGCGTCGTAATCGGATTCAAGCACGAAGCGAGGCAGGTCAATCAGCTGTTGGGGCGTCATTCCAAATACAAGCATGTTCATGACATGTTGTACGTGACACACTGGTTGAGCAAACCCACCCATATTGCCAAACAGAGCATATAATGACCCGTCGTCATTGGTAATCAACCCGGGAATAATGGTGTGGTAGGGTCGCTTCAACCCTTCCAAATGATTGGGGGCTCCTTTAGTCAAGTTGAAACCGGCACCACGATTGTGCAAACAGAATCCTTTGTCGCCAACAACAATACCGGTGCCGAAACCCTCAAAGACAGAGTTAATGAATGAGCAAGCATTGCCATCCTTGTCTGCCACCGACAAATACACCGTGTCACTCTTATACTTTGGATCGGGGACACCAAAGGTATAGTCACTCCCCGGTTGGGAAGCGCTGAGCATCTCTGCCCGCCGACCTAAGTATTCAGACGACAACAAGGCGGTAACGGGAATTTTGTGGAACTCCATGTCGCAGACGTATTCTTCAGAATCGTGGAAAGCCAATTTGCACGCTTCGATAAGTACGTGAAGGTATTCCGCCGAGTTGTGCTCCATATTGTGCATGTTAATTTTGCCTTGGTGCTGAAGTTCTTGGATCACTCCCAAAGCAAGCTGAGCAACAAGACCGTGGCCATTAGGAGGGATTTCCCACACTTTTTTCCCTTTGAAATCAAGCCCCACGGGGTCGACAAACGTCGACTTGTGGTTAGCCAAATCCTCAAGGGTCAACTTGTGGCCCTTGGCTTGCACGGTATTGACGATGGCTTCGGCGATTTCTCCAGTATAGAATGCCAGCTTACCGTGCTTAGCGATTTTCTCCAAGGTGACGGCCACCTCTTCATTGTACACTAAGTCACCTTCCTGAGGAGCTTTGCCGTCAAACAAAAAGGGATTGGGTGCGTTGGGTTTGTTTTGTCTTTGGAGCTTCCCCACTTCACGTTGCCAGAGATTGGCGGCGATTTCGTGGACCACAAACCCATCACGAGCAAGACGAATGGCGGGGGCGAGGATCTGCTCAAACGTCACCTTGCCCGAACCCCACAACTCGTAGGCATCATACCAACCGGCAATGGCCCCGGGGACGGTAACTGCAAACACCGACTCGTACGGTATGCGCTTGGCGTCGGCGCCAAGTTTCGATTTGACGTAGTCAATGTCGATGTCCTTGGCAGCTCTGCCCGTCCCATTGAGCCCCATGATCTCGCCATCTTTGTAGAAGATGGCGAAGCAGTCACCGCCAATCCCCGTCGATGAAGGCTCGGTGACACAAAGGGCCGCCAGGGCGGCGATGGCAGCGTCGACACAGTTTCCACCCAAGTCGAGGATCTCGAGGCCGGCGGCATTGGCTAACGGCTGCAGCAGCGCCACCATCCCCTTGGTGGAGTAGACGGTGGATCTTCTCGAGGGGAACTTCATAAACTCACTCTCCATGACGGAAGGCTGGGGACGTCGACCAGGTTTGTGGGGAATCTTTATACGGCTATCACTGCCTGCACATAAACTATGACTCCACTCGAGGCCCAAGCGGCGGGGCACCACGTCGTACAGATCGGGCCGGTCGATTCGTGCATATAGGCGTTGAGGTGGATATTCACCAGGCGGGGCTCGCAATGCGCGCCACCATCCCACTAGTTGCGGTATGGGGGTACACCAGCTATGGGACATCCTCGGTCCTACCGCACGTCCCGTGCGTCTCGAGCTGCTTCTGCGCAAGCGGTTGGCGGTGGATGCGTCGATCTGGATCTACCAGTTCCTCAAAGCCGTGCGTGATGCCGAGGGCAACTCCATCGGGCCGAGTCACATCGTGGGGTTCTTCCGCCGTATTTGCAAGTTGTTGTACTACGGCATCCTCCCGGTGTTCGTGTTTGATGGTGGGGCACCCGCCCTTAAGCGGGAGACCCTTGCCCTACGCAAAAAGCGCCGGGAGCACCAGGCTGAATCGAAGCGTCACACCGCCCAGAAGCTTTTAGCAATGCAATTGCACAGCTCACGACTGAACAAGAACAACTATTATGATAACCCCATGACTTCAACCGATGCACCACCACCATCGAAGCGGTTTCGTAAGCAGGACGACTTCCACTTGCCCACTTTATATGAGTTTCGAACTCTGGATCGCGATGAGCGCGTACTCAGAGGCGAAGGGGTACCTCATCAGGACAATTATGACTTTGACATTGTCGATGGGATAAATATCAATACGGTAGACCCAGAGTCCAAGGAGTTCGCTCAGCTTGCGAAGGAAACCCAGTATATGATTTTGTCTCATTTGCGTCTCAAACTGCGGTTGCGTATGGGGTACCGTAAGGAAGACTTGGAGGATATGTTCCCCGACCTGTACGATTTCCTGAGATTCCAAATAAAGCAAGTTCAAAAGCGTAACTTTTACACTCAGCGGCTTATGGAAGCGTCAGGCATGAGTGGTGATAATACTCTCAGCACTCATAGAGTTGCAGGGGAACAGGACAGAGAGTATCAACTTGTGAAGAGTGAAAACGGGTGGACCCTCTCACTTGGTGGGAAAAACTCAGCATCTCTGCCGATTCAATTGGACGAATACGGTAATGAGATCAAATCCAACCCGTCCCTGTCTCCTATAAAACTGTCCCCAGTTAAGCGATCCCCAAGCAAACTTCATTCGTCCCCAACTAAGGTTGTCGCTCTCTCCTCAGATAGCGAACAAAGGGATGCTGATAATCTAGATGCCATCAATCAGTTATATGCTCAGATGAATGACTCCGACGAAGAGAAGAAAGAACCATCGCCAACACCAGCTTACATTCCCAAATTAACTGACTTCGCTCCACAAACAGAGACATACACAGAGCCGCCGTTGAAGACCGAGACGGAAGATGTACAGTTAAAGGAGGAAAACGACGATGACGACGATTTCGCATTCGGTCTGTCGCTTCTTGCTGCCCCTGCTCAGTCCAAGTCCAATCCACTGCAAGACAAAATCGAAGAGGATGATGATGATGATGATTTCGAAGACGTTCCACTCCACGAAGCACAAATCGATGAAGTGATAATCGACAATGGAAGTCCCAAAAAGACTTTGGACAATGAGGTGAAGCCGAAACATGATGCTGGCGTGCCTGTAGGCAACGCTACTATCGAAAAGACCTCAGCGGAGGCGATGTCTTTTGAAGTTGAAGATAATGGTCAATTCGATCTGGAGCCAATTGAGGTGCTACAAGTGGATGAAAAGTTTGAACAAGGTGGTGATGAAGTCGTCGAAGTCGATAACGGTGGGAGCGATTCAAAACCGGAGAAGATTGAGACTACCTCGCAATCCAAACCTATCACACTTCCACCTACTGAGCCTCTCAATCCTCCTGATTCTACAACTGTTGATTCTGATGACAACGAGCTGAATCTTCCCCAGTCTCTGCCAGTCTCAAGAAATCCTGATTGGTTTAGCCAAGACCTCAATAATCCTCACATGCCACGGCAGACAGTTGCGAGTAAGGAAATGACAAAACCTAGTACTAGCAGCAACGCAGATGGTTTGATCTCATGGGGTGAAGCTCAGGAACTTTTGGAAGACGACGACGTCGAAGACTCCACGTTCGAAGCAGATGACATCCAGGAAGTTGACCCTGCTATCGAAAAACTTTTACCTCTGTCACCTGCCAAAGAAGACCTCCCCCTGTCTGAATTGCAAGCCCCAGCTGAGGTGGTTGATTACGAGTTCGAGGAGGAAGAGGAGGACGAAATCGCAAAGAACCTTGCAGCTGAAGAGAATTTACATGAAAAGTTCAATCAGCAAATGGCAGACACTTATCGACTGACCAACAAGACGTCCAATTCATCAATCCAAGCAAAGCAGTTGCTTCAAGAAAAAATTGCACGGGCTAAGCGTGATTCAGATGAGGTGACTCAAAATATGGTATTAGATGTGCAAGACCTCTTGTCTAGGTTCGGTATACCATTCATTGTTGCACCCATGGAAGCTGAGGCGCAATGCGCTGAGCTTCAACAATTGGGACTTGTTGATGGAATTATAACGGATGACAGTGATTGTTTCTTGTTCAATGGCACGAAGGTGTACAAGAATATGTTCAACCAAACTAAATATGTTGAGTGCTATCAACTTCCCGAAATTGATGACAAGTTGGGCCTCAGTCGGGATAAGTTAATTGAGTTGGCTTTACTCTTAGGAAGCGATTACACTGAGGGAATCAAAGGTGTCGGTCCCGTTCTAGCTGTGGAAATTTTGGCTGAGTTTGGAGATCTCAAGCTGTTCAAAGAATGGTACGATCGACAATTGACAACGTCATTAACCTCGAAGCCACTGGATGAACAAACAAAGCTACAAAAAACGCTTGCGACCCGCGTCAAAACAGGTAAGCTTTCTTTGCCAGAAAACTTTCCCGATAGTGTTGTAATTCGTGCTTATACACATCCAGAGGTTGACCGTTCGAAATCACCCTTCAAGTGGGGTATTCCAAATCTTGATCGTATTCGTACATTCTTGATGTACAATGTCAACTGGTCTCAAGAGCGTGTGGATGAAATAATGGTGCCATTAGTCCAAGATCTTAACAGAAAGAAGGCTGAAGGTACGCAACTGACGCTTGGCGAATTTTTCCCTCAAGAATACTTGTCATCCAAAGAAATTAACTTGGGCAAACGGCTCAAAGCAGCAACTACAAAAATGACCAAGCGTAAAAAGAAATGACTTTATGATATTGTTATGTGTTAATGAATTGAAAATGTAAGAACTCGATCCTCCAACTTTTTAGAATTTCAGATTTTGAGAAAATTCTTTGAACTTGAATCTTGCAAATGATTTCATTCCAATTCATGATAAAACATGGATGCATGCATGAAGGTCATAGAGATTGATGGACACTTCCTGTCATATACGAACACATTTCCATTGTATTTATTGGATATTAAATTATTTTCAAAATGAAATTCGCTCGCTCATTGATAGGGCTATGTATTTTCAAAGACACTCACAACCTGAGACTGACATCAAAACATCAAAATCAACATCCGCATGCTCCTTATTTGAAAAACCATGACCTAAAAAAGCAAAAATATCAATTCAGATAGCTCTATATTGCACTGTCAAACTTAGAAAAAGCACAAGCGGGGTGTGTGGTCTAGGGGTATGATCACTGCTTTGGGTGCAGTGGGTCCTGGGTTCGAATCCCAGCACACCCCCTTCTTTTTGAATTTTTGCGAGTTGTAATATCGTGGATCAGCAGGCATATCTCCAAGAGGGTATGCGGGTAGCAAATCCCAGTTGCTAAGCCTAACGTCCCGCCCGATCAATTTCAGAAGTAATGCGGAACCACAATTCGAATAGGGGAAAATTTCAGATTAATAGCCAAACGATTACATGCTTCGTATATTTCATTATTTCTTGTTGACGACATCAGAACCTAATCTATAGTTACCAATGGCCTTGCCCCAGTTAATCTTAGATCTGGTGACTGGTAAAAGACGCCGCAAGTTTTTGAACAGCTTCTGGTTCAAGTCAGTGAATTTATCAACCACTTTGAGAGTGACATCGTTTTCAATCTTCTCGATAACCAGAACAACATCGCTTCCAGAGCCTTCAACCTTTTCGTTAAAGGTCATGCGAACATTACCTTCTTCGAAGTAGTGGATAGTGATAGCGATTTCACCAACCACTTTCGATCCGTTAATCAGATAATGACTTTTCCATTGACCACTATAGTAGTTTTCGAGGTTGTTGCGTTGCCCAATAATCACGATTTCCGTTGTCGAACCCGGCACCACAGTGAACGCATACGTCGACGGGTAGTGAGCCTCCCCGTAACGCTCCAACAGATTGACGAGGTTGGCGTCGACACCTTCGGTTTCAAAGTCTTCGATATCAATCGCCTTCAAGCCATCGACGTTGTACAACTTCTTGTTGACGTGGCAGGCGTACTTGCCTTGATGCGAGTTCCACTTGGAAGCGATTAACCCCAGAGCCACCACCCCTTGCTCGACATAGCTGTCCACGGCAGCCAGGATCGCCGCAGGGTTATCAATGATCACGTTCAAGTCCTCAACGACGTCGGCCAACTCGCCGGGAGGCGCAGAGCTCACGAGCTCGTTCACGGTCTTATTCATGGCTATCGAACAATTCGCGCACCACGCTTCAACAGTAGTCCGCGGCCGTCGGTGCGACCCCGACAAATGCAATTAGTCGTATTCTTGAGAACATTTAGTAAGATAGGTTTCAAGGGCCATGAACGAAAAGCTTATGTTCTCTACAAAACCAAATATACAGCGAGTCCGATTTCTCCGTTCCTATTCCTAATCCTATATATCCCATGCATATTAAGACAACAAAAACACTCCCGCCCCATCATTAATCGCTTGCAAGAGCTTGCTGCGCATCACTTCAACCAGAGAGTAGTCCGGAAGCTTGAGATAGTTAGCGCACGTCATGACCGAAGGCAAATAGTCGTCAGCGGTGCCCAGTTCGGGGAGCTTACGCACCACCGTCAACTCAGGACGCAACGCTTTGAATCCACCAATTGGCAATTTTGGCAGACCCGTCATGAACTGTAAAAATGCACGTCTCTCCTTAAGACTGAGTTCAGCCAACACCTGCACCAAGCGTGTGATTGCCCGCAGATCGCGAGTATACCCGTGGTTGGCATGAATCGCTTCGATGAGAGTAGCGCTGCTCCAATCTTCGTCCGCTTGGCCAAGTAATTCGCAAAGCTCGGGGGGCGTGAAGATTGCCATCAGATCAATGGGGAACACGAGAGAAAATCCCTCCTTGAAGCGATTGACCTGTTGACGAACGTCCAAAGTCTTTTCGGTGACCAATTCGACGTATTTATGAACGTTCTTGGTTGTGACCAAAGTTCTCGCTCCTCCCTTTACGAGCTCAATAGAATCATAACCCGGCAAAGTGAATTGAAGATCCATTTCCGCCAACTCCTTAGCCAGAGCATCCAATAGACGATGCAACAGCTGGGCTAACTCAGGGTCAACAACCGACAATGTAGTCGAGCCCCACAACATCTGAAGGAAACCGGGATTGAAGTTCATGTCCACAAGGCGCAGATCCAACAATGCCCGACCGACAAACTTCCCAAGGGTATAAAACAAGAACAAATTCTTCTCGGTTGCTTCGGGCAGTGGGAACAATAGTTGGGAGTTTGCACGCCACATGGTCAGTACCTTAGAGAACTCGTGCAGGACAGAACTGTAAAACTCAAGCGTAGGCCCAAGCCCCAGACCTTCTTCGTCAAAGTACTCAATTTCCAAGATACCTGGCAGCAGGCCGTAATGTTCCAAGACCTTAATCGCCAGACCAAACATGGTTTTACGCAGAATACGTACTTTCTGGCGAGTAGGCCGGCCAAGTTTTTGGGCCCCGCTGTCACCGTCATCTTGGGTACGTAACTGCCAATGATGGATGAGACGCAGATATCCAAACAGAGTCAGCTGGAGGAAGAAGAGCCGGGTGCCCATGGGGAAGAGGAACGGGAAATACTTGGTGAGGTATACGATCCACCCAGGAAGGGTCAGAGCCACCACCAAGGGTTCCTCTAATTGACGGTTCATCTTCTTAGTAAGCTTCAGCGAAACGAACGACTCGCTGGGTAAGCGTTTAAGGTCGTAGAGCTTTTGCAATAACCGCAATACCCCCAAAGTGGGTTCGCCCACGCTGATTTCGCTGAACTCAGCACCAAGCGCACGCGATGGTGACGCATTGGGAGAAGACGGTGGGGAGGGTTGAGTACCGCTAACACCTTCTGGGTTTACGGTAGACACCCGTTCGTCTTGGTTTTCAGGAGGAGCTAACTCAGTCTCTACTACCGTCGAAGCTACCGCCTTTTCAGTAGATTCAGTCGCAAACTTGACCTCGTGTAAAGTCCACACTCTCAGCGGCTCAATGATTTCGTCCTCCTTTGTTTGGAGCAGTCGATAGATAGCACCGAAGATCGTCATGTCCTTCGGTACAGTCTCATCATTGATGGTGAACTCCACGCCCTTGAAACCAAGACGCATTAAGTACAGTTCGACAGTGTTGAATGTGGCAATCGCATGGACACTCAAGATCATTTGTGCTTCTTTCAGAACCAACTTGATCTTGATCTGTTTAGCCAAATCATGCAGAGCCGATATAATTTCGAATGGTTCGACTCGATCCAACAGTTCATGAAGTTTAGTGACAAGCGGAGCCAAGTCCACCTCTTCAGGAACCTCAAGCGGCAAAATCAAGTCAACAAGCCCTATAAGTTCATAACTCAGCACCGTGGACAAATCTTGCCACTCGCCGCGAGCAAGACCAACACGAATCGCATTGAACTTGTCCAAATTTCTCTCGGGAACAAATCGCTTGAGTTCACCAGTCACCTTGCGTAACCTGAGCATAAGCTGGTCTTGAGGGAGGGGAACAAGGCTGAGCTCAGGGTCTTGCTCTAAGTGGTTCTGCACACTCGTGGGGCGTCGGAGCGATATGGGAGACCAGCGAGGGAAACCAAACCGAGAGGTTCGCGGTTCTTCATTGCCTTCATCATCGCTACTTTCACCTTCTCCCATACTTTCATCATTATCTTCGTCGTCATCGTCGTCGTTGTCGTCGTCGTCATCGTCGTTGTCGTCGTCTTCAGCATTGATATTTTCGTCATCGCCGTCGTCGTCGTTCTCATCCTCATCCACCGCCATGTTGGCAAGGGTATCAGAGGCAGCGATGTCATTGGCAGATACTGATGGTAAGTCACTGAAAAAGCCTTGACGATCAAACATATCGACCAGTTCAGGGTAAGTTTCCATCAACTGACGGGCGATTTCAAGAGCACCAAGTCGAAGTAAGTTTTCGCCCTTGACTGAACTGACAAGTTTTACAAGGCCCAGAACGTCGGGAATGCGCCAGCCACCAAAACCAAGAATACGCAAGATGCACACAAGGCCACACTTGCGGATGTCGGCATCCGTCAGACCAAAAGTTTCAAGTAAATGAGGCCACACCTGCTCTACAAACCGGTGGTAAGCAGGGCCAATCTCCCGACACAAATCCTCACGATCAGGATCTACTTTAAGCGGCTTGCTTGCCAAGACCAGATGACGCTGGACTGGTAACAATTTTGCTATGAGATCGAGGAAGCTTGCGGTGGCACTGATGCCTTGCCCCACGTTGTTTTGGAGCAATTCCCGGCTGAGCTCCACCAGGTTTGCGCAGATAATCACCAGTTTGAGCACGAGGGCGTTTGTAGCCATAACCTCGATCATCTGGGGTAAAAGCGGAGCCATGAGTTCTTGAAGCATGCGAGGGTGGTTGCGATACAGCACCACAATGCGAGAGATGGCCTGCCACGCGCTCAGCACCACTTGAGGGTCAGGGTGGGTGACACAGGTGGCAATGTTGTCAATGGCCTCTTTGATTTTGTCGAATTGGGTGGTGCTAACATTTGTACAAGCATTGGCTACAATAGCAATGCACTTGCGCTGGGCGTGGATGGTCAAAAAGTCGAGGTAGCTGAGACATTGAAGCCCCCCGAATGATAAGATGGAGAAATGACTAAGGTTATCCCGCAGCATCATTTCCAACGTTTGCAACGCTTGCTCGGTCAAGTCGATGTACTCAACCGTGGCCAACTTGGCGCATAATGCTCGCACGGCGTGGTTGGCAAGCGCATCATGAATGAAGTCTTGATTGACTTCCAAAAAGTTGTATAAACAGCGACACGCGATAAGCTGAAGCTCGAGATCATCTTGAAGATTAGGGTCCTCGAAAATCTCCACCAACGCCTGAGCCAATTGTGAGGCGGGGATGACGCGTTCGGCGGTGATCCCGTTCATCATGAGTAACCGTTCCAGCAATACATTAAGCAGTTCCAATACCACGTAAGGGTCCTCTTTGCGGACTAAGTTTTGTACAAGACTGTTGATTTCACTATCGCCGCCGCCGGAGGCCATCAGGCTCTGCCCGAGTCGCAGCATCACCTCAACAAGGTGGGGGCCGCCAAGCGCCCCCAATGCCCGCAAAAATTCAGCCCGGTGGCCCTCTTCGTCGTCGCCGGCACCCAGTTGGCCCATAAGCTCCTGGAGACGATGCAAGCCCGCGTCCTCGTCGCCCAGGTCCGATCCGCTATCCATGGTCGCACTGTCAGTGGCGACTCGCACCGTGATAACGATGGTAGGTGGTGCGAGTGAGCAGCAGAGAATGTAACGTTGCATAGCTATACACAGACACACTGATCGTCCTTGACTAAATTTTTGCTAAATAAACCAAGGAAAAAAATTGTGTAGATTCTATATTGACGTCACCACGGTGATCTACATAGTTGGTGGCTTTGTGATATCTTCAATCTCTAACGGCGCTCACTCCTACGCCAGTCGCCACACATATCAACGGAGTCGTCTAACAGTGCGTGCTGAAAATAATATGAAATTGACCCCCACGATTGCACAGCTGTGCCCACGATGAGCCCAGTCCGCATCGTGTTCACGCTTAAAAATTAGAATTTGAGTTAAGCCTTTTGATAGTTATCAGTGCCGAGGTCGCTATATCACTTATCGAGATCATTGGCCCTACGCAATTGACCAGTCAGGATTAAGTTCTCTCTTTCAGTCAACATCGATCGATATGCTGCAGCAGCAGCTATTGTCCCATATTGCCCAATTGTCTCACTTGTCATTCTTACGTTGGAGCTTAGTCACGAGCACGGCATTATTGTACCACTTTTTTGCTTTTTTGACCCTGGCCTCCCCGCGCGCCCAACTCCGTGCTTGCTTGCATAACGGTCATAACGTCTCCCGAACCACAAATGGCGGGGAAACAACGGAAACGAGAGATAACGACTGGTCAATTGACACTAAATCAAATAAAGGTAGAACGCATCGTGTCGCCAAACGTGGGGACGTTGCCGTGCCATGTTTGCTAGAGCATATCCCATGACGTCAACCACTAGCCACCGGCGTGCTCATCTGCAACTCCTTACTTATTTGGGAATATAGCGTTATCGGCACGGCTCTGCCTACAGACAGGGATCGTCAATGGCCCCCGGGCAACGGCGCTGCCAATCGAGCTACGGCAACAGCAGGAGGTTACGACGTGCCTTGACCATCGCAGATCCCTCGCCACCATCGCCATTGCTGCGTCGGCGACATGGCTTAGCACCCTCGAGTGCGAGGCGTGCCACAGCCTGCAGCCCTCACCCCTCCACCACGAGGGCTACCTTGTTAGCATCGACCGCCTGTCGCTAGCTGCACCGAGAATTAGTCAGCCGCCATCCGTCGCCGATTATTTGTCTGCTCGATTCGTAGCCGCCACTCGACAATTGCCTCTACCTCCCCCGTAGACACCACAATCCTCGGAGTCGCGCGCGCCCCAAATTTGGCGAGATTTTTCCTGGAGCGTTTTGGTTTCACTACACCTGGCTTGTGCCTCCCCCTCCCTGTGCCCCGTGGACTCGCCAACATGGACAACGCCGGTGTGAACGAACATGTCGAATATGTCCAGATGCTATGTAAGCGAATACTTTCGTTTTTGCCCAACCGTACTGGCCATTCCGTCGACGAAATCGAAATGAACACTCAATTCATCACCACCAAGAAACTCTTGCTGGAAACCCAGGCCAATTTCCCCGAAGTGGTGTCGTACATCATCTACTGCTGTCTGAATCAACTCTCCAACATCGCCGAATCCGACACCAAGCTCAAGAACCGCGACGAGCGCCTGGTCACCACCACTTACATGCTCACAAAGTTATTGGCGGAGATGCTTAAGGAAAACTGGCATCGGCAAACGACAGTGTTCACTCTGATTGTGGATTTCGAGATCGTCCTGAACTACCTGCGTTTCTCTTACTATGACAAACCGAGCCCCATTCAACCGCCGCTGCTTGTCGCCGAAATCCTCGACACATTTGTCCAGTTGATGTCTCTGCGACCGGTCCGTCAAGTGTTTGGGCTACTAAAAGAGGATTCGCTGTCGCTGCTGCTGTCGCTGGCTCCGAATGTCCCTCTGACACCGCTGCTGATAACGCTGGCCCCTACAACCCCTTCGGTGCCCAAACCACTGCCATTAGCAAACATTGGTAGCATGGGTTTTGGTAGTTCAGAAAACTCCCGTGAAGTGTACCCGCTGGCTATTGGAACCGCCGCTGGAGTTGGTGGCTTTCCCGATCTCCTGCTGCCACTGTCACGAAATCAATCAACACAGCTAGCGCTGCCTAACGTAATGTTTTCAGAAGTGCTGAGGATCGACAGTTACATCACAGAAATCGATAACAATCTCGAGCTCATCTTACGTTACATTGCCCTGGCTAATCCTGCCGAATATTACCAATACCTCCATCAACGACTTTTGATGGATAAGGGTTCTGATACCATGATAACTGAAGATGTACTCAAAATTTACTGTCCTTTAGTTAAGTTTATGTTTTTCTCCAAGGGTAACCTGAGACAAGCAGGGGTGGATAATTTCAGTGCCGTGAACAGAATTAAGAGTACGCGATGGAAGTTGACCTACCTCACGTTTACTGCGATCAACGTGCGCAACCAAACCTTCTGTCGACCACAAGATTTCGCCGATATCGTCACTATGGAGATCGAGGAGGTATGTCGAGATATTTTTGATTTCGCTTATTCTCTCAACGACCTGCGAGATTTGTCAGTGCTGAAGCGACTGATGTATTTTATCCAGACGTGGTTCCTCATTTTGTGTCCATCAGAATTTTCCGAGTTTATTCTGTCTAAGCCAAAGCTCCGGCCGAATAAACGCTTGAAATTCTTGGCAGCCCTCGTCCGTGATGCTCATGCTCGCAAGCTGATCGAGCCGTTCCTGGCAATTGTCAATATTTTTCACGTTGGCGCTCGTCTACCACCGACTCACCCAATTGCCCAATTCACTAAGAAGTACTTAGACCAAGTTTATGACTTACTCACAACCTTTCCTCATGAGTCAACCTTGGACAATCGCTATGAAAATTGTTTAGTGCTGTTGTATCTTGCGGCGCTCATGGTGCTGCCACAGGCTTACATGAAGTTGATAATCCAAAAGTTCATCGACTACAAGGACAATGTCAAGGAGGTCAAGATTCTCGTGAAAATCATAAAAGGGGTACTGGTTCTGGATGGACCGGCATTTATGCAGTTGATGAAAACACTCGCGATCCCTCTCAAGCTGATGATTTTCCGACTGGAGCTGATGTTTGGGCCCGACGCTGCTCAAGCTTCAAAAGAGCAACTGAAGTTGTTACAAACGAGTTTGGACCAGTACCTGGATATGCCGCTGCTGGCACTGATCAATTCCAATAAACCATTGAACAATGCTGAGGAGATGCTTGCCATATTGTTCCAAGTTTTTACTGCGGCTCCAGAGTTATACTTCCAAGACCCTAATGCCTCTGAGCTCACGTCAATTAATGAGTCCACCATTAGTGCCATGAGTCTGTACGCGCATGATGTCACTAATCCTCTCAAACAAGCATTCACCAAGCTGACAACTTTATTTCAAGCTGCTTGTGATTTGGCATTGAAGTCGGTGGAATTAAAGGCAACGAACGAGTTCGTGGAGGTTCTGAACTTCTTGGTCACCAATTTGGTGGTTCAACTGCTCTGCGAAGCAGGTTTACTGCTTTCAATCAATGACCCCAAATTCAAAGCTCTGTTTGTGTTCATCAACGAGTTTATGGCTAAGCGTGAACCCCTCGCCCAAGCAATCGAGAAGAATAGGGTTGCGCAGGACCCTCAGGTAAACAAGGTGATTCATTCAGGGTTATGTTCAGCCCTTGAGCAGATTCTCCTTGTATCCCTTTGCACGCATGACATCCAATTCTACAATATTGCTAAAAGCACAATGCGTTGGTACATCCAGGAGTGCAAGAGACTGTGCAACTGCCAGTTGAGACCAACTTTTGAGCGCATCATAAACGAAAATGCTGTATTCACTGGGTTTGTACTGCTTCATAAGAAGTTTAAGTCGATCTTACGCGAGGCTTACCCGACTGAACTGTTATACCAGGTGTGGCTTGTCATCTATCAGCGTTGGCGGGAACTTTTGGAAAACAAGCTGATTATCAATGATGAAAATTTGGTCTTCAGACACTTTACTGGTTTTCTTGTGCTGACTCTGGGTTGCTTTGTAAGTCAGGAGTTCGACTCGCGAGCCCTAGTATACATTCTGGAGTTTTTTGATAAGTGTATTGGGCTTCTCATGCTGAAGGATCTTGTCATTAGAGTGGTGATTAAGGAGACACTTCTGGCCGAAGCTCATATCCACACCTACCACTTGATTATCAGCAAACTCATTGGACTCGCCGAGCACTACACTCAGAGCAAGATTTTCACCGAGGATTCGATGTTGTTCATTGAACAGCTGTTAGTGATTATGCTGCTGATGATTGGTTTGCGCAACGAGGGACTGTTCTTGATAATATCATTGCTCCCCGAGTTTTTGCTGGTGGTATTCAGGTATGTTGAAAACGTCACCGATCCTCTGGAGCGGATGAGACTCAAGCTTCGTTTTTGCCGTCTCGGCTGTTCTGTCGAACTGGCAAAGCGTGATTTCGGCATACTAGGGCTGAATCACTTGCGGAACCGGTGGGCCAAAAGACTGGCGGACTGGTTGGAGGATGCTCTTTTCCATACTGCCGAAGATGGTGATGATGAGCTCATCTACATGAACGCCGATTTTGCTACCCAGTGCCTGAAGGTTTTGGCGCTTCAGCTCGAAGAATTGGTGTTAGAGGTACCCGATGGCATTAAAGAACTGGAACAACGAAAGTACAAGGACTTGGCGTTTGGTAACTTCTTTTCCTTGTTTTACAAGATCATTCAGAAGTACACCACTGACTCGCCTAATCGCCACAAGTACAAATTTCACTTGATCGCCGATAACGTGCTCAAATGTATCTCCAATGTTTTACAGCTGGATACTGACATTGGCATGCAGTTTGTCTTGCCCCTTGGCTACCACCTGAATACTAAGATTCGAGCTTTATTTCTTAACGTGTTCTCCTGGATGTTAACGCTGCGTCAAATCCGCATGCAGCGAGAGGAATTTCCAGAAGATACCATCTACCGGTTGACGGGGCTGGCGATCGTGTACGGGGCGGTGGCTAGAGTTGCTCTGCTGACAGAGCACAATTTGTTGGCCCTGGCGCTCTATGGGGTATTTAGCTACACCCGCCAACTTGACATGTTGTTTGATGTGCTTTTGCATGACGAGATCATTACGAATTGTCAACGGCTGGTGGATATCTTCCGCCGAAACTCTACTATCACTAGACTTTTGCTGACGTTCGCCAAGGATGCGGGACTGGCTTATCTCCAAGACGTGATTGCTCCGTTCATAAATGAATTGTTGGTCAAAGACATCACATTTGAGGTGGAAAAGGTAGTTGATGTTGATGAAAAGGCCCAACAAGATGCATTGGTGTTTATGCAATACTTTGAGCAATTAGTCGACCGAATTGTGAGCACTAAGGTACCTGCGCTGATTCAGTTCGTGTGTCATGCAATCCTGAAAGTTGTTTTAGAGAAGTTTGAAGACGCTCTGTTGGTTGCCGTGGGACTGTTTATCTTCTTGCGGTTCCTTTGCCCCGCGATTGTGTCGCCCGAACTGTTCGTCAACATCAGCGTCACTGACGCTCGCACGAAGCGAAGCTTAATGCAGTTAGTTAAGGTTTTGCAAAATGTGGCTAATGACCTGTTGCTGCTTCTCAAATGGCCGGCGCTTGCACCCCATCAGGCGTCACTTTTTGCCATCAAGGAAAAAGTGTATCAGTTTTTGCAGCAGGTACTGGGCCCGGTCTCTGGGTATCCATTCGAAGCGGTATCTCAGAAGCCGTTGGCAGAGTTGCGTTACTTACACAAATTCCTCTATCACAACTATCTGCAGATTCGTTCGAAGTTTTTGCTAGGCGATCCCTATCAAGAAGTCTTGCATTTGCAAAAGAAGATCAATGCCTGGTGTCAGGTTGATGGAGTGATGCTGGAGCTTCGCTTACCTAAGCCCAATGTCAAACTTCAAATCACTCTGGCGTACAGACAAGTGGACCAAAACGCTCAACTGAACGCCTATAATGATTTCATGGCAAAGATGCTGTTGACTTATGTTGAGAAGGCTCTCGATCTGGTGATTATTCGCAACCTGATCTTCCATGATGGCACTCCTGTGGTGGTCTTACTGTTCCGGTACATGTTCCTGATCGGGCAGGATATCCAGTTCATGATCTACAAGTTATTTGAATGTGCAGCTCAAGTTTGGGACAACCAGTTCTACATGGTGTATGACTTCACTGAGTACGAATTCCGCGTTGATGATATCCGCTATTACTGCCTGATTTTCATGGAGTATGCTCCTGTCCAGATGATCCACAATTGTAAGCGGGTTTACTACTTCAATATCCCGGTGAGATTTGCCCACGAGACGGCAGCTGCTACTCTCAGCGTGCGCCGTGACCGCAATGAGTTTAACACTCAATTGTATGCTTACTCCCAAGTCGATAAAAAGGAAATCATCAACAATTTGTGTCTTGATACACTCACAGTGCTGGTTCTGCGCGATGTTCGGGTCCTGTTTAGTGATTGCCAACTTGTCATTTCGGATACTAGGGTGGTTCCCGTACTGGTGCGATTAGGCAGAGAATGGCTTCAGATTTGCCTGGAGGAACGCATCGAATACTCAAGAGCCAATCTGACCACTCCTTACTTTTATCCAGTTGAGGTGTATCGCTTGAGTAAAATCACCAAATGTGAAGTAAGCGATGGTCATGAAAATGAGTTCACTATCTGGTTAGAGAATAGCCAGCTTGTGTTGAGACTGCCGGAACGGGCTGAAATCATGCGCTTCCTCTACTTTTCCACTCTGAGATTGGCGAAAAATCATGATTATTTGATCCGTGACCATGAGTTGGGAGAACACTTCATGCCATGGTTTGGTCGGTTGTACAATATCGTATTCCAAGGGCTTCTTCTGAAGGATACTGAGGTGAGACAGGCGGCGCTGAATTTATTTGCGCTGTTGCTGAACTACTTCAATATTGATTTTGGTCTCAAAACAACCCATTCGAAGAGTGTGGCGTTGCCTAGTGATATCACTCTGTTCGTGGTGACAGTACTGGAGCATTTGGCGCAAAGCCAACCGAAGATGACGTTCCGTATTTTTAAGGCGTTCTTCGACAACTATGATAAACTTCCCAACGAAACAAGATTGCTGAGTATCATGGTATTGCGGCCTTGGGTTGACAATGTGTTCCGCCATGTGTTTGTTGGGTATCTGGATAACGGCAACGAAAGGGTCGCCGAGATTGCTCGTCAATTCTGTCGCATGACAGTGGCTCATCAGGATAACGCCGCCTTCATGAATGATTATATTTGGCGTCCGTTATTCGCTCAAGAACCGTTACTTCCAGTCCTCATCGATGAAGTGGTACTGTTTGCCATCGATAATACACTGCACGGGAACTGGGACTTTATCACCGGGGTAATCTCTCCGCTGGTAGAAGTTTGTCTGGAGGTTGTTGATAAACTTCTCAAATGTGTCACGCAAGCTAAACAAAATGATCTGATGGTGGCGCTGCGACTGAAGTTGTTCGAAATCAGAGTGCTTGTCAATATCTGTGCCCTGCTTTTCTTCAACCTGTACCTGATGACCCGCTTATTCTTTGCCGATATCTTTTTCCTTGTGACACTTTTCATTGATAACGTCTATCTTGAATTTGGAGCTGATTTGCAAAAGCTTGTCATCAATATGATTCAGCTGTTCTTTCACAAACCAAAGATCACAGCGAAAGAAGAGAAATTGGTCGACGATCTGATTCAATATTTCAGTGATCAAAGAGCGAAAATGCTTTTTGGCGTGCTGCGCGACATCGCATTGACAGGACAGATTCTGGACGCCAGTCAGGTTTATAATCGGGCTCTAAACTTTGAGACGTTATGCGACTACTTAGACAACTTCTTACAAGAGATGGGGTCGACGGCGGACAAACTTGTATGGCGCCTGAGATGGGTTTCGAATGCAATTGAAGTGGCAACTCTGATGGACTCTCTTTTCCAAAACCGGGCATTAATGATCGTGGGAATTTTGCTGAAACAAGGGTGCTCGGACGCGATGGCTCTGCGCTTCCTTAGGATTATCTCGAACGATGATCTTAATGGGCTTGATGTTACAACAAATGCCGTTATAGCTACTCTGAGGATCATCCATGGCTTACCCAAGCACCTGATATTGCCGCCTGTGCTTTTGTGGCCACAACTTTGCTTTGGTCTTCTCGACTATTCTGAATTGTATCAGGCGCTGACAAGCATTCTTGTGGAACTGCTCGCAAATCTCGTAATTGAGGAAGGGTACATTGACAGAGCGTTTGAGCTGAGAAAGCTTCTTGAACCGCTTTATCTGGAGTTTGCCGAAGCAAAGAATGTTATCATTACCAAGAAAAATTTCCACTATCACGTTTTGGTTGTTTTCACGCAGGGCATGAGAATCAGTCACTATAAGAGCACTCTGTTGGAGCTGCTTAAGCTGTACCTCTCCAAGTCAATCTTGCGGACCAAGAAGCTTGATCCCTATTTGGAGGTCGACAATGATATTGACCATTTAACTTTCATTGCTTTACTGTCGCTGCTGATTGAATTTGCTGAATTTTTGAACACGGTGGGACTTGGGCATCTTGAACTCATTGATATTGGTTACCCATTACCTAAGGTAGTGATTGATTTCTTCCTTGCTAACCACGACCCTGCAAGAATTTGTCTCCTTATTGCGACTCAATTGTACTGCGCTGAAACCGTTGACTCGTTGTACAAATCACGCTTTTTGCCCTTGTACCGTTATCTTTTGGCGAACAACAAAAACTTGGGTTTCCTCGTGTACCCCACCATGCGCAAGGCTTTGGAGTGCCTGTTTATCAACACTACTTCTGACGCCACCATTGAAATCATTGCTGAAATCAAAAAGAATGTTCTTGCATACAGCATCGACGCCAAGAGATCACAAGTCGAGATTGATAACCTTCTTGAACGCAACCAATTGCGCTTGCTCAATCGAGAACACGGTGTACCAAACCCCGATCTTTGCAGACCAGCGCTATTCCAAGCTGAAGTTGGTCTGGTGGTGAAAAATCTCCAGACAATGGTTTATCGGGCACTGTGTCTTGTGGTTGATAATCAACCCATCACTGAAGAGTGATACAAACATAATGAATAATTAATGACATACACATTTATCAGAACAACCTAATTGTACATACTCTTGAAATTAGATAGAATGTCAAGATCACGTTGCCCGAGGGCACCAATGATCTGAGAGAACCTTGGTAATTCGTCACCAGCGCTCACAAAACGTTAAAAAGGTGTATTTGCTTTAAGAAGAGTTGATATGGAGCTTGGTTCGCCCTTTTTCTCCCAAAACTTACATAACTCATTACAAGTGTGACACAGACAAAGATGTAAAAATTCGAGGAAGCGCAAATGGTTTAGTGGTAAAATCCAACGTTGCCATCGTTGGGCCCCCGGTTCGATTCCGGGTTTGCGCATTATTTTTGTCTCTTTTCGAGTCGCCTCTGCTTATGCAAAGGTTGTCAGCATTATCAATACACCGAATACCTTAATGGTCATAATTCGGTTCGTTGTATACTGTGCTTTATATTTATGCAGGTTTATATGCTCACTCGAAACTTATCAAAGAGGAGGTTTTGGGTGGAGGTCTAATGCAAATCATTCAAATTTGAAGTCCTTTTTCCTGATTCGAAATAACAACATGGCCATTTGAGCATCCTCGACTGAACTATGTGAGCCATGCTGGATCTCAATATTGAAGTATATTTGCGCAAGCTTCTTCAATGAAGGAGGCTTCCCGCCCGAATGTGCTCGATACTCTGCAAGCGTCGCGGTATCTCTAATGAACTGTTTCGACATGCTGATCCCCAACACCTTGAGGTCATTATGAATTGAGTGTCCCACAAGAACACGATTCTGGAGAAGATCCATGACTTCTTGCTTCACTATACTCACATCCTTGGCCTGGTACATATTCCCAGGAGTGACACCACTAACCCAGGTACGCCAATCGGTGACTCTTTCCTTAGGTCTCACGTATTCGTCGTAGATCACTTCGCCGTAATAGTTGACGATCAGACATCGACCAAGGGCATTTTTACGTCCCTCGGGGCCCACCCCAACAAATTCACAATCGATAGCAAGATATCTCCCTGGCTCCCGCTTCTTCAAAGGGGGGTGCTTGTCGAGGATCTTGAACTCGGTCATGATCTGCGAGTGTCGGTGGGCTGGCGGCACATTGGCGACTTGAGAGGCTGTCTTCAGCGGGTCTGGTTGCCGTTTAGCGGCTTTGTTTCCACGATTCCGTTTCCTCCGCGGCTGCTTAGCATTTATCTTTTGTTGGAGCTGGTTCCAGTTCGACATGTCATCATGCGATGACGGGAGTGCGACCCACTGCCGTATGCAGCAGGTAGCAATCCTCGCCGAGACATGTGCACGATGGCTGCAGCTTCGATGGTAATATGTCAAAAAACCGTAGTTGGACATAACTCCACAACAATACGAAAATTGGTCCAGTCTGTGATGTTTCGTTTTTGCGGGATTTGCGGGTTGGTTGTCATAGCATGGCTGTATTGTTCGCTTCAGCCATACCTATGCACGAACCGCGATCAAGATCGCCGCAGCCATTTTTCATGTATTCCGCCGTCGGTAATTACTCAGCGAGCGGGAATTGGTTTGAGTGGGACCGCGTAATCTTATTGCCTAAATGTAATATTGTATGTTGCAATCTCGAGTCGCCAAGCAAAGTGGCTTGCGCCCGAGCTAATCTAGACCTCCTCCCTGCAACCTCGTAAGGGTGCATATTGCAGGGAGGCGTTTATTGTGCCAATCACCACATCGAAAGTGGCCAGCGATCAATTTTTTCAATGAAGTCGATGATGTAGTTTTAAGACGGAGGCTGGCCTCATGCGTCAACCCCTTACTAATTTCGTCTCGTCGTCTGTTAATGTTTGGCGTATGTGCACTACTAGGGGACTGGTGGAAGGAATTTTGAGCCAGTCGTATCTGACCATTAGACGAGACGACGAGAGGAGAAACTCGTACTAGTAGTTTGTAAATTTATCAACAACCAAAAGGGTGATGTTTTTTGGTCGCTCTACGGATGCGGCGGACCGGCAATTGACTCAACTGATGTCAATTTGCAATCGTGGTCACTCAATTGGCAATAGCAGAGTCAATGCGGCGACACGAGTTCGGGCAATGAACGTGGGTCATTTTTCATTAATATACGTATCGGAAATTAAGATGGCGTCGGCAATCAGTTTTGGGCCAAGACGATGTACAAGGCAAACAACATACCCGGGAACCAGGCACAGATGGTCAACACAACGTCAATCCAGAAGGTGGCGGACAATCTTTGTTCCTTCAAGTACACGGCCAAGGGAGGCAAGAAGATGGCAAGCAAGATGGCGACAATTTGTTCAGAGTCCATGGTTTATTGTTGTGGATTGATGGTGCGAATTTTTGCGGGTGGAGGGCAGACGTCTATTATAAATGTTCGGCCAGGACGGATGAGGGAATTTTACATAAAAACAACAATCGGTCCCTAAGGGCTTACAAAGGAAGGCGTTTACAAAGCTGAAGACAACAATCTCGTTTAGTAGTCAATGGACGGGGTGGTGGCGACACCAGCTAGTGGAACGTCGTCCGGTGGTCTCCATGGGTTCTTTGTGAATCGACGATTGTACCCCGTCCGTAGGACGCCGGTTGCCCTCGGAACGGAGTTTGTCATCTACGTCGTGGTCATTCGATTACATATATATCGCATGTCCACGCCGAAAGCAATCTGCACCAGCCGTTTCCGCTTTTAACAGTCACGACCCCGTGTTAGTCATGTTCGTCGGCGTTGGTCACGTGCGAAGTCCGCCGACAAATTCGAGAAAATAAGCGGCTATCGCAGGGAGATCCAAATCAATAAGCGTCGGAGATTATGTCGTATGTCGGCACCGTGGCCACCACCAACCTGCCGCTAGTCGTCAAATGGAATCGATGAGTCGACACGGCCAAATGGTGCCCGAAAGCGTTGCGGTCGCGTCGTGTCGACGTTGGCCCGGCTCGTGTAAACCCGGAGAATCGCGCCTGCAGGCAGCCGGGGGAACGCAGCCGGGGGAAGCCGCAGGGTTCCGTTGCCGTAAGCGTCGTCGCACCCGCAGTTGCCGGCACGGAGCTATCCATTCATCTGAGAGAGCGAGTACATTTGCTGGGCGTAATGCAATTTGTCAATGATGTCTTTGCACTGCAGCTCGGATTCCGCCTCCAAAAAATACTTCTTTTTGATGTCTTTGGTTTCGTCCTTGCTGACTTTCTTCACCACTATTTTGAGGTGGCTGGGCAGCTTTGCGTTTTGTTTAACCTTAAGCAAATGCGCCACATGGAACGACAGCGTCTTTTCCAGCATCTGTTTGTAGAACTTGGAGTAGTTGTAGTGGCTAAGATGGTGGTGGTCGTGGCCGGGGAGAAACATGTGGTCTTGGTGTTCTTCCAGAGGCGCCAAGTGGATGTAATCTCCGTCGACGATCAACAGCTTTTCGATTTTGTTAAGCATCGTCGGCTTTTTCCGCCATACCCGCCATTTGTACCATAACGCCCCCAGCAAGTTTGACAGCTCCGTCTGCTTGAAAAAATCGTCAAGCGAGTACTTTGTGCTCGTTTTGCGGTGGCTGGGAGCTGTCGAATGACGTTTCCGCTGGGCGGCTACCGGGGTAACCGCGGTGCTATTGAGCTTGTCTCGGAGTTCGGATGCGGCGGGAGTAAGGTGCATGTACAGCCCCGGCGTAATTTGCAGGTTGTAGTTGTTCCGGCCCACTAAAACCAACTCCACGGCGTTTTGCGCAACGTCCGCCACCCGGTCGTCGTCGCCAAAATATCGTCCCGTCAGCGCCGCTTCGTGGTGCACCGGCAGCAACAAACTGGCGACCTTATTGGGCATGGCCGGCATGTCGATCTCTCGGAACTTGTACTTGTTATAGTCTAGGCCTTCGCGGGCGCAGTATTGCTGGAGCACCGCTCCCAAGGTATCTTCGGGATGCACGTAGATGAATTTGAGATCGTTCTCGACGAGCACCCGCAATACTGAGCGCAGATGCTCATCAGCACCCATATTCACCATTGACGTTTTGCGCAGCTCGATGGCGGCTAGGTTGTTCTTGAACTCCATCGCGAGCGGCGTCGCCTGATCGTTCTTCTGTCGGTCAGCCTCCGATAACACCGGCTTAAGCCCCAAGTACGGCGGGTTGTTGTAGGAAGCGAGGGCTTTCGTCCGGTTAAGCAAGCCAAACGCACCGTATTCCTCGCCATCCTCATCAACAAGCTCAAGCTGCCAATGGTTGGGGTTGATCAGCGAGAGCTTCTCACCCTTTTCCGTCAACTTAAGCAAAACGTAGCCGATGCAATCGGCCACTGCCACGTTCTCATTGGCTTCAATCGTAAGCACAACATTCTCTTGCGGCGGAATGAAGATACCGATGGTGGCCATTTTGTTACCGTCGCCAGAATTGACAAACGCGTAGTAATTGAGCGGATTGGAGGTGTTGGCACTCAACTTAGCGTGGATGATACTGCTAAGGGACAGAAGCGTCAGCGGTGCCTTTACGTCCACTTTTTCAAAATGGAGAGTAGGTTTGCGTAATGATGCGGTCAGCCGCTCCCGGTGGACGGTTTTAGCACTGTAACTAGGTTGATGAGGCCGAGATAGTGTCAGCGTCCTCAGATAGGTATCACTAAACGGTTTCTTCTTCTGCTTACCGAAGTCAAACGCCCCCAGGTCGCCGATAAACAGCTCGGGGAGGGCCAGCAGCAGCATCATCAGCAGGGCGTCGATGTCGGTGAATGCCAGATCCAGCAGCACCATCGAGTCGTCATCGTCCATTGAGTCCTCGGTGATGCCCAGGTCTTCGTCTAACGCATCGTTGGAGTCGATTTTACGCACGGGGTTGCCGTTCTTGTCGACCCACACCCCGAAGTCCAGGTTGGCCAGCAACGCCAGCAAGTCCAGCATGCGGCGGCGGCTGCGACGGGGACGCGGCTCTGCGGGCGGGTGAGACGACTCGTCGGTGCCGAAATAAGGTACCGCCATCAGCGTATCCTTCTCGGTGAGGTCGCCGTCGTCATCGGTGTTCTCGTCGCCGATCCCGGGGAGAATCTTGATCTCGCCGTCGTCGATGTCACTATCACTGTCAGTGTCGTCGGTACGGCCTTTAAAGAACTTAGGAATGGCGAACTTGCCCAGCTTTTCGCCCTCGGCCAGCCCCGGACGCTGCTGGCGCTCGTCTATAGTGTATTGGTCAGCGAGGATGGGGACGTCTTCAATGGTCAGCACCGAGTTCTCGGTGTCCAGAGGGGCCAGTTTCCCTTTGGTAGCCGTAGGCTCTGGCGGCGGCGGTGCCTGGGGCGGCGGGGGCCGCAGCCGTCGCTTCTTCTTGCGGGTGTTGTTGGTGACGGCCCGAGGGTGGGGGTCGAGGGCGCCGTGGAGGTGGCGGGCCATCAGGAAGGTGATCGGGGGCAGCAGCTGGGACCCGTTGTCGTGTATGCTCTGCAACGTCGAGAGCACCTGCATCGCTTCCAACGGGAACGCCATGGTAGCACCGTCAGCGTGAGGCTCAACGTGTAGACGAGGCTATGTGCGGTGAGACCGGTGTGGTGGGTGATGGAGAAGGGTGAGACGTAAACATGCAGGGACCATCAAATTGACGAATTTGTTACTTAAGTTATTCTGCTACGTAGTGGGATCGGTCGTAGATCAATGCCACCGAGAAATTGACTCATGTATTAGTGTTAAACTGGTTCAATTCTCTGGTTGGGAGGGTCGCGACTTTCTCCGTGGTGAGAGTATTTTGGCTCGGCGAACCTCTGTGCCGGCGCCGAGTTCCACTACGAGAAATTGATAATTCTATGATGGATGGGATTGGAAATAAATGTGGTCGCTGCCTCGATGCTATCAGTGCTGAAGGGGTTTTCATAACCTTGGATACTTATTGATACTACATTTCATCGACGGTCAAACTGTTGTACTTCACTCAAAGTTAACAACGTTAAGGAAATGTGTTGTCAATAAATTGAAAACTCCAAAATTTGTGATGGCAATACCTTGGTCCAAATGTGCGGTGAGAGCCACCAACATTGATCTGAAGATGCACCTATTAAAAGGGCAACCCCTTGAGGAGACAAGCCTATACTAGCCGAGATGTTCCAAGGGTTGCTGTATGTGTCATGTGCGTGCTCCAAGTTGTTGTGATGTGAGCTACAAGCTGTGAAATTGAAACTATGCATTAACTCTATACACAACCCCAACCTCGAGGTTCCTTCGAAGTTTACCTGTCATTGGTTGGAAAGTCAGTGAAGAAAGAAGTGTAAAAAGAACTGCTGCCACCTCCATTTGGGTCCGTGACGGCAAAGAGCGAGGTACCGAGGCTGAGTATATTGGCCGCCGACACACCAGCTCTGTATCCTTCCAAACCACCAATGTCTTCGAAGCTTATCAGTGATCGGATGGTGCAAAGACACGCTTATACCAACCACCGATGTCTTCGAAGCTTATCGGTGGCCGGCACAAGGCTCACTCAGCCCCTGAAGTCTTCGAAGCTTATCGGGGGGGAATTGAGTGGTGCGCTGAGAGATAGAAACTGACCGGGGAACATTGACAGGGGATGCTGGCCCTTTTATGCCCCAGTACTGCACACTGGCTTGGGACCCGAAGTATTGGGGAGTTATCCGCCTTTGCCATTGTGTCCGTCGTCAACTTGACTTGTGCATGGCTACTGCTGAGCTAATCGGTGATGATGCATGCACGTCGGGTGGGAACAAGGCCCAGGGCTATGGCTAGACGGGCTATGTCCAGGCCTGAGCTGGCTTAACCCACTTCACTGGCGTGTTTCCCGTGCCCATTTGTGCATCGCATCGTCAACTGAAGGAGTCCACGCGGGCAAAAAATGGGGCTACCCATGAAAAAACGAAGTACTCTACAACTATCAAAATGTACCCTTAGACGTTGGCTATCTCGAGTACGATAAGTTATAGCATTGGAGCTTCGAGTCGTCTTCCTAGCTTACTCATTACACGAAATTCTGGCTGGTTCGTCGATGGAATGCGGGGAGCGCTATGCGTCGTCAACTTTAGACGGAACAAGTCGGGAGAGAATAAAAAATGCACCCGACTCTAGGGGGGCACTATATCCAGGAATTCCCACCGGCGACAACATAAAAGGCGGGCTACTCGCTCTTCTTCTTCTTCTTCTTCTTCTTCTTCATCAAAACCTTCTGACTGGCGACTTCTACTATGAGTTGAAACCCACTCTGGTCCGCCACTAACTGGGGCCGTGACCCACTACCATGGTACCCTATACTGACTGACGCTTTCTACTGACGCTACGATTAGCTCCGACGCTACTACTTGTTGTTGACGCTACTGCTCGCTGTTGACACTACTACTTGCTGCTCGTTGTTTGCTGATTGTCGCCTCCAGCCACCAAAAAGTTCGAAGGATTGGCGGCTGAGTCGACGGCTCGCTGGACTTGACTCGTGTTCTATCACGCTGCAATCAGTAACACTCCATGACCATCCCGTAGGCGGGGGAGATAGTACACCTTCATACACATCCCCCATGGGCGATAGGCAAGACATCCCGTCTGTTTGTATCCGCAACGACAGATTAGCCCTGGTCGGCCAACAAGCGAATGCTTGGACCTCGCGCGAAAACTGATGGCACTCCATCGACTGTCACTGGCCGTGTTTGGACTGGTGAGGGGGGTAGATGGGTCTCCCTTCCCAGGATTTATGTAGGTTCGGGGTCTGGTTTGTAGCATGTGTACAGGCACTTGTATAGGTCTATAGTTAGATTAGTCATATAATCGAAAATAGATTTATTTTTTTTTTTTTTTCATAAACTGACAGTTAAAAATCATGTAGTTTGATAAGATCTACTCACTCGCTTTGACGTTAGAAGCTCACGAATGAATGTTGACCAATCCAACTATGCCAAAGATTTCGAATTTTTCGTATTTTCCCTATATTCTTGCATTCTTACAGGTCTATCCCCCAGAAAATGGTACAGAGGTAAGTCAATTGTGATAGTTCATCATATCATTGAAATATGAGCGGCTATCATAAAGACAAAACCAAAAAGGACTGTACACTTGAATTTCTCTAGGATATGATAAAGCCGAATGAATTATTTTCACAAGCGGTTCTATAGTGTAGTGGTTATCACTTTCGGTTTTGATCCGAACAACCCCGGTTCGAATCCGGGTAGGACCTCTTTTTTGTGGAATCGAACGCTATGCTGAAATACTTGAAAACGAGTCAATGCTTATCAATTGAATAAAAATCTCACCCGGTCAATTATCTATTGTCACCGTTTGACAACATGTATCGTAATAATTTTTGGTGTCTCTTTCACAATTTGTACTTTTTTTACAGAATCCTATACGAAGCAGCCTCGAACTGTCTACGCCTGAAAGGTAACTAAAATTATCACAAAAGTGCGACCATTCTTTCTCAATACCACAACAAAAATCTTACATAGCATAAGAAACAGAGTAATCAACAAGAAGCACAGAATACAATTTACGATCAATCCTTTGGCTCGGGTATTTCTCGGGTAATCGTTATCCGAGACCTGGGGTTAAGCCTGTCGACAATGAGGCGGCTTGGGCACTTGACTGTCTTCGTGTGGCGTTATATGCACACAAACTAAAATAGCTGGTATTTCGCTGCCCTCTCACCACAACAACCCCGTGTCCGAAAATCACCCCTTGCGACAAAAAACCTTATTATACCCATCTCGGGAGGGTAACCGAGGTATCAGAGGGGAATGTACAGTACCGGGGCTCGCCATCGTGTCTCTCGGAAAACACCACGTAGTCCCAGTAATTTTAGGCGCACATGTTGTTGTTGTTGTGGTTCGGCTGTGCTACGTGTTCCTCGACTACTGCCGCGTCATAGTACCGCAGCCGAGAGTAAATAAACAGTTGCTCGATCTCCCCACCACATCATCTCGAAATGCTCTGATGTACACGCCAGCGCCGTAGACCACTCCAGACCATCACTCTATTTGCTAATGAGATCGAGATAGCGGGTCGAATTGACCTTTTACTCGAATTTATCACTAGAATTGACCCCACCGTCACCGCCGCGATTCGCGCACTGCCTTAATGGTAGTGGCCAGGTGGCTACTACACCGCCTACTCTACGAGCACAAACCCCAGCACACGCCACTAACACCGTAAACAATCACCTGGCGGTAACCTCGAGTTGCCCCCACCTCAAATTCCACAAGTTTATTCTGGAGATTCAGCATAATTCAGGCCACGTGATTTCGCAGCCCGGGGAACACTTGCTACTTCACCGCATACGTTTTTTCCACTAGCAATCCTATTGGGTCCAGGCCAGCCATGACTGAGTCCAGTGTATCGGGAAGCGGCCTGCTTGCCGATCTCTCCGAGGACATTGACTCCATCTACAAACTGTACACCCAGCCGGGTTTGCCCCACGTCCGCATCACGCTGAGGTTGAGCCAGTTGGACGTCACCCAGGCACAGAGCCGGCTGGCCCCCGACCTGCCCCATCTGCTGGTGGTGCTGTTGGACGATGATCCCGAGGGCATCATGCCCCCGATAAGACCCCAGGCCAACACCAACTCGCTGTTGAACGTGCTTGTCGACACCCCTCAGCCCCTGGATCTCGATTTGCCGCCGACGCTGGCCCAGCACTGGCGCGACGAAGGCGCCGCCGTCCGCGAAGTAAACGAAGGCAACCAGGTCAAAGTGATCAAGCGCGACGTCGGCGACTTCAAGTTCATCAAAAACATCGGCGAAGGGCTGTATTCGACGGTGATGTTGGCCACAGATAAGCATACCAACCGCCAGTACGCCGTCAAGGTGTTGGACAAACGCCACATCATCAAGGAGAAGAAGGTGAAGTACCTCAACATCGAGAAGCATGCGCTCAACCGGTTGAGCAACCGCATGGGGATCATCTCCCTCTACTTCACCTTCCAGGATAAAAACCTGTTGTACTTTGTGCTTGACTTTGCCGCCAACGGCGAGTTGCTCTCGTTAATCAACAAATACGGCACCCTCAACGAGGACAGCGTCCGCCACTTTGGCGCCCAGATCCTTAGTGCCATCCAGTACATGCACGACAACGGGGTGATCCATCGCGACATCAAGCCGGAGAACATTTTATTAGACGAGAAACTCAGAATTCAGATCACCGATTTCGGGACCGCCCGTCTTTTGGAGAAAAAGGACGATGACCCTGAGAACTACCCCTTAGACGTTCGCGCCAAGCTGTTTGTCGGTACCGCCGAATACGTGCTGCCAGAGTTGTTAGAGCTGAAGTACTGTGGTAAGCCCGGTGACATCTGGGCCTACGGGTGCATTCTTTATCAGATGATTGCCGGTAAGCCGCCGTTTAAAGCGACCAACGAGTACTTGACCTTCCAAAAGATTACTAAATTACAGTATGCATTTACTGCTGGGTTCCCCGTGGTTCTCCGCGATTTGATCAAGCACATCTTGGTGCTTTTACCGCAGAAGCGGTTCACTATTGACCAGATCCAACAGCACTATTTCTTCCTGCCCACCAACTGGGACGACTTTGATCTGATCTGGTACGCGGACCCCCCCGAGTTGGGACCCTTCAAGATGCTGGCTAAAGGTATGCTTAATGTCCCGCCTGAACTTACGAAGGCGTACTCGCTGCCGGTGGTCACCACGAGGAAAGTCTACGGCCCCAACCAGAAACGCAAGCAAACGCTGCTGCCATCGCCCATTGCCACTAATAATCTGCAGGTTCTGCTTGAACAACAAGACTCACACGGGTCGCTGGGGACGCCGGTGCCGCCCACCGCGCCTACTAAGCCAGTAAATCCGGCCAAAGCCGCTGCATACGTCCTCAACCGGGGCTCCGATGAGAAACTAGACCGCCCGCTGGCGCTGAAAGTGAAGCTGGGACCGCAATATATCCCTGGCACCAACATCTTGCGCCCGCAAATCAACCCTCGCACGTCATTCCCTATACGCAAACCTAAGCAGCCGCCGACCCTGGCCCTGGCTATGTCGACGCTGGCCCAGCAACAGTCTACCGCCAGTCCTACGTTACCTCGCCCGGAAAGAGTGCCGCAAACGCCGCCGGCATCGGCCCCCGCTCTGGCACCGCCGGTGCCATCTCCTGCCCCGTCGGTGCCGGCCCTGGCGCCCCCCGTGCCTACCCCTGCTACCATTCGCAAACCGCTGGCGGGTGCCGTGGCGGGCTCGGGTACACCCACATCGCTGATGGTGGGGCTTGGCATCTCTACACTGCGGTCGAACTTAATTGAAGTGACGCCGCCGCTGCTGGTTGAGGCTGCGTGGAAGAAGTACCTTGAACACCCCGATGAGCGTATATTGCGCCTCGGTCCCGCCATCGTCCATCGTGAGCCTACAGAAGTATTCGAACGCAAGCATCGTGGCCAGATCCATAATGCCCCCATCAGCTTAAGCAATAAGGTCGATCAGGCCAACCGCAGCGTAAGCAACAAGAGCTTATTACTGAAGGTGGTCAACGGCCTGAGTAACGGATTGCGCGGCACCGATGTCATGGACACCACCACCTACCAAGGCAATGACGGCGAAGGTGACGAAGCCCAAGCGATCATTGACCACTGGGAGACAGTTAAGGAAGAGGACGAGGAAGCCGACAAGAAAAAACTGTTATTCAAGAAGTTTTTGCACTCCGCTACCCAGAACGCTGACGAAGTGCTCGGAACCGCCGTCAACCACCCGTTGGAGCGCCCGCGGACGTGTACGGTGGTGTGTACCACCCATGGACGCGTACTTATCTTCTCCCGTAACGACAATGACAATTACCGTATGATCATGGAGGTCAAGCTCAACTACTCGTTCATGAGGATCAAGGAGGTGGTGCTGGCGCTGAAGTTCAAGCTGTTGATCCCTACCGTGGGGACATTTGCTCTTATGCTGAATGTGACGACATTCGTGTTTGAAGTGGAGAAGTACGAAGTGGGGATGTGGACCGAAGCCTTGGCTCAAGGTAAGCTTAATGAGTTTGAACGCCACCGTCTCGGACTCGCGTCGGAACCGGTGCCGAGAATCTCTGAGACGGCGGAGACACCAACGCTGCCGCGACTGCCCACACTGGACAACTTCGAGTTCCTGCCGCAGCTGCCATCATCGGCGACCCGTAAGAAGGGGATGATGCCGGTTCGCATACGCCGGCTGATCAAGCGCAAGCCGCCTCCCGCGAAGTCGCCGCTGCCGCCAGGAGAAATGGGGAGTCCCATTGACATGAGCACCGGATTCCAAAGCCACAGCGTCGATGCCGAGCTTAGAGCGGCTCAGCTTGCAGCTGCTGCCGGCGAACGCAATCGGTCGAGTATCGAGTACCCTCATCGCCTGAGCTTCTCCAAGGAGAACGGGTCGAACACCGTCAGTCGGCTGGGCCTGAACCTGAACAAGACCCCCGTCACTCAGAAGACGTCGAAGTTCCTCGCCCGCAGTCTGCGGAGAAACTAACCAACTAGATGCTTGATGCAGCTAGCAGTACTCAATACACATGACAAGCAAAGTTCAGTATGATAGAGTAGAGTGTGGAGGTGGTTTCGCAAATTGGAAAATGTAAGTGCTTAGTAGTAATTGGTAGCAATCCATCGTGATTACAGTCTGACTCTATTTACCCAATAAAACAATATGAAGACGAACCTGTACTTATTTGGAGATGTCATATCCTTAGTGTAAGCACGCAGCGTTGAATTATTGGTAGTCATGACCTTCCTGGAAACACTCTACATAGCGATACTGGGATGAGTTTTAGTAATCGGTTACGATACACAGAAATCTAAGGTGTTTCATTGTCTTTAACCTTTAGTGTGGCGAATTACGTTTACGTCAGTGGTCTCACTCACGTTTGACATTCCCCGCTTGTATGCAATCATGGGTGCAAAATAGCTGGAAAGTAGATGGGGTAATTTACGAAAACAAGATGTGTAGCGAAAACTGAGGTGATACCAGTTCAATAAGACTCGTGTCTACGTCAGAATATCGTCATTGGCTTACGAGGGTGTCGGTGTCACTGGTGGTCGTCGATGCCATTAGGGCGCAACCCTAACGTCACGTGCGCACATCACGGAAAATTTTGGTCTCCGCACGCCGGGGTCGCGCTCCCCCTCCAACCCTTAGGCAAATTTTTCACTAGTGCAAAGGTCTCGTACGTTAACATGGCTAAATTCATCAAGTCTGGTAAGGTTGGTAAGTACTAATCGCAAACGGTGCATTGAGGCACTTTACCCCAACCATGAATGATTCCGTTCCCCTTTTGCATTTCCCGTGGGTTTAATCTCCCAGATCGAAAGCGGACCGAGACGTCATTTTGTGGTGACCCCCTCCAAATTGACCCGATGAGATACTAATTAATTATAGCTATTGTCACCCGTGGCAGATACGCCGGTAAGAAGGTCGTCATCGTCAAGCCCCACGACGAAGGGACTAAGGCCCACCCCTTCGCCCACGCCATCGTCGTCGGTGTCGACAAGGCCCCCCTCAAGGTCACCAAGAACATGGGTGCCAAGAAGACCGCCAAGAGATCCAAGGTCAAGCCCTTCGTCAAGGTCATCAACTACAACCACTTGATGCCCACCAGATACACCTTGGACGTCGAATCGTTCAAGCTGGCCGTCTCGACCGAAGCCCTTGAGGAAACCGAATCGCGCAAGGAAGCCAAGAAGGCCGTCAAGAAGGCTCTCGAAGAAAAGCACCAAGCCGGTAAGAACAAGTGGTTCTTCCAAAAGCTCCGTTTCTAAGTCTCATATGGGAGATACGATGATGGGGGCTTTTGTTTTATAGTACGTACTTAATTACTGCATGGGTTAAATACACATAATGAAGGAACCCTACACATAGGCGGACCACTGAACCGGTGATAGTGACACCCACGCCCTAGGCTGACTCATTGTAACTGACGCCGCAGACTGCGTTCTTTTTCTGGGTGGTCCACCTCTTCGTCACCTCCACGCACTAACCCACACTCACTACTTCTGGATGTCGATCGAGGAAAAAATGGCCGACGTCAAGTTGGACCAGGCACAGACTCAGGCCACCGGCGACAACGCTGCTTCCGCTGCTGCTGAACAGAAGGTTACCCCTTGGGAAGTGGAAGGGGCGGTGGTCGATGGCCAGGCGCAGGACATCGACTACGACAAGCTCATCCAGCAATTCGGCACCAGAAAGATCACCGAGGAAACCTTGGCTCGTTTCAAGGAAGTCACTGGCCACGAACCTCATCCGTTCTTAAAAAGAGGCGTGTTCTTCTCCGAGAGAGACTTAAACCGTATCCTTGGCTTATACGAAGTTGGCGACCCCTTTTTCCTCTACACCGGGCGGGGGCCGTCGCTGGACTCGATGCACTTGGGCCACATGGTCCCCTTCATCTTCACCAAGTGGTTACAAGATGTCTTTGACGTCCCCTTGGTCGTCGAGCTTACTGATGACGAAAAGTTCTTGTTCAAGCAAAAGCTCAAGATCGAGGACGTGAAACAGTTTGCCCGCCAAAACACTAGAGATATCATCGCCGTCGGCTTCAACCCGGAAAACACTTTCATCTTCCTGGACTTGGAGTACATGGGCGGCGCCTTCTACGAGAACGTGGTGCGGACGCTGAGACAGATCACCACGTCGACGGCTAAGGCGGTATTCGGGTTCAACGACTCCGACTGCATCGGTAAGATCCACTTCGCCTCGATCCAGATCGCCACCGCCTTCCCGCTGTCGTTCCCCGACGTGTTGGGTCTTCCTCCCAAGACGCCGTGCTTGATCCCCTGCGCCATCGACCAGGACCCGTACTTCCGCGTGTGCCGTGACGTCGCCGACAAGCTCAAGTTCACCAAGCCGTCGTTGATCCACGCCAAGTTTTTCCCGGCCTTGCAAGGGGCGCTGACGAAGATGTCGGCCTCCGACGAAACGACGTCGATCTTCATGAGCGACACTCCCAACCAAATCAAGAAGAAGATCAACAAGTACGCCTTCTCCGGTGGTAAGACCTCGGTCGAAGAACACCGTCGCGACGGGGGTAACCCCGACGTCGACGTCGCCTACCAGTACCTCCTGTTCTTCGAGCACGACGACGAGAAGTTGCAAAAGATTTACGACGGCTACAAGCTGGGCGAAGTGTTGTCGGGTGAGATGAAGGCCGAGTGCATTGCCGTGTTGCAGAAGTACGTCAGCGAGTACCAGGAGCGCCGCAACGCCGTCGACGACGCCACCATCGATGCTTTCATGAAGCCCCACAAGTTGGTGTGGGGCCAGAAGGAGCGTCTTGTCCCCGCCGACCCCAGCAAGAAGAAGAAGCTGGACGCGAAGCCGGCCAAGAAGTAGGTGACGAACACTATGGGGATTGTGTCTTAATTAACATATACAGAAAAGACGATGCAAATAATGTGTAGAATGAGTCAATGGGTTTTAGCGTGAAGAAAGGTCAGCTTTGACTTGGCCAAGCACCCACATAAGTCGGTCAAAGTCGCCGTCAGCGAGGTCTCGCCCAAACCACTTCGAGCCTAAGCTGAGCACAACCGGTTTCTGCTTATGTATAATCACCATCTTGGATACTTCAGCAGCAATGATCTGGATCTTCAAATTGCTATGGTCTCCCACCACCAACACTGGGTCCACCTGGAGCTGGTCGGGCAGCATCTGGTGCATCGCCATCGTGAACGACGCGGGGACGGCGACGGTGAACGTGGAGTCCATTCCTCCGTCAATGTATAAGTTGTAGATCACCTGGTCGGCGGCCTCGACGTGCTGGAACTGGAAGTGGTGGCCATCGTGGTCGACGGTGAGCATGGTGGGGCGAAGATGGTGGTGATGAGACCAAATGAGAAGTGGTCGACACTCATCTGGCAAATGCGAGAAATTATAGTCGAGTTTAACCAGGCATTGATGAAACGGTTGACAGGCCGGTGATTGTCGGAACGGTATCGCTTCCGATGTACGTTTTGGTCCCTTCTTATACTAGCATACATATCGGCCCGGTCCCGAACCAGGCTTTGTCCCATCTGACTCAGGGATAAACAATAGTAGTATACACTAACCGAGTCAATTAGCCTATATTTTGATAATTGTAGCCCTGTTATGATTGTTGTTTGAAACCTACGTTTGCGGGTGAGACACGCGCTCTCATGCTGCCCCGGAGAGCTGAGTGCTGTCAGGCATAACTCAATATGGCGTCACCGTTACATGATTTTACTAAATGCCCGCGAGATGACAAATATCTTGTCAGCATGGCGCCCGGGTGCAGGGCGGTATATATGTAGCCGAGGTCGACGCTTCCCACCCACAATAGTGGTTTTGTATCCCAGCACCTGCTGTTTTCGTTGGTTATTGTCCGTTTGCAGACTGCCCGCTAGCCGTTGCCTCCGTGCTCACTGTCCATTAACCACCCCACACTCCGAACCGTGCGAAATTTTTCACAGGCTCACTATACTGACCACCGATACCCATGACGTTTGTTGAAGTGTCCGAAGCTATTGAAGCGTTCAAGAACGGCGAGTTCTTGATCGTGATGGACGACGAGTCTCGCGAGAACGAGGGCGACTTGATTATCGCCGCCGAGAAGTGCACCACCGAGAAGATGGCGTTCTTGGTCCGCCACTCGCTGGGGTACGTGTGCGTGCCCATGCTGACGGAGCGGGCCGACAAGTTGGGCGTCAACTACATGTTGCCCGACCTGTCGACTGACCGCCACAACACCGCCTACTGTGTCACCTGTGACTACGCCGAGGGCACCACCACCGGGATCTCCGCCGCCGACCGGGCGCTCACGGCGCAAAAGTTGGCCGACCCCAACGTTGACCCGTCCAAGTTTACTCGCCCCGGCCACATGGTGCCGTTGCGCGCGGTGCCCGGTTTGTTGAACAAGCGCCGAGGTCACACCGAAGCGCTGGTGCAATTGTGCGAGCTTGCTGGTTTGCTGCCCGTGGCGGTGATCTGCGAAATGGTCCGTGACGAGGACGGCTTGATGCTGAGGTTGCCTGACTGCGAGAAGTTCGGCAAGCAACACAACATCAAGTTGGTTACCATCGACCAGTTGGTCGAGTACATCAACCAAGGGGCCAACGGCCACTAATGACGCCATGTATATTTATAGACACCGAAGGTTACGCTGTCCTTCTGCCATGTATGAATAGCTTTTATCCTCAAATACATTACGAAAAATTTGCCGAATTCTGGGGCAAAGTGGGTCCAGCAACGTATCGTCCATTATTATGTCACCGCTTGATGGGGTCACAAGCAAAACTATTCATCATTCATATCATTACTACACCAGTTCCCTTAGAGGGAAACGGGACTGTTCGATAACAGCAATGCGGGGGTACCTTCAGCGGTGAAGCTGGGTTCAGGGGTGGGCACCAGCGAACGGGCCCTTTTTGAGGGAGACGCTTGTCGCCTGATGAGTTTTGGAGCCGGGCGCTTCTTTGACGGTGTCGTTGGCGGGGTAAAAAATTCGGCGCCGTCAAAGGAATCGTTAACTTCGGTTTTTATTATAAACGAATCGGTGGGCTCCGTTTTGATTTGAGGGTGAGGGGCAAGCAACGGCACCGGCGCGGTGGAAGCGGCAAGAGCAGCAGCGGCGGCAGCATCAGCTTCCTTTTTCGCTTGCTTCTCCCGTTTGATTTGCGCCCGAGCTTCCTTTTCTTGATTCATCTTGAGACGCTTTGAATCTAATTGTTCTTGAGTTAAGAACAAATCAGGGATCTCGGCTTTAAGAATTTTAATGAAATGGTCACAGTCACACAACACCTCGTAGTCAATGTGATCTTGCCAGATCAGTTTCAGCAACGGGGTTTTGTTGACGAAAATGACCTTGCCGCCCTTCAGGTGAACCGCCAGCGCCACCAGGCGAACCAACTTTTTAACGCCATCAACTTTAAGCGACGTTCCCATGATAATGAGCATGTCAGGACGCAGTTTAAGGTCGGTGTTGAGACCTTGGGCGAGGATCTCTGCTTGAGGGTGATTCTCACCATAAAGAACGATATTAGGCCGCAACCGACCAATGGTACCACCAGTAATACGCTTGCCGGCGTATAACCGCTCAATGTATTTGGCGTGGCACTTAGCGCACTCAGGGTTGACACCACCAGCAAGGAGTTGGTGGTATTCTTCGGTCCAGTCGTAGGCTTCAAAGCACAGAGTGCACGCCAATTTGTGTAAATTACCATGAAGCTGGACTACGTCAAGCAGACGCCATGATTGGTTGAATGTGCGAGCGGCGTCGAAATCTTCGAGGTTGATGCCCATGTTTAAATTAATCTGCTGCTCAAGGCAGTCGATATTTTGGGTGTAGCAGCGTAACAACTTGCTCCGTTCTTTGAGCACTTTGATAAACTTGTGGGTTTCCGTCGGCTTGGCATCGCGACTCAGCGCATATAACAGTGCCATAAATGTACAAAACAACTGGAGCAGCGTCTCGTCGCGGAAAAGAGAGATGTCGAATAAATCTTGTCCTTTCACCACCAGCTTGGTGTTGGGGAACTTAGCTTTGACTAAGTTGTAAAGCCCTTCCAGGGAACGGAAATCCGGGATGCCGGCATTACACAGAATACCGGCCCCCGTGAGCACGGTCGTCTTCTTGCTTTTGTAGACCCGTTTGGCGATTTCATGGAGGTTCAATTGGTTGTTGCGCAACTCCTCGGCGGTCAACCGGGGGGATTGCAAGTCGATGGTAATCATCGAGCGGGGCTAGCGTCGCAGGGATACGGCTCCAGATGAAACTTGGGGAGGTGAGGGGGTCGGGCGACGTTCAGGGGTGGGGTGTATGGTGCAAATCACGAGGACAACGCTCAGAGACCAGCAAAACGAACAAGACGGGGGGATTTGTTTGTCGCCGTAATCGAGCAGGCGCACTCTGGATCGCAAAGTGTCCCAGCATAGATTAGGTTATATGAAGGAACGATCATCCCCGAACGGGAAAAGAAAAACATACAAAAACAACACGCAGACGTGGTGGGTTGCGACACTGAGGGAACAGACACGAGCTAATCTATGCAAGAATTATATCTATAGTTTAGTGATGGTTTAGGCTTATAGAACAATTGTAGACACCTTGAGGCTAACGAGATTGGCTACCGTTCAATTCGTAATGTCCGTTCATTGTGGGTTGCAGGGTAAACTGTGATTGCTATCTTCCAGCCTGAGAGGAGGTATTAAGGTAAGGTGTGGCCAAGTTAGGGGTAACTCATATTAATCGAGGTGAGACGTTCATTTTGATTAACTTTTAAGTTTATATAATCAGCGTGTGCTGGTGAAGAATGTCTACTGGCCAGCCAAGTAGAAGGGCAGCAAGAGTAGGTAAGGTTCAGGCAGTTGTATGACAAACACGTCACGCAAATATTTTTGCCCCGTCGAGGTCCTAGTCATGATATCCGCACCCATCTATAACTATAAATACGTTTAACCACTCTGACTGTTGACGGCCAACTCCATGATCAATTTGGTGGCCAAATGCAAAAACGGGTACGCCGAGAACGAACTCATGTCGTCTAAGTCCAGTTTGATGAACGGCGACGGGATCTCGTCCTCTTCGGCGTTCTCAAACTCCCACCCGTCAAACTTGAAATCAACCAAGTAGTTGTTGGGTTCAAGTTGGAACAATTGGATTTGCATTTTCATGAGGTTGGGGGTCTTCTCGTCAGCTTGGTCATTTTCGTACTTCCACCGGACCCGAATTGTCCATAATTCTTCTTCCGTAGGTTTGGCCCATTCAGCACCCAAGTTCTTAAGTGCCCGGTAGATCTCACCCATCACATCCAACGGGTATGACCGCGACCGGATACCAAAGTGCCATCTGGTTTTCAGCTTTTTGACGGGAGCCGGAGGCACTTGGGCCGCTGGCAGATTGGCTTGCCGCATGTACTCACGGTGGATCGAGGGCAATGACAGTGGCAAGATAGCAATGGTGGAGTTGGGCAAAGTACTCAAATCCGGCACTAAGGCAAGGGTTTGGTAGGTCACCAGCTGGGCAACGCCGGGAGCCTTCAGCGTCAGTTGCGTAGGCATGTAGCCAGGGGTGGCGGGGAAGTCTTGTTTGCTCTTCTTCAAGTCACGCACAAGCAGAGGGTTTTCCTTCATCAAAAGGTAAGCATCCAAGATTTCATTAGTAGTGGCTTGAGTCTCTTGCTCGTTGTACTTATTGATGACAGAAATGATTTCGTCGCGGGGGTAACCCAACGACACCGTGAGCGCGTTGACCACGTCATCATCAATGTCAATCTTTTCCACCTTGGCCTTCGACAAGTCAGGCGGCAACAAGTAGTCGGCAATACCCTCTTTAAACCACGGGTCTTCCATGATTTCGTGGATGGTGATACGATTAAGAGGGTTAACCACCAACATCCGCGTCAACAAATGCTTAGCTCCGGGACTCAAGTAGTTCGGGAGAGTGTAGACACCATTGGAAATCTTCTTGAAAAGCGCCGGAATAAACTCGTCATCGAAAGGTAACCGACCACAAAGCATCACGTACAAAATGACACCCAGCGACCACACGTCGACTTCGGGACCAGCGTATAATTTACCAGAAATGACTTCAGGGGCAGCGTAGTTCGGCAGACCACACAGCGTTTTGAGGAAATTCCCATCGGTCATGATATTCAGCAAACCAAAATCGGCAATCTTGACATTAAGCTTATCGTCCAATAACAAATTTTCTGGTTTCAAGTCACGATGGACAATCTTATGACGGTGACAGTACTCAACGGCGGCGATAATTTGCTGGAAAAAGCGGCGGGCTTCATCCTCGGGCATTCTCCCCCGCTGGACGATGTAGTCAAATAATTCCTTACCGGCGTACTCAATGACCATGATGATTTCGTCTTTCAGCTTGATCACGTCGTAAAGCTTGATGATGTGGGGGTGCCTAAGCAACCGAAGGTAGGAGATTTCTCTTTCGATTCGGCCTTGCATGTCACTCTTAGCTAACGTCTTTCGGTTGATGATTTTGAGTGCCACTCGCTGGCCAGTAACGCAATGTTGAGCGAGCTTCACTTTACCGAACGACCCTTCACCGAGGGTTTTGATCACCTGGTACTTCCCGATACGGGTAGACGAGTGAGCGTTGACATCCGCCATCACCTGGTCGGGCGCCTCCTGGGCAGGGACGGGGGTTTCAGCGGCCATGGCTTGTGATTGTGTGTCGCACAGGTTCGAGTGGTGGGTGGCCACGAAAAAAAGTGGGCGCAGAGTGCACCACCCGCCAATGAGTCTGAGCGGGTCAGTGACGTGGGCTTAAACGACGAGCGAAAGATGACGTATCGGGAAAAACGAAAAAAAAGATTGAGTCATAATTTAGGTTTCATGGGTAAAATTTTCTGGCAGAGTTAGTGGTTTTTATCGGTGTGGGGTGGCTGCGTGACCCCGGGGGGTGGTGGTATCAGCGGGCCTTGTGGGGAAACACCCGCCCGTTACACAAAGGAGCACGTAGTGAGCGGCCCATTCTGTCTCGACTGCCGAGAGCGCGACCGCGCGAATTGCTTTTCAGCAAACTTTGTTCTTAGACACACACATTATTTATGACACAAAGGCGGAATTGCCGTCGTAGACCTGCATTAGTCTCCCCATGGCGATGTGGTCCGCCTTAGCTCTCAATATTTGAGGAAAGTGGTGGGGTGATGGTAGTACGCCCAGACACGTTTCACACCTGAAACAGTGGGTCGATGTAGGTTTAGGTGAGGCGTGTTTAGGATGACGTAGCTGATAACGACCACCGTCGTCTATTAGCGCCCCATTGAGCGATGATGGTCCGCCATCACCCCCACCATTGTACCGTCGTCACCCGCTAATGACCCTGAGCGGCTATCATAAGGCAGTGGTGATGTTCGCGGTGCAGCCCACCCTTACGTGGGCAGCCGAGAAGGCATGCCACACCTGCATCTGCCCCAGATTCCAGCCGTACTTGCAGAGATACACGATAAAGAGCATCTGAGATCTGGATGACTTTAAACATGTAGACAACGGGTCACGAAGACACACCGCCTCCGTCATTTACCAATTTAGTGCGGGTGACCAATTTGCCCCCCGAGGCGGTGTCATCCTTTATACCTACGAAGTTTAAGGCGTACTGAGGTGAAACCCACCCTTATAAAAGCCAAGGCGACGCTGAGCCCCCCGTGACACACGCGGCCTGCGAATGCATGTCATTGTTATCTCTAAAGCTATAAATTCTCCTGCAGCAGCCGCTCCCCTCCTCAACCGAAACCCACCCACGCTCACCCGTATATAAACCCACCCACGCCGCCGTCTTTGCTATTTTTTTTGCAAGCACTCTCAACCCTTCCCACCCCTCCACCCCCCCTAATGGTCATGGCGTTCCAGGACGTTACCGAGGTCACCACCACCGACCCGTCGAAGGTGGTGTGTCCCCTCCCCATCGTGCCCCGCCCGGTATCGTTCCTAGACTCCGACTATTCGGCGTTCTCCGACTCCGACAGCGATGGGTTTGCCGACGTGTGTGACAACGTCAGATACACCCTAGGGCAGCTCGGCATCGAGTCGTCTCGGGCTGACTTGTTGGCAAGCCCCCCGGCGCCCGAGGCGGCACCGTTAGGGCTGCACACCCCGGACACCACGAGAAACTCAGCCACCGAGGATGAGAAAAAGGCGGCTAATCTTGACGCCCAATTGCAAAGCATCGTCAAGCTGGAAGTGGCGTGGAGCAAAATCTTCTCCAGCGCCGGTACCAACATGCCGGTGGACGTGGATGCGCTGTTGATCCCGTTACTGCCTCAAGACCACCTGCCGCCGGAGCGGTTCCCTCGTCTGGTGGTTGACGTTGACCGCATCCTCAATTACCAAAAGCTTTATGAGGATGTCCACCTTGAATCCACCAGCTCTTATACCATCAATGGCCAACCATGGGGGCGTCAAGCCCACCAGCATGACCTGGAGAGCTTCATGTGGGCCCTGGAATGTGACGGGATCACCTGGGTCCACCCACAAGACCGGTTCGTCGTGGTGCCAGCCACCACGCAAAAGCATATCGACATTGCCATTGCCAACCAGTGCTGGACACTGGGGCTGTCGACCAACAATTTGTTGAATTACATTTACCAGCAAAGCGCCGCCAACGGCGCCCGCACCTGGATGTTCGTGTCGAACCCTACCGACGCCACCATCCAGGGCATTGGCGAGATGGTCTCACCCATTGACCCTCGTGCATGCATGGCCGAGTTCGGCTCGGCCCTCGTGGGCAGTGGTCGGGTCAAGTGGCACCTGACGGCGACGGTGGGGGGCCTGTGGCTCGACGGCCTCACCACGCAGCAAGGCACCAGTCTCACCATGAGTGGGCCCCCTGCCGAGCTTGACTGGCTCACTGCTCGCGAAGTCATCGACTTGTTCCTGCCGGAGTAAGCTTCGGGGAACCAAGTCTCTTCAACCATTCATCATTAGTGCGATTATACCCAGTAGTTAGTTAAAATTCAGGAGTTCATTTTTCCTCTGTAGGCCCGCAACGCTCAGCTTAACTCCATAATGGCACCACTTTTTCCGTGCGAAGGGTTTTCCCCTTGTTAACTCCACCATACCTCTATAACGATGTTACGACTGGTTTGCAGAGCTCGGAGCCAATTCAGAGGGCTTGCCACCAAGGCGGAGGCGGTGAAGAAGTACTACGGCGACGACATCACCTACGGCGAGCTCAGTCCCGCCCAGAAGGCATTTTTGGACCGCGTGGTACGCGTAGACCAGGCGGGTGAGTTGGGCGCCGACTACATTTACATGGGCCAGTACTTCGTGTTGCTGAACAAGTACCCTCATTTGAAGCCGGTGTTGCAACACATGTGGGATCAAGAAATCCACCACCACAAGACGTTTAACGATTTGCAGGTGCAACGCCGAGTGAGACCATCGTTATTGACCCCGTTGTGGAAGGTGGGGGCGCTTGCTATCGGTGTGTCGACAGCAGCGATTCTGCCGGAGGCAGCGATGGCGTGCACGGTGGCAGTGGAGACAGTTATTGGTGGCCATTACAACGAGCAATTAAGAGTGCTCCAGAACCAATACGGCGATATCAAGATATACGACAAGAAAACCGGCGAGGAATTGAACTTGGCTGATCCCAACATCGCTGTGGACAAGCAGGCGTTGGTGCTGCCGGAGTTGACTGAGCTCAAAAAGACGATCTCGCAGTTTAGAGACGACGAGTTGGAGCACTTGGACACCGCCATCGAGCACGACGCCGAGAAGGCGGTGCCGTACATGTTGCTTACCGAGTGTATTAAGTTGGTGTGCCGCACGGCGATCTGGACCGCCGAACGGGTATAGAGTATATAGTTTTGACCCATCATGAGTGTACGACCAATGCGAGCAAAAAAGTGTAGAGTTATCTTTTACCCAACTTTGAATCATGCTTGTTTCATTCACTGTTTTGGTTTTTTTTTATTCAGATTCTGGAATTTACGATTTAGGCAGTTGGTAGAGATTAAGTCGCGTACGCTTTTGAGCCGCACCAACATAAACAAAGCGCCATCATGAGCAACACCCGGGCCAGTTTCTACCGGCGACAGTCCCAGGGGATGGCTCCGCCTCAGTCGGAGCAGGACATAGCCGAGACCATCAACTTCCTCCAGATTCTCCGCTTCGACATCAGTCGGGAAGAGCTTGAGCGACCCACGCCAAAAGTCATGGCCGCGTTCATGGAACACATTGTCGATCAGCTCGTGGGGTTGACGCCCGAAATGATCAGTGAACGGGTCCACGAGTTGTTCGCCGATCGACCAGAGATGATTAGTGAGTGGGAGCCTAAGATTCGCGAGACGGTGATGTTCCACGCTTTCCACGATTTACTCAGATTATCAAGAACTCCGGAAATGACAGGATTAACGATTGCCAACATCACCAAGCCTGACGTCGCTACGTTCAGAGCTATTGTGAATGCGGTGATTGAGTTTGCTCAGTTCCGTGATCATCAGGGTGATGTCAATGATATTCTCGCCAGTATGGAAGCATCTACTGATCGTGATACTAAAGCCGAGGAGGATCTAGTACAAGCCCAGGCGGAGTATAACGAGATCAACCGCATCGTTCAGTCACAGTCGTCTGATCTTGATCAATGTGAGCACTACAACTATCTCTTGTCACAAGAGCTTTTGAAAGTCAAAGACACTGCTGATGTTCTCGTGCAACAGTGTGAGGATTTCAAGCGAGATAAACGCAGTTTGACTAACGATATTCAGCTCAAACAGAATGAGTTGGAGCAGCTTCTGCTTGACGTCCGTGAGCTTGAGTCTTACCAAAATTTCGACCACGACGCTGAGTTGCGTGAGATTGAGGCATTGGAGGAAGATATCGCCCACTTGGAACAAGAAACCGCTGCATTTTCGGAACAAAAGCAACGCTACATCAGCATGCAGAGACAACTTCAAATCCCTCAAGCCCACTTCCAGATTTTACTCAATGAAGTGAACGAATACCAGAAGCTTTATGAAGATGCTACTGAAGCCAAGCAGGATAATGCTCGCAGTCAAAGTGATCTTCGCCGACTCGAGAACGAACTCCTACGATTGAGAGATCAGGCTGAGCGCCACGAAAAGCACCTTAAATCGACTAATGAAAAGTTGAACCGATTCAAGGAGCAATACGAACAACGAAAGCGCGACGACGATGAACGCAGTCGCCAAGAAGAACGAGAACACAGCCGAGTGCTCGCGACACTTGACCAAGAGAAACTTGAAATCGAGAAGCTTGAGCGAGATACCGCCGAACTTGAGGCTATCGCCAATGACGAAATGCACCTGCACAACCGGCAATTGGGAGAATTGGACAATATGCTCCTTAAACTTATAAACGCCGTGAACAATCATTGGGTGCCGACATCGGAATCGTTTGAAAAGGCGGTGAAGGAGATGGTGGCCGTGAACCCATCCGAGCCGGTGGCCGTCACTACCGATGACAACTGAAATCGGTGCCCACCCACTAATTTAATGAAGCTACGACCTGTATTGTAATATTACGTCAATGATAAGCCTATTTGTGTTCTTATTGTACTCAACTCTTCTATGAGTAGTCTGCACCCCTGAACTTAGTTACGTTGGCAAGATCTTCATATGATTGAATCAAGCAAAGATCCTGAACAGATTGTCAGCATATCTAGGGTTCAAAGTAAAACACTCTTCACTATTAGTATCACGTCACTGCTTTGTTCAAATTGCTTGAATTGCTTATTGGTGAGGGTATATACCCCCTGAATGCAAGCAGTGCACAAAGCGATTGTATCGTTGTTAAGACGACTAAGAGGCATAGCGGTGATTGGATGGACTGATCGGAGATATCGCAGAATCATGTTATCTAATAAGATGCCATCTATAACTATAGAAACCCATGGTAAGTATTGACGGGGCACCGCGAAAGAGTCCATCGACTTCATTGAGCTCAACAGCAGTTCTAGTGTCCCATGAAACGATGTAACCAATCATACCCTTTGGAATAGACTTATTTGGTTGCACTGTATTACCCGTAATTCAAACGGTCATACCTGTACAGCTATACGTATTGAAAGCGGGTACGTTTCTGTTTTGAGGATCACTAAAGGTATCATGACCATATCAATGACATACTCCGCTTACGTGAAGCATTAGAATTGAAGGTACCAGTACTATAAATACCATTGATAAGCTCTCTCTCCTTACTCTCTGATTTCAGAAAATCATGTCGTCTCCTCAAGTTTGCTCCGGTTGTCCCAATGGCCCCAAAGGTTGTGCTGATTGCCCCAAGAAAAAGTGAGGGCCACCCCTGAATCCGATTTTTTTGGAAGTTACTGGTAGCTTTGTTTTTTATAAGGATTCAATACATGCGCCTAAATCTATGATACCGTGTAGATGTCGTATATATCTAAGCCGCACGCGAACCTCCTCGAGGCTGAATGCGGTTGGCAGTGTTTTCGGGAGGCACCGCCACCAATGAGCTTGTGGGGCTCTTTGGCGAGATTTTTCCGCAGATCACCTATATCATCCCTATCTCCGATAACGGCGGGTCCACCAGCGAACTCATCCGCGTCATTGGCGGGCCGGCAATTGGCGATATACGGTCACGGCTCACGAGACTTATCCCGCCCCACCAAGACCGACTCCGCAATCTCTTGAGTTTCCGACTATCAAAAGACCCCAAGGATGCCAAGGACCAGTGGGCAGATATTGTCGATGGCACCCACCCGATCTGGCAGGGTATTCTTCCGTCGACTAAGGAGTTGATCCGGTCGTTTTTCATCCACGTAAACGTCGAGCTTTTGAAGCGACTGCGCCCGCCCTCCGCCGCCAATGCCACTAAGCTGTACCGGTTTGAGTTGGCCAATCTCGGTAACCTTTTCTTGACCGGGGTACGTCTATTTGTGGGCTCGTTGGACTCGGCAATTGAGCTCTTTAGCCGCATCACTGGTATCGATCCTAACGTCGAAGTGTTTCCCTGCATTAACACCAACTTCTCCTACCACATTCTGGCATTATTAGAGAATGGCAACATCATCACCGGGCAGCTGCAAATCTCGCATCCGTCGCTCACTACTGCTCCTGACGTGTACCCTCCGCCATTCTCTAACACCCAACCACCCCTGCCGCAAATTATGGCCCTGACGCCTGACATACTGTCACCACCAGTGCTAGAGTTTGGCATTGAGTCAGATTCATTAATCATGACACCGTCCACTCCTGCTCCGCAGATCAACGTGGTGTCACCAGCAAGACGCTTGTCAGAAGGCTCAGTTCTATCATCAGATGATGAAGCGGGTAATCTCCCTCAGTATATCCATCCTGAGCTCAAAAAGTCTCAGCTTCACTTTTCTAAATGTGAAGATACACCATTATTGTCGCCGATCAAGCGGATATTCTACATTCTGCCTTATGGTCAAGAAATCTGTCCTATTGGTTACGCTCGCGCTACAGCACTGGTGACTAATTGTGATGTATTGGTGTACTCGATTGGCTCGCTCATGACCCTGATTGTGCCCATCATTATTCTCCGAAACATGGGTAAGGCCATCGTCACCGGTCCCGCTCGTAAGATCCTTTTACTCAATGGATGTACCGATCGAGAAACTGCCGGCATGGCAGGCGAAGACTTTGTACGCGCCATTGTCGACGCTGCCCGCTATCTGATTGACAATCTGAAGCTGGCCGTACACCTTACGGGACAATGGGACCAGTTCGTCACCGACATCGTCTACTTAGAGCATGGGATTCCCGTCAACACCGAGTTGCTTGAGCACATGGGAGTGAAGTGCCACCAAGTGGAAGGGCGTGATGTCTACAACGAGGAGGCGTTGAAGCGGGTTCTTATACGTCTCACATCGCCTAATTAGATCCGTTATATTATTATACATGCAAGAAAACCCCCCCTCAAAATTAATCGTACCACACCTTAATCAACTCTTCCGACACCGCCGACGGCGTCAACACCCCCAAGTCAGTGATTAACGCGGTAACGTATTCGTCAGGGGTGTAGTCGGTGGTGTAGGTGGTCAACATGTCGGCCTCGTTGGCGTCGCAGCACTGGCTGCGGTCCTGGTCGTTTTGCACCGACGCCGGCAAGTCGTTGGGAGCAGTGGGGAACATTCTCACGAACTTATGCGATTCGGCAGCCACGTAGAACGGCTTGTGGTTAATTTTGGCAAGACACCCGATCTGGTACGAGCCAATGTGGTTGATGATCCCACCCAGCTCGGCGACGCCTTCGGCACCGACGAAAATCTTGTCGACGCTGTGAATGACGAACCCCACGGCGGTATCCACAATCACTTCTGCAGGGATATCGTAAGCTTTCAAGGCCTTGGCCATGCGGTAACCTTCGCCAGTGGGTCTAGACTCAGTGACCATGACTCTAAACCGGATCAAGTTAGCCTTAGCTTCACGTAAAAGCTGGAGCACCGATCTCGAGTAGGAGTGGACTAAGATGCAGTCGTCGTCGTCAATAAACCGCACCCCGAGCTTGGCGAGCTTCGCCCGACTCTCCTTAGCCCGTTGCACGAAAAGCTCCCCATTCTCCACGAGATTGGAGCGACACAGCCCCCAGTCGTTGTACAAGTTGATATTTTTGAGGACAAACCGCATGAACAAGTCACACCCGGCGGAAAGGGAGATGGAGTTCAGGATTTGCGCTTTGAGGTCGTCGATGTTGCTTTTGACCAAGTTGAGGAGCTCCAGCGACGTCTGGGGCTGCTTCTGCCGGATCATAGCCACGAGCGACTCGATGGCGGCAATGGGCATCGTCATCTCCGGGTCCTCAGCGAGGAACTGGAGGTAGGTATCCCTGATGTTGAAGTCGCTCATACTGGAACAGATGCGCACTGGTGAAAATTGAATGGTAGTAGTGGTGGGGGTGCCACGAGTGGTGGGGTTGTAAAGAATAGATTGATGGAGTAGCTTTTAATCCATACAATTGAACGGGTATCTCCAGTATGAGATTGAGTAACTTTGAGTAATAAAAGTCATTTTCCACCGATTAGTCTTCCATACAAACATTGATTCCCATAAGAGAGGATATATCATCCTACTAGGGAATTGATCCATAATAAACTGAGTCCTAAATTTTAAATAGACAACTGTTCCAGAAATACACCTAATTCAATTTGAAACAAGTTTCAGCACACTACTGCTGGTTGCATCTGTCAGATCAGCTATGGTGCTGATCTGTGTTCGCACGAAAAGCGTCTCATCCCTCATGGCTGGCAAAGGGTTATTCGTCGACGAAGAAGAGCATGACGCCGTGGTGGTGAAGGAGGAGCCGGTGGACGTCGTGGTCATGGACGTCGATACCCCTGAAGCCACGGAGACGGGCTCGATTGACGCTGAGGAGGCCGATTCGGATACGCGTGCCGACGACGACAGCGATGACCCCGTGATCAACACCGTCCCCGTCCTCCTTAACCAAGTTTCCGAAGGATCATATCACATATTACAGTTCCCCGGTCGCCCTAAGCTGCGAGATTTGCCTGAAGACATCAAACCAGCAGTCAAACCAAAGCTGAACTATTTGCAGATCAAGCAGCCGTTGGACACGTCCAAGTTCTTCAATGTCAACAAGCAAGACCTGTGGGGGGAGGAGATCGGTGAGCAGACGGTGGAAGGTGTCTTGGACCCGGCTAAGGGGATGTATGTCTGTCGAGTCGTCGACGGTAAGGTGGTGATGACTCCCATCGCGCTGTCGGTACAATTACGACCTAAGTTCGAATATATTGATGCCGTTGATAAGGCATCGGCTGCGGCTCAACGGAAGGAGCACGAGCTGGCGGCGAAACCGCAGACGATGCAAATATTGCTGTCCGTCGCCAAGGCCCCTACCCAGAACTTAAATGCTGACGGCTACAACGGGGCGTTGGGCGAAGCCTTGCGTTATATCAAGCAATTTGACGAAGAGGAATGGGTCGGGTTAAGCTGGAAGAGCGAGGGGATTGACGAGGCCCTTCCCAAGCCGGAAGAAGAAGTGATCACCACCACCGCCACCAAGAGCGACTATATAGACATGATCACCTCTGATCTCGCCAACTTATGATTATAGTAATGAATTATTTAATTAAATTAACCGTAATATTCAACCGTTGTATATTTTGCGGCGCTACCATGTGGCGATGGCCATCGCGGCACTATCAGCCGCAGCCCCGTATCTCCAGGCCTCATCGCACCCTGAATTCATTATGGACGGGGATGACGGGTTATTGTTGAACTTTGCCGCTCCTCTGGCGAGCCAGGCGCCTGCCAAGGCACCCAAAGTGGTCGGGGGTAGATGGCGGGACCGCCGCAAGATGCAGTTGGCCCTTGAAGGGAGAGAGATCACCCCTAAGACCCGCAGCGACGCCAACCTGGAGCCGGTGGCGCCGAGGAAACCGAGATCAGAGTCAGGGTATAAGGGTAAGAATGCTGGAGGTAAGCCTCGGGAGCGGAAACCGAGGGCAGAACCGGGTACTGACCATTTGGGACCGCGGTTAGGGGGACCGAAACTGAAGTATACTGAAGGGCGTGGGTCCGACGGTAAGGGGAATACTTATGTGTCATCGTTATTCACCCATTCTGAAGCATCAAAATTGGAGTTGAAGAAGAATACGGTGAAGTATGCCGCCACCAATGCCCCCTTACTGGCCGATTTCAATGATTTGGGGCTTAATGAGCGGCTAGTCACCCATTTGAACGACAATTTGAGATTTAAGCACCCCACCAGAGTACAGCAGCTTGTGGTACCGAGAATGGTGGCGCTGCTGCAAGATTTATTCATTAAGGCGCAGACGGGGTCGGGTAAGACTCTCTCGTTTGTGCTTCCTATTTTACATCTGTTGATGGAGCTGGAACGCAAAATCCACCGGGAACTGGGGGTGTTTGCCATCATCTTAACCCCGACACGGGAATTGGCCCACCAGATCTACCTGGTGTTGGAACTGCTCACTAAGGTGTGCCATTATATTGTTCCCGGTATCGTCATTGGGGGTGAGAAGAAGAAATCGGAAAAGGCTAGACTCCGAAAAGGGGTTAACATTTTAGTTGGTACTCCCGGCAGACTCGCCGACCACATCGACAACACCAAGCTGTTCCTGACCGCCGAGCTCCGCTGGTTGGTGCTTGATGAAGGGGACAAGTTGATGGAGCTTGGCTTCGAGGAGACGATCAAGAAGATCACCGATAAGATTGAAAACGATAAGAACTTTGGCGACTGGCCCGGTTTGCCCACTGACCGTACAAACGTGTTGTGTTCGGCGACGATTCAGGCTAATGTGAAGAAGTTGGGCAATATTGTGTTGCACGACCCGGAAATGGTTAGTGTTGATGGTAAGCTGACGGTTGCTTTCAATGAAGAGCTGCAGAGAGCTCCTGATCAGTTAACTCAGGAAGTAGTGGTGGCTCCTGCCAAGTTGAGATTGGTGACGTTGGCCGCTAAGTTAAGACTGCAAATGTCCACTGGCGCTCGTGTCATTGTGTTCTTGCTGTGTCTGGACCTGGTCGACTTCCATTTCACGGTATTCACTAAGGATGGACACCGAGTAAAGCTTGCTAAGCCCACTAAGGAAGATAGCACTGCCACCATTGATACTGACGGTCGTACGCTGCCGTTCTTGAACGATGCTAATGTATTCAAACTCCATGGGTCGCTTTCACAACCGGTGAGACTGCTGACTCTTTCGGCGTTCATCAAGTGTAAGCTGCCGGCGGTGCTTTTCTGTACCGATGTTGCTGCTCGTGGTTTAGATATCCCCAATATTACGCTGGTGGTGGAGTACGACCCTCCCTTCACCATTGACGACCATTTGCACCGGATCGGTCGTTCAGCTCGTGTGGGTAACGACGGTCACGCCACGCTCTTCTTACTTCCCATCGAAGAGACTTATGTTGATAAGCTTAATACTGTCCACAAGGGGGTGGATGTGGTTGATTATAAGGCGATTCTCACTGAGTTTGGCGAAGGTGCTAAGAAGACGGAATGGGACACTCACGCCACTACTTGGCACTTAAACGTGGAACGATGGTTACTCGAAGATGAAGGGGCTAAGGAGCAAGCGATCAAGGCGTTTACCTCGCACATCCGGGCGTACACCACCCACTTGAACCTGGAAAAGAATTACTTCAACGTCAAGAGTCTCCATTTGGGGCACTTGGCGAAATCCTTTGGGCTTCGGGAGACCCCTAAGAAGCTTGGGGGAACTGCGGGTACTACGCCTGCCACTAAGCGTAAAGCTCCTAAGGAAGACTCACGGACGAAGATGTTGCGTATGGCGAAGATGGCGGTGCGGGACTCGACCAGCGACTTTAATTACTAGACACGAGAGAAAGCGGTTTAACGAATAATAAGCCAATTAGCATGATAGAGATTTTTAACGAACGCAATCAGCATAACCATAAAAAGATTACAGGATGAACTGAGCGTAGTGGGCTTCGCGGTAGCCTTCAATCTTCCACAACCCGTGGTTCTCACCCATGATCGTGGTGAGGGGCTCGGTGGCGTAGAAGTCAGGCTTCACTTTGAGCACGGTGATGATGTCGTCAAGCATGATCGCTTTGCCCACGGTGATGCCATACCCAAGACCTTGATGGGCGACGTTGACCACGTGGATGTGGAAGTGGTAGTACGACGGGTGGTAGTGGACAAACACACGCAATTGGTCGGCGGCGACGCTATACTTAGCTCTAGTGGCCATGACGATGAGAGCCTTTAAATCCTCAAGCCAGGGGACATCAGCACCAGTAAGATCACGCACACTGGCAATATCTTTGCGGTTGACAATGCACGTCAAGTATAAGGCGTCGAGATTAGTACGGTCCCACTTCATATCGGGTAAGAGAACAAAGCCGAATTTAGGGTCCTTATCATGATAAACAAACGTCTCCAGCTCCTTACCGTCGTAGAGAATGTTGTATACCCACTTTATGCGGTCTCCCTGCTGGGTTTTGATGTAGGGAACGACGTATTTGTGGTACATCTCCGCCGTCTCAGTTACCATATGGTACTTCTGAGTGTCGTACTTGCGGATATGAGTTTCAGTACACGGCCAGATGAGGTCAAGCTTGGCCCCGTACTCTTCGTCAACGTGAGCCTGAGCCCACAGATAAATGTCATTCTGTTGGAGCACATTGCACTTCGTGATCAACGCGGCTATATTCGGGGTGGACTCATCAATTGGGGTCTTTTCAAGCTTCAAGATGGCCGGTTGGCCATCAATGGTCCCAAGGAACGCCGCCAGCTTCGTCTGAGGGTCATTGGCTAGCTGTCGTTGTAAAGTGAACCGGGCTATGATTTCTTGGAGGTTCATCGCGTGGTGCGACTTCGGGACCTGAACAATGGGGCGATAAGGGATCGCCCCTGAGGGTAGGGGGGCTTATGAAGGTTAATTGATAATTGATAGTTTATTCGTGGTGGCTAGAGGTGGGGGTAGTGGGGGAGTGAATCCATGGTGGCAAGGGCACGGCTTAGTATTAACTTTGTGACAACACCAAATGAACTAGAAGAATAACTAGAAACTTGAAGGTGCTCACCTGATATGATTAATGACGAAGGTCACTAACCAGTAAAGATACAACGGTACTATTCAGAGCTTGGATTAGCTTTATTATAGTAGCTATGGATTTGTGAATGCAAGTACTCTGGGGTGGTCTGGTAACTCAAATGTGAGCATAAAAATCACCCGAGCGGGGTACACAAATTACGCTGATCACCAATGGATTCGTTGACTCTCGGCAGCAGTTGCACTCGGTGTCCGTGTGCTACCAATGACCATGTGCTCAGCTTCAATCGCTGTCAGTGGTGCCGCAATTACTACCACTTCTGCTATGAGTGTGTTCAAGTGTGCTGTGGCGGATGCTCTCAGCTGACGGTGATCACCGGGGCTCGGTATCTGAAGCACCATCATCGTCGTCATCCTCATCGTCATTAAGGTCAAAGCAGAGCCAAGAAGGCCAGGCGATTTCATCACGAAGCATGCTGCGGAGGCGCTCGGTCAAGAACCGCTCCACTTTGCCGACGTTGCGCAACACGTTATTCTCCACTTCACCAATTTCCAGCTCGATCCGGATCTTCTTGATGATGTCAATGCGGTCGCGGCCACTGACAAAGTCGGAGAAAGTGGCGTTGGCGGGAGTCAGCGACGCCCCATCGAAGTAGTCGGCAATGTTATCGTTTATATCACACAAGAAGGAGAAATAGACCAGGTGTTTGAGGTAGGCCACGGCGGCAATCAGGTGGATCACCATATCGGTAATATGGAGCTTAATAGGAAGGGAGATGAAATTAGACGACGGATAGTTCACCAATAAGTTAACCGTTACCTCGATGGTCATATCCCCTTGGTAGTCAAATTCAACGGTAAACTGGATATCATTGACGTGGCGTTGCTTAGTTTTCTTGCCCAGTTGTAAACGATCATTGCGATGGGTTAAAATGTCCAAAGGAGTCTCTCGCCCCAGTGCTGAGTTATGGCCATTAGCTCCTGGCGGTTCGGGTGGTTTGATCCCTCGAGGAAGTCCGACTAAACTGGTGTAGTTTTGGTGTAAATTGAGCAATTGAGTGGTACCCACCATAAGCGATACTGAGTCCAGTGATGTTCTCGTCGAGGCAAGAGGGTGAGGTCCTGGCAGGAGTGACCGGTGTCGTGGTGTTGCCGGTGGCAGTAACGGTGGCTCCATGTGGAAGGTGCTGGCAGCCATCGTCGTGTTTTCGCCTATAGTCATCATCTCGTCCTCGGAGTCAATGCTCTCGCTATCGTCGGAGTCAGGCACGTTAGACGCTACCCGAGACACCGGCATCTGTGCTTCCGGTGACTCTTCCTCGTAGAAGGCATCAAACGGGTCGCCAATGTGACGGATGGTGATATCTGGCGGTTTAGTGCCGAGACAGAAATCGGTGACCTGGAGGTTGTTAATGAACAGCGGGAGGCTGATCAGGCGGAACTGGTCGTCCAAGAACGTGCGGAGACTGCTGGTGAACTGCTCGTCGCTGACGAGGTTGTCCCAATTGATGTCAATCGACATCGTGTATGGTGGTGTAACTTTGGTATTATTATGGGACGATCTCCCCAAAGATGGCGGGGTGGCGGTTCGAATCGCGGCGGCCGCGTTTACCATTATTTAATACGAATAGAGGTTTACTGCACACTACCTGCAGGACGAGTCTCAGCCAGTAAAAATTTCACCATTACCAGTGCGACCGCGACCCACATTTGAGCCCCAATGTCGAAGTTCGTGTTTGGCACTGCCGTCAAGGAGTTGAGATTCCACTTGTCCCAGACCGGGGAAGCTTCGGTTCCCCTTAGAAAGTTCTTGCAAGCCAATTACGCTCCGTTGAAGCAAGCGTCGGACAACAAGGTTCCCATCTTGGTGAGAGAAGCGTTCGGCATCCCCCCGTCGTTGACCGCCAGATTCGAAAAGGGTAAGGAAATTAAGAAGCAGTTGGAAGGGTTGACTGAAAAGGACATTGCCGACCAGGTGGCGACGTTCATCAAGAGCAGCTAGACGGCGTTGGAGTTTAGAAGCGGGCTTTCACGACATATTATGCATTAATACAAACATCGAGAGACTGGCTGGTGTAGAACGTTGACGGAGTTAATCTTCAATTACTTATTCAGCATTTACAAGTGTGCAATGATTTTTAATGAGACTTTTGAGACTTTTGATGATTTAATGGCAGACAATCAACCACACTTCATATTTTGGATTACTAATGCTAGTAGCTATATACTGACCCGCTCAAGCCTTGTCGGTGTAGTCCTTGCCGAATTGGAAGATGCCCCACCCCATAGAGCTGAAATCGTTGTTGTAGAGCTCCTTAATTGGTTCATCGTTCTCACTAGCAACACCGGCACCGACAACTGCAGGCAAAAAGTGTTCGAGCGACGGGTGGGCGTTATACAACAAGGTCGGGTTTTCCTTTTGCAATTTGGTGATGGCTTCACGCTTATCACCGGGGCCAGTAAGGGTCAGAGTCAACCACCGGTTGAACGGCTTAGTGTAAGGCATCACTCCACCGGGAGCAGAAAGGCCTCTACCGATGTCTCCAAGGTTGTGAACAGTCATCCCCAGACAAACAATGAGGCCCCGAGCGTAGCGGTTTTTGGATTCGTCCCACACTTGGTGGGTACGGAAATAGTTAAGCACTTGGCCTAAACGGAAGTGGGCATCGATATCACGGTCATTAGCGGTAAGCGAGACTTGGATCACTGCCGTATCAGGTAAATCCAACCCCTTTTCCTCGGGTTGGGGGTTGGTTTTCGTGTTATAGTCGGAGAATGCCACTTTCAAAGGGACCCAAGCACCATGGTCAAGCCCACGTTTAGTGAGACGCGAGTTAAACCCGTTCTTCTCAAGGTGAGCTTTGATTTGCTCGCCAATGACAGGAGCATTTAACGAATGAAATTCTTCTTGGTACATGTACTTGGGAAATCCGTAGAAGTCATAGATGAGCTTATTCTCAGCCAGAGGAGCATCAGCCACATTCACTTCAACCAAGTTGGAGCCGGTAGACTGCCAGTGGGCCAGCACCACGATGATGTAATCGGGCTGCCATTTCTTTATCAATCTGCCGATTTTCTTCACCGTCTTCCAGGCGCCACGGTCACCGAAGTCATCGTCTTCGTATAAGAACGAGGGAGCCCCGTGGGAAAAGAAATACGCCGGGAACGGCTTGGTGTTGGCGGCGATCTTAGCAACAGACATCGGCGATTGAGCGGCGGGAACGGGCGATTGACGGTAGACAAAGTAGTAGTAGGCAACGGAGACAAGAACAACGATGCCAGCAAGCAATTTCATCTACTTCATCATGGGATGGCGGGCGGCTTCGGTTTATATGGACCCCATTGTGGTGGATTTATAAGCAGTGCGCGATGCCGCCGGACATACACGGAGTTTTTCTGTGGGGTGGGCCGAGCACCCACATATGTTGAGTAATGGCAGATCGGGGGAAAGTGTGAAGATAGATGACGATTAATTGTAATCACTGTGGCGGGGAAGAACGTAATCAGAGGAGGGGCGACGGCTCGTATCGTGCGGTTATGAGCTACCGGTGTTGATCATTTAATCGGACAGAGGGGTGCCAGTGATAGCCTCGTCGACAACCGCAGTTTGTCAGAGTAAGTGTCAGTGAATTGAGCATAGATCATTTGTCATGGGTCAATGGTCTCCCACCGTGGTGCTCGCACAGAAAAATGTCGATTTAACCTAGGTCAATTTTCACTTCGGGTCACGGGGGGTGGCGGCACCGCTGTTGCTGTCTAAGATTCTGCTGGTAAGCACTTAACCCATCGTGCAGTGAAACAAGACACAAACCACATGTGTCTGCGCCTCATATCAGCGTGGCGTCGTCATCGTCGCAAAAGGCCCTACTATATTGCGTATACGGCCACTATGGCCCCCACAACCAATCGTAGAGCGAATAACAACACAACCAGCCATTGTTTCGACGGACACCTTTTACTTCGGTCAGATTGTCCTATTCACACAACATCTAACATAACCAATCCAGGAACTTTTCCATAATCCTTACTAAAGGGGCGGTTGCCAGGCAGCGGTTCTAAGACACCCTTGCTCGCGTACCTCAGGCATCGAACACCCCTCGCCGAGCATGGCCGCGTCACTGACACATGCGAAAAATGTCAGAATTTCAATTACGGCAGCCGGGGCTCTAGTACACCCATTATGGTGACTACTGGGAATTGTAGGCAGAGTGAATGATGAGGTGAGGCATCTCGTGGGATTTACGCTTTCACGCTCTTAGACATTTTAACGACAAACGCTTGTCGTTTAGGTGATGTTATGAAATTCGGACCGCGAAGCCGGAGCCGTGGCAGCCCCGTCGGTACCGAGCGATGGCACTACACCAGCCAGGGCCGATGCAAGTGAAATATGACTAAATGAGCTCCCAATGATCCATTGACTACTTTAAACTTGTAATCTATCACGGTTTGTGATGGTTGTAGCCGAACGGGGCGGGCATCGTCTGCTACAATTGCTCGCTCGTCATGCCGCACACGAGCCCGGGGTGTCCGCAACAATAAACAGCTTTAGCAATTCCTCAGCAGGGGTTATATAACACACGCCCACTGGCTACCCGACCAAAACTGTTGCTACCGCTGACAGAATGGTGGGTCTATTTTCGTCGTCGTCGAGACGGGTAAGTGAACCCCGCCCCATTGCGCTGCGAAGCGCTCACCGCCGCCAATTGGCGCCATACCCGACACCAATACTAACCATCACCAGCGCTCGAACCAGTATCAAGGTTTCGGCAAGTACCACCAGGACTTGAGCCACTACGTGCCCCAGGAGCCGAGCCAGTTCATCCTGCCCAGTGCCGCCCAGGGCGCCAGTGCCGCCGCCGCCGCCGCCCTCAAGGGCAACACCAGTCCACGGCCCCTGGCAGCTCAGCGCGCCGCCGCCAACATCCGGGCACTGTCAATGACGCTGGCCCTGCGCCAGTACGTGTATAATCCCAAGCCGCTGTACCACACAGGCCCCGTTAAGGCGACGCCGGCCCGGCGGGCGCTGCTGCTCACAGCGCAATCGGCCAAACCGCCGCCGCGGCGCCGGTTGCTGATCGACCACGCCCTCTCGTCGACGCAACAAGTGGAAGAAGAAGACGAAGACGAAGACTGTTTGGTGACCACTAAGACCACTAAGGTGTTGGACCAGTACGGGCGCACCCAGCTGATCACGACCAAGACCATCCGCACGTTGGCGGACGGGTCGCGCACCATCGAGACCACCACCCGCAATATCAGCCGCCTGGGCCTGCGCCTGAACTCGTTGCGGACGGGGCTGTTGTTGCTGAACCAGGTGCAGCCGCAGCCGCTCAACTTGGACAAGATCGACGAGGATTTGCAGGACTTTGACTACAACTACTTGGACGAGAACCAGCCGCTCCAGCTCAACCAGCACCACCCTACCAAGCGCGAGCAGCAGCAGCAGCCGTACGTGCTGCCGCCGCTTAAGCCCGTCGACGTGCGCACGAACTCGCTCCTGAGCTCGCTGTCACAACCCAAATTACGCCTGATCCTCAAGAACACCCAGCGCCCTCCTCTAGCGGACGAGGCGACGAGAATTGAGGTGATTAATGACGCTGACATCGAACTCGAGCCCCACCCCTACCAGAACTTGAAACAGACTCCCAAGCTGCCGCCGCTTCTGCCGCCTCAGGTGCAACAGCTGGAGTTTGTCACCATGGAGCGCCTCTCGTCGCCCGGCGGCTCCATCAAGTTCAACAATATGGTTGAGACCCACCACTACTATGACGCGCTGAAGAAGCTGCGCACGCTGCCGCAACAACCGCAACCAGGTAAGCGTGGTACTAATAAGGAAGCCCTCGGCGCTCTGCTGACGGCGCCGCCGCTGGCCGACTTCTACGCCGCCGCTTTGGAAGCGGCTCACCGCAAGGTCTACGGTGACCGTGACCCTAACCAGGTTGCCGCCGCCGGCGCCGCTGGTGGCGCCGCTGGTGGCGCCGCGGTGGCGCTGCCTCCCATCCCGCAAGATATCCAGGTGAAGCCGCTTGTGGTGCAAGATGACGGGGTCCAGGCCAATTACAACTACGAAAACCACCACAAGAGCTTTGTCGGCACGCTGTTGCGTGACGGGGTGCCGGCGCTGAAGCGCGATCGCGAACGCGAGTTGGAGCGTGAGCGCAAGCGCCAGGCCAAGGAAGCTAAGGCTCAGGCTAAGGAAGCCAAGGCCCAAGCGAAGGACGCCGAAGGGAAGAAGGGTGTACTTGGTGGATTGTTCAAGCGCCGCCGGGCCCTGGAGGAGGAGGAACTCGAGGTCGCCTCCCCAGAAGCCGCCCAGGCGCAGTTCACGCCGCCGCAATCGCCCGGGTTCATCGAGACCCACCAAGACGTGCAAAAGCTGAACCTGTTCAAGGACAAGTTGAAGCACGGTGGTCAGCGTATTTTCGAGAAGTTTGAGGCCCCCGTTCAAGGTAAGCCTGAGGACTACGCCAAGGACACCGTGGCCGTGGGCGCCGTGGGTGCTACCGCTGCCGGCGCTAATGGCGTCGGTGGTGTGGCCAATGCCAATGCCAACGTCAACTCCCCACCTGCCCAAGGCTTTGCCATCAACAGCCGCGACGGCCGCTCGCTGTTTGAGCGCCGCCTGCTGGCCGAGCGCTTCGGCCCGCTGCTGGGTCCGGTTCTGTTGCCTCAACAACAACAACAGCAACAGCAAGTTCGCGCCCAGCCGGCGCAGGTTCTGGCGGTCGCCGTTCAGGATACTGTGGTCAGTGCCGGTGGCGTCACTCAAGCCACCCGCACCGTCGTCGAAGAGCGTCTGCCCGCCGTACAACAGGCTGTGCACCAGGCCGCGTCCCGTCCTGTGGAATCCATGCCGATCATTGGTACCCCCACTGCGCCTAAGTTGACCAAGGACGAAGGCTTAATTACCGATGAACGCCAAAAGGCGCTTGGTCCCGCTTTCCAAGGTAAGAACCAACAACAACCGGCCACCACCACTGGAGCTGTCGTGGCTAACCCTGACGAGTACCAACACGGTGTTCAGGACGGATTCCGTCGTGGTGAACAGCTTAATGAACAAGACTACGAGCGAGGCTTGAACGCTGGCTACCAACAGGGTGAGGTTCGCAATGAGCAGGACTATGAGCGTGGTTTGAATGCTGGTTATGTCGCTGGTGAAGCTCGCAACGAGAAGGACTACCAGCGCGGTGTTCATGACGCTCAACGCGAGGCTGAATTGCGCCAACGCGAGCTCGAACTTCGCCAACGGGAAGCGGAACAAGCACGTCTCGAACAAGCTCGCAAGGCTGAACAGGCTAGAGAAGCACAACAACAAGCTGAGTACCAACGCGGGTTACAGTCCGAACACCTTAATGAACAGGACTACCAGCGTGGTTTAGCTGCTGGTTTTGAACAGGGTGAAGCTCAAAATGAGGCTGAGTATGACCGTGGTTTAGCCGCGGGTATCCAAGCGGGTGAAGCTCAAAGCGAGGCTGACTACCAACGTGGTATTGTTGAGGGCCAAGCCGCTGGTCAAGCCCAACTTGACGCCGATTACCAACGTGGCCTTGCTGCTGGTAGAGAGGCCGGTAAAGCGCAAGCGGAGGCCGACTACGAACGTGGTTTGCAAGCTGGTAGAGAAGCCGGTGCCGCTCAACTTGAACAGGAACGCCAACGTGAAATTGAGGCTGAACAACAACGCCAGCGTGAGATTGAAGCTGAACAGCAACGCCAGCGTGAAATCGAAGCCGAGCAGGAACGTCAACGTGAACTTGAAGCCGAGCAGGAACGTCAACGTGAACTTGAAGCTCAACGGGCCAAGGAGCAGGCATTGCAACGTGAACGCCAACGCGAACAGGAACAAATTGCTTGGGCTCAGGCTGAACAAGCTCGTCAAGCTGACTACCAGCGTGGCTTGAATGATGGCTTGCAAACGGGTGAAAACGAGAACGAACAGGACTACGAACGTGGCTTGGAAGCTGGTTACGAACAAGGTGAAGTACTCAATGATGCCGACCACCAGCGTGGTTTGAATGCTGGTTTCAAGCAAGGTGAAGTGAAGAACGAGCAAGACTACGACCGTGGTTTGGCTGCTGGATTCCACCAGGGCGAAGTACAAAACGACCGTGACTTCGACCGCGGGTTGAACGCTGGCTACCAACAAGGTGAAGCTCAAATCAAGCAGTCGCAAGCACTGTATGAAGAAGAGTACCGCCAGGGGTACAAGGCCGGTTACAAGCGTGGTCTTGAACTACTCGACGAAGAAAAGGCGAAGGCTGCTCCCGCTGTGGCGACTGCCAACCTGACCTTGCCCACCACTTCCACCACTGCACCTACTGTTGTTCCTACTACTGGTATTGTTGGTAAGTCTACTACTGCTACTACTGCGACTCCTGTGACTCCGCTGAAGCCACAACAGCCCGTAGTGGTGCAACGTACCGTCGTTGCCGCTGCCGCTGAGCGTCCCGAGAGCGGTGAGCTCGGGGTGATTGACTCCTACGCCGTCACCCTGGACGAAGCCGCCTCTCCCGATGCTGAACGCACTCCCTTGCAACGCAACAAGTCGCTGTCATCGTACAAGCGGATCCTGAAGTTGGGTGCGTTCTTCTCGCGCAACAAGTCTAAGGATAAGGTCAAGGACAAGGAGGCTGAAGCGGCGGCCACTAAGCAACGGAAGGGGTCGCTGGACTCGCTGGCGACCGCTCCCAACTTCAGTGCTACTGCTCCCAACGCTATTGGTACGGTATTCGCTGGCGGGGCCACCTCGGCGAAGCTGGCTAACGTGCCTCAAGTTGCTCGCACGACTAAGCAAGACCCCGTCGAGAACACTGCGTTTGCCCTGTTGCCTCGTCTGAGCTCTACTAATGTTCGCAACGCTGCTACCACTGGTACTGCTGCCAATACCTCCAACTTCGATAACTTGGAGACGGTGGAAGTGGGCGAGCTTGATGGCGAACTGGATGAAGAGTGGGGCACCCCGCCTCCCGAATTGAAGGAGCCCGTGGACTTTCCCATCGCTGCTGCTTCCACTAACAAGGAGAAGCTGAAGGCTCAGCTGGAAGCGTTGATCACTGAACCGCAACACGCGTACTCGCAACACGCTCGCCAACCGGAACCTTTGCTTACTGACCGTCAAGCTGAACCATTGATCACTGACCGTAACGTGGGCGAAACGTACCCTGAACCGAGCTACTCGGTGTCAGAACCGTTGCGTGACGAAGACGAACTCAATGAAGCCTACGACGACGCCTTTGACCGCACGCTGGACACTTCGAACTACCTGGCTGGTGACAACCGTGAACACGGTCTCCCTGTGGAACTGGTACAGCGGCTGGCGGGCGTCAACCCTGCTACCGACTCCATCCCTGTTGTCGTGCCCCTTGACAGCCTGAAAGCTGCTCACGTCCAGGACCTCCCCGTGGTTAACCCTACGGGCGTTTCGGCTCCTACTCAACGTACGGTGGAACCGCTCAATGACGACGTCGACCCTTCGAGCTACGCCCACACCAAGATTGCGGTGCCCACGCTCGAAGACGTTGGCACCCCGGGCTTTGACAGTGCTGAAGCTATCGACACCGGCCTGCTGTACTTTGCCGAGCTGATCCGCAAGCCTAACACTGACGGCTACAACACCCACCTGGACCTGACCTACGACTACCTGAACTTGCCTGACCTGAGATACGCGCTGAAGGCCGACATGCCTGCTCCCAACATCATGAGCGATGTTCCTGAGGACGTGGAGTCGCCGCAACACCTGCCGCGTGTGCCGAAGGACTTGGCCCTGGCAGCTGCTGCTGCTGCTCCCGCTGCTGCTGTGCGTGACGTTAACGTTAGAGAAGGTAACACTCCGATCTACGCCAACGCTACCAAACAGCTGTCTAAGACTGCTACTGCTGCTAACACCACCACCCTGCCTAAGGTTACTCCTCTGCTGCCTAAGGCGACCTATGTGGGCTCTGGCTCTACCCAACACCAGTTCACCACCCCCCACCACGTGAGCCACAAACAGCACGCGGGTCCCACCATCAGTGCTCAGGCGAAAGCGGCGTCGCCCGAACCTCAAAACATGACCCGTGGCGTGGAAGCGGCGTTTGCTAGAGGACTGCATGCGTTGAACCACCAGCCCCAGCAACAACCGCAAGCCTACCAGACCACCTACCAAACCACCACCCACCAAAGAACCCGTCTGGGCGGCGGGTTTGCTCCCCCCAAGACGTCGCAAAACCGTGCTTCTCACGCGGCTAAGAAGCTGACGACGCTGCTGTTCTACGACGTCGACAACATTGTTAGTGATACTGAGGATCGCGACTCACTTTTGGGTCGCCAGGCCGCTGCTAAGACTCGCTACTCCGGTGAGCTTGACCGCGAAGTGTTGATTCAGCAAGAGGCGAGAGCCACTCATGTGGTGACCAACGCTACTCCCGTGGCGAGCCCGTCGCTGCTGGCTCGTTTACAGCAGGAACGCACCCCGATCGTCACCGACCTCGTTGAGCCGAAGCGGAAACTGTTGGACCCTAAGCGTGCCGACGCTACCGCTGCTATTGGTACTACTGGTGCTGCTGCCACTGCTGCCTCGCCGCGTACGCCCCAGCTCCAACAAGGTGCTGGTTTCGGCACGTCTCCCTCGACGCAGCAACTGCCTCAAGGGCTTCCCTACGGGCAACATACTCCCCGCGAGGCGCCCCACCTCGGCGGTGCTCCTCAAAAGCCGCTGGCATCGGTGAACACCACCCCGAAGTCGCTTGTGGGAGCGCTGGCTCACACCACCCCTGCTAGTCCCCAAGTGATCAACGCTGGTGGCTTTGGCTACTTAGCCGACACCGAGCCTCGCCCCAAGTTCCTGAACAACAGCGAGCACCTGACGCTGACCCACCTGGAGCAGCCCACCAACCTGACGGCGTTGACCAACCCCAACGAGTTCATCCAGGAGGAGACGTACATGACCGAGGAGACGGAGGTCATCCCCCAGGCGCAGGCGGCGACTGGAGTGGCTCCCGCTCTGCCCTCGGCAGTAGCTAACGAGACTACCGTTAGTGATGTCACCATCGACGATGGCCCGAAGAAGAAGAAGCGGGGTGGTAAGTTTAAGTCGAAGATCATGAAATACTTCGTCAACCCACAAGTCGCTTAATTAATTAATGTAATGTACTATGATTCGGAAGAAATGTAGACCCTCTTGAGATTAGTAGACCGCAGTACGCTTTCATTTATTTCATTTGCAAGGACTTAGGAATTGTAAATCTACCGTAAAACGGTGGCTTTGTTAACGTGTAGAAGTTGATATCTTTCTCGGATCACCTTTGATCAAAACCTTAGAGATATGACTGTTCATTCTTTCTCGTGTAAGCATGATAAGATAAATTCATCGACTGACTTGAGGCAGATATAGACAATGTAGCACGCCGTGGTTGTAAGGTCAGGAAAGTACAATATGATGACTTATACGCCCCTGACCATACACCCCTCTTCTATTGTAATGGTCATTCGATTATGTTGAATATGGGTTTTACGTGGTGGGTCACTAGAAGAAAGTGTGAACCTCCTGACTAAGTCTTCGTTCCATTCATATCAAAGGCATATTTACGAAACTCAATTGGATTTCCGATAATGTTGGCTTGGATGTACTAATCGAAAATTATGATGTAGAGATATCTTATTGAGGGGTACTGAGGTGCCAAGTTCTTATATTCACAACTATCACCCACATCCCTTAAATTGAGTGACCGGCGGGTAATTTATTCGTGTGTCATCATCGCAATTTACCTTTAGTGAGGGGGTGCTCTACTCAACCTAAGCCTCCTTACAACGCCACATGGGGTACGAACTTCAAACCTAATTAACGTTTTTGGGCTGTGGCTGAGCTGGACCAACAAAACCTCATTCTAAAAGTGTCATTTCATTTGCCATATGTAAAAATCGATCGCTTTAGATGTGGCGATTCGATGTCATGCTATTATGTATTCGTAACGTCGTCAAATCATCAGGGGGTTTTAGGAGCGGCTGGAGAAGCTAGAGCTGTCACGACGACGATCCGGCTGAGGCCGCTGGAAGCGGTTCTGGCGACTTTCAGCGGCGGTGACGACTTTATCCAGTCTCAAAAACTTGCGTAAATCAGTTATGGCGTCCATAGTGGTGCGATTTTGCAGGTCAGAGTACGGTATAATGGATGGTGCTGGGCAGGCCCGAAGCGATGGGGTTTAAAGTATTTCAAGACGGCAACCGTTGCTTTATATATATTTGCTGCTGGCTGGTGGCTTTTTGTTGATTTTTTCGCAACCATGCGGGCGCTTGGGTAAGCGGTTAGCTAATCGCCCCTGCCAGCGAGCGTGGCTAGCTCTCAACAGGTCACGACAAACGCCTGCAGTAGTCCAGCCACCCTCTCCCTGAAACGGCGTGCCACCGTATCCTATCAGTAAAAGAACACCGCTAAAAATAGATTTTAGGGAAGGGAGGCGAAGCCAACACGCTTCGCAATAATTCCAGCGGTCTGCACGCGAGCGTGTTTCTCACCCCCCTCCCAAGTGGAGGCACCCGCCTTAGCAAATAGATCTGGACCCTTTTCCTGTAATTCCAAAAAAAGCCCGCGCATAACAAACACGCACGATCCCACGCAAGCGAAGCCGTTCGCGACGCACACGTCACTACCTTTTAGAAAGCCAATGGACGGATCCAACGAGAGCGCTGAGCATGAGACGTTGATGCAGTTGCTCAAGCTGTTCGAGCGAAATAATCCAAATTGCTATGGTAATGTTGATATCACCGATGGCATCATTACCAGGGTGTTTTTTGGCCTTCCTCACGCAAAGGCAGTGGTGGAAATGGGGGGACCGATTGCGGTGGAGGCGCGGTTTGGCTCACAAACAAATGGGGGAGTGTTTATCGCCACCGTGCCTACTCCGAAAAATGAGCCTCTTCCTATAGCGATCGCCTTTGCTCAACAAGAAACTGATGAAAACTGGCAGTGGGTGTGGTCTAACCTCGCTCAGTGTGTGCCTCACGTGACCAAAGTTCGGAGGATAGCAAAGCCAGCAGTGTACCCTATTTTAAGCAAACAATTCTCCGAGGGGGATAATGGCGTGTGTCTGGTCTACTTGAGCCAGGATATGCTTGCACAGAAAGCCATCACTGCTCAGGATCTTCCCCAGTTTAAACAGGCGGTGGCTAGCGACGGTACCACCAAATTGCAAGAAGAAGTGGCCAAGCTTCCGTCATCGGCACAGCAGTACCTTGCTCAGTATCCACCGTCAGCTTATGGGGGCCATGGTAATCTGTGGAATAACGTCAGTGGCTCTAGCAAGTATCTTACTCGCATTTTGGGCGACGCCGACTACGTGCCGTGGGTGATTGTGACTAATAACATGTTGGAAGACCTTCAACGCCAAGCCCCCACCCTCGTGTAACCTGGCCGAGTCCGGGAGTACAAAGAGAAATACCATTACAAACTAAGATCCACAAAACTAAGGTCCACATTAGAGCGTAGTACTGAATAATAGACAAGCCAGCAGATAAAATCGACATATTGAGTAATAGAGACTAACTACTACCTCTTTGATGAAGATAATCTACTTGTAATCCTCAATTTTATTAAACTGTATATTCTAAACCTCTAACCTCTATATACCCCACTGTAACTCCATATCTAATATAATAGAAGACAATCAGATCGCATCCAACACGACGTCTCTACCCAAGGCGATAAGCTTCACTTTACTGTAGAAGTCGTCGCGGTTGTGATAGGCCCCACACATACGCCGTTTACCAGTAAACTCAGTGCGCGAGTGGAACACTCTCCAGTTGTCGAAGATGAGACACTGGCCAGGACGCAATTGGTAGAACAACTCGTTCTCCGGGTCGGTAATGATGCTCACCCAGTGCTTGATTGCTTGGTAGAACTTAGGCACGTCAGCAGGATCCGCCCACACGTCCATCGTCGACCGGTCCAGCTGGTTCCATCTCACCTGTTGTAAGTCGCCAAACTCGTCCAAAGTGAACACGGGACGAGGACGATCAGGCTGGATACACACCTTCTCCTCACCAGCGGAGTGGGCGGGGATGGGGATCTTACAGAAGATCTCATACAGTTCAGGGTGCTTCTCTTTAAGGATGTCCGCAGCTCTAAAAGCATCCACAAGCAGGGTAGTACCGCCAGTACCGTCGTGATAAAGCAAGTGGAACAACTGGAGCCCAGGAGTGTCGGACCAGTAGGTGCCGTCGGTGTGGTTGCTAATATCAAAGTTGGTGTAGGCGGTGTCGGCCTTAGACAAGTCACTGGTGAAATCCCAGAAGCCACCGTAGTGAGTGGGCTTGATGTAGTCAAACCGTTCACACAATTTTTCGGTATCTTCAGGAGTGACGGGGACATCATCAATCAAACAGAAACCGTGTTTCCAGATCTTCATCGCCCACTCGTCTACCTTAGCATCGTCGGCCATAACTTCTTTAAACAGCACCCGAGGCAAGTTATCCTTCATGTCTTTGACGGCCCACTTGTCAATGGCGAGTTTCAGCCGGTCCAACTTATCCTTGGCCGGGATGAGTCTAGGGTTGTAGGCGTGCAACCGCAACCAGTGGGTGTCGTAAGTCAGCTGGTGACCATCAGGCCAGGTAATGGAAATGCCATCGTTGGTTGTGGCAACGTCTTTAGGTGAGATATCGTCAGGAATAGACGCCAGGTTGAAGAGGCGCTGCTTCGTCTGCGGGTAATAGCATTCCGAGCAGTGGCAGTTGTCGCGCAACCAGATGTAGTGGTACTGGGAGTGCTTGCCATCATCAAAAGTGATGGTCAATTCGCTGGTGCCGCTGGTGGTGTTCATCTTGACGTGAGGAGTCGACTGCGGCAGGGAAATGCTACGGGCTTTATAATCTGGGGTAGGAAATCGTTCGTGATTTCGCTATGTGCAGGAGGTGCCTGTCACCGGCATCCGCCGAGATAAATTAGGCGAATAACAGACTCACAACTATGGAAATCGAAAGTGTATATGAAGTATAAAGCATCTAATCGTTAAATTGGTTGTCGTTTGGCTGATGAGTTGATTATATCCTCGGCTTCTTGCACTTATTTCGAGGCTGTCGACGCTGGGCTTGGCTGGCACTGCATCCGTGCTGCGCTCACAATTATTTTCTGCAGTATATGGTAAGTGGTAGCCGCGGTCGCTTCAGTGTATGGTAGGAGATGGCGTCGATTGATTGGGCGATACTAGGCTGAACGAACGTGAAATTAATTGCCTGTTCGTGTAAATCCTACATTTGCTGGCTTGACATTTCCATGACAGGTCAGATTACAGCGAGAGTAACACTTGATGAAGTTCTTATCCTAAATATATCATGTCATTGACTATACTCCCTTGACCCCTGGCCAATTTCCTCTATAAACCTCTCTCCATTTAGTTACCAGTCAAATCGAACACACATTTCTGGATTTGGTGCTTATCAAACTTATCGAATGCTTCAGCAGCACCATCAAGACCCTTCACCTTATAGTCAACAAAGTCAGCGAAATCAGGCTTAAGCTTCTCAAAAATCTCGAGGGCTTCGGCAAACAAACTGGCCGCATGGCACCGACCAAACGAGATGTTGATGTTTTTCACGTAACATTCGAGACCTTCAAACGGTAACGGTCCGTGGGCCATGCCAATCAGCGAGATGTAGCCGTTACGACGGACACTGTCGTAGGCAGTTCTGAGAGCCAGCGGTGCTCCCACCACTTCCAATACCGCGTCGAAGCCAATACCTTCAAGATCGTTGGCGACATACGCCGCTGACGCTTCCGATTCGGTTTCAAAGTTCACCACTTTCGAGGCACCAAGTCTTTTGGCTTCGGCTAACCGTTCAGGGACACTATCCACACATACCACATTGGTAAAGCCAAAGTACTTAAGCACTCTAAGCCCACAAAGTCCCACTGGACCACACCCCAATTGAAGAATGTGAGCATCCTTAATGCTTACAGCTTCAGCACCAGCAGCAGGACTAATGTTGAGGTAGTCGATAATCTTCTTTACCCCATAGTAGCCAGTGATAAAGATATCGGCCATCAACACATACACCGAGTCGTCCCCTGGCGAATCAGGCTTTTTAATCAAAGTGTAGTCAGCGTGGGGCACACGGACATACTCAGCTTGGCCTCCGTCAAGACCTATCTTGCCAAAGGTGTTGGTTTCAACACAATTGCCCAGGTATCCATGGCGACAATAGTAGCACTTACCGCACTGGACAGTGAACACTGCAATCACGGAATCACCCACTTTGAACTTCTCGACGTTGTCACCGGCTTTAACGATCTTGCCAGTGAATTCGTGGCCGATAATCGTGTCTTTGGGACCGGCAATGTGGCCGCGGTACGAGTGTAAATCAGTGCCACAAAGACCGGACAATTCCACTTTGACGATGACGTCAGTGGCATCTTTAAGCGTGGGAACAGGACGATCTTCGACTCTGACGTCGCCAGGGCCGTGGAACACGACTGCTTTCATGGTCGAAGACATATGTTGGAGAGTGGCACCATCTAGTGGGGTAATCGGCAATCGGCATAATGCGGGGGTGGTGTTTGATACTGTATATAACCAGATCAGCTAACCAGCTAACTCTAGAAAGAAGTGGTATACATGACATTAAAATGCTAGAAGAGCGACTTGCGCGAGCTCCACACAATCTTCATCGCGTTGACGATCACCTTATGGTACAGGCTGATGCGCCGGATCACCCCCATGAAGAATATGAAATAAATATGGCATATGACAAAGTCGCCCAATAATAAATAGAGAAAGGTGATGGTAAGCACCCACATCGTCACGGCGTTGGACTCGGGCCCCACGTGGAGCCACCGCTCCACCACGCGAGCAAAGCGGAAGAGCAACAGGTCGCCAATCAATTGGCATTTGTCTATCGGCACGCGGTGTTGTCGGCGCCGAGGGTGGCAGGTTGAGAGCATGGAGTCGGCGTAGAAGTTGAGCCACATCGTCATGACCACCTGCCACGCCAGCGCCTCAGGGTCATCGTCTAGTGAGTAAAAAATGTCGCCGTCGTGGCGCACGATCTCCAAGTGCCGTTGTTGCATCGCCGCCAGGTTGCGAAAGACAAACGTAGACATCTCGTTGACCAAGGGATATCGCGACACCACGTCGTAGGGGATGGTGATTAAGGTGTTGACGAACGAGAGAATCACCATATTGATCATGAAAAAGCGGATACAGCGAGCGGTAAGCATGACACAGTGGGTGAGCACCATTCGGGTAACGTAGAACCAGCCAAGGTGACGAGGGAAGCGGAGGCGGTCGAAATGGATAACCGGCAAGGGAACGACGCCGCCGAGCCACCGCACGTGGTAGAGTCGGCGTCTCTGCTGGTGGAGCCGCCGAGCAAGGAGCCGGTCGAGTTGGTGGAGATCCATGCTCGTTGGCGGGGTCGCTTGCGTTCCGGGATGGTAGGTCGCGGATCTAGATTGCGTTGACAGCAGCGCTAGTACTGCATACAGTGGTTGGGATTGCCGTTATCGCACCGATATAAATTGTCTTATGAGTACGGGCGACGTGTATTATATACGGTAACTGTGTGTGTGTCGTCTATTGGGCTTTCAGCGAAGGTCAGCTGTTAAGGGGAGCTGGTTCCACAGGTTTGGCAACGGGTTCGGGGTTGGTTTGACTGGTGGGAGCGGACAGATTATTCTTAGATTCAGTCTCGGGTAATCCCCATACTTCTTTGGGGACGTTGGGGATCCGCTTGGCCACCATTTTATTCAGCATTAAATTGGCGTCGGACTTGGCGTATTTGATGAGACGAAGCACGTAACAGTAGCACTCGTAGCACATCTCGCCGGTCACCCCCAATCGCTTCTCAAGCCAGCTGAGCGGTAGTGGTTCCTTCTTCTCCCACGAGACGATGACGAGAGCCATTCCCAACGCGGTATAACAGTCGTAGGCCACGTATAATGGAAGCGACAGCAATATCTCCAATAACGTGATGGCGGCTTTGAAAGTGTCACTATCAATTACCACTTCATCTTCATTATTTTCTTCCTGGGCTTCGACTATGCGATCGCGTACATCGTATGGTAAGTCGAGATTGAGGTCAAAATTGAGGGTTTTGAGGATAAGCTCTTCCCGATACAATAGCTGGTCCCGCCACTTCCAAAACCCTTCGCTTTGTTCGTCAATTACGGCGTGTCCGGGAGGGTTTTTGAGATTGGCGGCGTGCAAGGCGATTTTGCCCGGCTGACGGTAATTCTCGTGGAGCTTGCACAGAATGGCGAGGGCTGCCAGAGCCACAAAGTATTTGGATGAGGTGATGGGAAGGCGCATATAGTAGCGGTTGATGTAGATGGTGGCGGCAAGAATGGTCCGGCCATCGAGCTTGAGCTTTGAGCCAAGGGAGATGAGGAACGCGTGGATCAGCTCCCGCTGGCAAAGCTCTGCCGTCACTGGCACCTTCTGTTTTCGCAGGGGCAGTTCCTTTATGAATGCATCCTCGGAGAAGAGCCACGACGACATCGGTACCGTTCGCCTAGGTTATTCGTATGGTAACAATTGGGAAAAACAGTTCATCGTTCGGGGCTCGCAACCGAGATTTGCGACGCCTGACCCAGACCCTTGACGAAAATGGGGTGAAATTCCTAGTAAATCGAGTTGAGATATGTTGAACATATCAGTTTCGATGGTTTAAATGGTCTATTCTGGTCAATTTGCTTACATTATCTAGTCTTTGATGGATTTAGAAATTCGCATCTTGGGACAGTAAATTCGATTTGAATATTCAATACTTGATATTCACACGACTTATTTTGAATTTTGAGTTAGACACGCCCATTTGCCATAAGTTTCTATTTGAAATCACTTTAATTTAAAATTTCAGCCGAAATAGGTAGCTCTTGAGATCCTGATGATGTCATAGAAGTACATAAACACATTAAAGATCTCAACCTCCTCATTTTCTGTATTTGTTATTAAGCGAAGCATTGTAATTGATACTCGTTCGCACATCAGTTTAAACATGAGTTGAAGCCAGTACCCAGAATCGCTTGAAAAAGTAACCCACATGATCTACTAACTCAGACATCTCTAGCAAATCAATCCACGTAGAGATAACGTCTTTTATTGCCCGGCAATTTCCCTCTTTTCTGAAGGTGTCGACCTCATCCCGCCACGCACTTCGCACTAGGCACTGAAAAATCTTTTCCACCATAGAACCAACCACCAGTATGTTCATGCACTTGGTTCGTCCCAACGTGGCGGCTCCTGCGGCTTCGCTGGCCCTGGGCCCCGCCAAGATCAAAATCCACACTCCCGCTTTACTACAAATCCTCGAGATCATCGCCAAACAGGTTTTGCCCGAACATAAGCGAGCGATCGGGACCCTCTTGGGCATCAGATCCGACGACGGGTCCGAATTCGAGATCAGAGAGGCGTTCATGGTCCCCTGCAATGACACCGGTGACACCGTCGTCATCGACGACCAGGCGCACAAGGCGATGTACCAATTGTACAAGAAGGCCCACCCTAAGGAAGCGGTGTTGGGGTGGTTTGGCTCGGCCAAGGAGATCGACGACACCACCGGTCTCATCCACGACTTCTACCTGAAGCCCGACCGGGCTCACCCGTTCCCTGCCATCTACTTAAACGTCGATTTCTTGGACGCCGAGGGCAAGCCTAAGCACCCGGAGATCGTCACCTACATTGGCGCCGCCGTGGGCAAGCCTCAGCAAGGGTGGAAGCAGGCGAACTACATCTTCTCGCCCATCCCCAACGAAGTGGTCCACGCCACCGCCACCGAACAGATCGCCTACTCGCAGGTGGCTCGCGGCAAGACCCTCGAGCAGGACTTGGAGTACTTGGACCAACAGTTGGGCGACGTTTCCGACAACATCGACACCATGCTCGCCGCCATCGAGCAATTGGAACAGAAAGACGACGACGCCCTGTTGGAGGTGTTGCGGTTGATGAGCAACAACTTGTTGACGCGGCCTAAGGTTGACGCCGGCGACAAGGACGCGTTGCTGCGCATGTTCAGAAACCACAATCAGGACGTGGTTATGATTGAGTGCTTGACCAAGGCTGTCAAGGAGCAGATCGAGTTGTCGGCCAAGTTGACCCAGCTGAGCGAGTTGGAGAAGCGGGCTTAATAATCCCCATTCACATATGTACATTAGTAATGATAGAGTGACAGGTGTCGTCTAAGAACGATTGGCGTGTAATTGTAGTCTCTTGATAATGCAAACGATTAATTCTCGGTTTTAGTTGCTTGAAAATACCCTGATAAAATGACTGCTTTCACTCCAAAGCCATCCCGTGATTTTCAAGTCTATTTTCGAATTTGGAAGCCTCATAATTTTATGTTCCTTCTACGAAAATAACGAGGTGGAATTTTTACGATTTTTTTGATTGTGTAACCGACTTTTTCGAGGCGTTACCAAAATATTCGGTTATTGAAGGAATATAAATCTGTGGTGGCGTTCTTGAAAGCCACAAGCAAGCATTTGATGATGCCGGTGCGGCTTTGATCCGGTCACGTGTGTGCTCACGTGGGCCCAATTTCACCACAAGTCCAGAAATTTGCTAGTAAACCCCATCTCGGATAATGTCTATCTTATTATTCAGAATGTCTTGATTAATCTTATGATATTTTTCACTATAGTTGTCTCCCCTAATCTCGAGATATTGGCCATCGCATCTCGGCTATTGTCGGCTATCGGTGCACTTATCAAATAGAGGGAGCCGCATACCCTGCAAGCCAAGCAGAATTCCATAAAATGATGGTTTCCGCCCCTTTCTTTTCCCAGATACCCCTACCAACATGACGAAATCCGGGCCCAAGTGCCTCTTCTTAGAACGGCCAAACTTTGACTCCCAGGAATACCAACAGTTTACCGAGCACTTTGAATGTGTGCACTTCTACTTACATAATGCTCAAGAACTCTACCAGGAGTTTGCTGGGAAAGGAGCTGATATTGAATACATTTACGGTGGCTATATCGGTCTTGGGAAAGGCTACCACGGTGCTGAAGTGAAGCAGACGTTCCCTAACCTCAAGATCATCGCCCTTGCCCTGGTAGGGTATGATAACTATAATGTTGCCGAATTAGCCGAAGCGGGAGTGACTTTAACTAATGCACCCTCTGAATTAGCCTACGGGTCGGTGGCTGATTTAGCTCTTTACAACGCGTTGCTGAGTTTCCGTAACTTCAAGTTATTTGAAGCTCACGTCAACAACACCTTGAACGACGCCGCCACCATCAGATACCTGCTCCACCATTCAGAATTTGATCTGAAACAAGGCAAAGCCGTCGTCACTCCTCAAAAGGGTCATGTGTACGCTCACTCGATCTGTGGTCGGGAAAACCTTAGTCCTGCTGGTCACAATACTGTGATTGTCGGCTTTGGTCAAATTGGGTCTTTGATTGGTAAGCGGCTTGCCACCATTGGCATGAACGTTCACTATGTTAAGCGGACACCGCTCTCACCTGAAGAACAAGATAAATTAGGTTACCCGATCACATACCACGATAAGTTGGAAGACACCGTAGGGTTCGCTGATCTTGTTGTATTGGCGTGTCCCGGGGGTAAGTCCACTTATCACTTGGTGCTGAAACAAATGATTAACAAATTTGAACGGCCAATTCGTATTATCAATATCAGTCGGGGCACTGTCATTGACGAGAATGCCCTCGTTGAAGGACTTGAAACGGGCAAGGTTCTCTTCGCTGCACTTGATGTGTTTGAAGAAGAACCCAAAATCCACCCTGGTTTAATTGGTCGTCAAGATGTGGTGTTGACGCCGCACATTGGTCTGGCCACTATTCAGAACTTCAACTATACCATGGCGCTTGCGTTGGACAACGTTCGTCGGGTACTGGAAGGGTTGAAGCCCATCACCCAGGTGAACTAACAACGCAAGAATAGACACGATAGATATGAATAAACACGAATAAAGGTTTGGATACGACACTCATGGATAGACACAAAAGACGATGAAATATTTATGATGATAGCGGAAAATCAGAATCCTCTTATCGGTATTAGTTCATGATTGTCACTAGGCTTTGCTGATTTAATCCAATTCAAAAATTCAGTCTCACTGTCGAGTGCCTCGCTGTGACGTACCCTTCTGTACTCAATTTACCCGGATGGGGGTTACCGCGTAATTCTCGCACTCTGTAACAGCCAGCGATAAACCATTTACCCCACCAATTCTCTATCAATGACGGGTAGAATTCATTTTTAGTAAACAAAATTCAAAACTATACCTCCGGTGAGGCTGAAATCACTTTTGTCACTCGTCTCCACTTAATACGTCGAGGCGATTTTTGCCGCAATCTGCTACGGCATTGGCTGCTGGCTGCTACCTGCAGTCCTCGCACCCTTGCTCACAGAGATCGGGCACCTCACCACCACCTCAACCAGCGACCACCCCAGCCATCCCTCCATGCTGCTGTTATACATCGGCGTCTACAAGGCGGTGTATGACTACGCTGCCCAGGCGCCCGAGGAGCTCTCGATAAACGAGGGAGACCTCCTCTACTTGCTCGAGACGCTGGACATCGACGAATGGTGGAAAGTGAAGCGCCGGGTCGTCGCCACGGGAAACGAGGAAGTCGACGAGCCCGAAGGGTTGGTGCCGCTGAACTACATTGAACCCGCAGGGGTGATGAAACAGTGCGTGGCCCTTTACGACTATACTAAACAGACTGACGAAGAACTCAGTTTCAAGGAAAACGACCGCTTCAACATCTATGACGATGCTGATCCCGATTGGCTTTTAGCCGGTGATTTAGCTGGTAAAGCCTACGGGTTTTTGCCGTCAAACTACGTGAAGATGGCCGATGGCTTGTTCAATCTGAGTCAATCGGAATTGCCGCCGTTACCGGGATCCGCCGCTCCAGCACCGTCGGCGCCTCAAGTGGCTGCTGTCAATGCCTCAGCGTTGCCTCCGCCGCCCATGCATCCGTCGCAAACTCCATTATCGCAATTCCAGCCGCCTCCTTTACACATCCTGAGAGACGCTACTCCCGCCGCCGACCCCACCCCGCTGTCCCTGCAACCACCAGCACAACAGCTGCCTTTGCAAACCAATGGTGACGATGAAGCACCGCCGCCGATGCCGCTGCGTCCTCGTTCCAACACGGCGAATACGCAGCAACTGATGCCGTCGTCAGTAGACGATAACACCGCTGCTGACCACACCTACGATGGCGACCTGTTCACGTGGTACATTGACGAGATTGATGGGCGTAAGAAGCGCTCCGTGGCCCTCACGGTGGGGCCTGGGTTTGTGCGGTTGAAGCCTAACCAAAAGAAGCTCTCTAAACTCCGTGGCGGGACACTGACGTTGGACAACGAGTGGCAGATCAGAGACTTGATTAACTACTCCCAGGAGAAGAAGCATGTGTTCTTTGAATTCAAAAATCCTAAGGCGCTGATTGAGTTGCACGCCGGGTCTAAGGATGTCGCCGAAGCCATCATGCTGGTGTTAGGCGACTTTAAGGGCGCTGACCTGGCTTGTGGGTTGCGTGAAGTGGCTAAAGCATCGCAGACTTCCACTAACGCGCAAAACCGCAAGATCGGTAAGCTCATGTATGACTTTGTCTCCCAAGGCAAAGACGAATTGGGGGCTAAAGAGGGCGAAGAAGTGTACATTATTAACGACGTCAAGCTGAAAGAGTGGTGGATGTGTGAACTGGTCAACAGCGGCCGTCAAGGGGTGATCCCTCTGAGCTACCTAGAAGTGGTGGGCACCTCTAACCTTGATCTGCTCACTAACGGTGCTCGTAAGCGCAACGAGAGCAGTCTGAAGAAGAAGCGCCATCGTGACCGTGGCGAACGTGACCGCATTCGTGAGCGTGACCGCAGAGAACGTGAACGCGGTCCTAGTCACCGTGAAGACGACAAGCTGATGCCCAACTACCACCGCGTGCGTACCTGGATCGACCTGCTGGGCCTGTTCAAGGTGGAAGCCGAGTTCTTGGGCTGTGTCGATGGCAAGGTCCATTTGCACAAGACCAACGGGGTTAAGATCGCGGTGCTGGCTCTGAAGCTATCCGTGGAAGACTTGGAGTACGTAGAAAAGGTTACTGGTACGCTGTTGGAACTGTACAAGGAAGAAGTGATCCGCGCCAACGAAAAGCGCGACCGGGCACTTCGCCGGAAGCTGCTGTCGGGTGGTCACAACCGCCCCTCGTCCACTGCTGCCATCAACGATATCCCTCCTCCTCAACCACAAAGACCCAACCATCGGGGCCCTCTGACCAACTCCGCTCCAGGAGAAAGCGACTACGATTGGTTTGAATTCTTCCTTCTGTGTGGCGTCGACATTGGCAACTGCCAACGCTACGCCCTTAACTTCAGTAAGGAACGTATGGACGAAAACGTCTTGGAAGACATCTCGCCCCAATTGTTGCGCACGTTGGGGTTGCGTGAAGGCGACATCATTCGGGTGATGAAGCACTTGGACCAAAAGTATGGCCGCAAACACACTATGGGCGATGCTGGTGCTGCTTCCACTTCGGGTGGTTTGTTTACCGAAGCTGGTGGCGCGTTGAAGAATAACTCCCTGACGCTGGACATCCCTCGCGTGGATGGGGCGGCGTTGCCGTCGCCTAATAAAGCCCAGCCAATTAATAATGCTCCTCCTCCTCAAGCGCAAGCGCCCCGTCCTGAAAATGACGACGCCTGGGTGGTCAAGCCTGCGGCCAGATCGCTGCAGGAAGACTTGTTGTCGAAGCAAACCACGGTGCCGCAACCGCAAACCCCTCAATACACCGGGTCGCTTCAAGACTTGGTCAACATCAAGCCCCATGACCCCAAGGTTCCTCCCCCCAACCAAAACCAGGCTCCTGCTGCTCCTGCCTTGGTGCCTAAGCAACCGCCGCCTCGTCCCACGGCTGCGTTACCGAACTTTGAACCGGTATCGGCGCAAAAGACGGGTCAACTTGTCCCTGTCACCACTGGTGGTTTGCTTCCTGCCCAACCCACGGGCTTCCTCCCCATCCAGCCTACCGGTTTCATGCCTATTCAACCCACTGGTGGTCAAAGCTACGTGTTGCTCCCCGTGGTTACCGGTCCCGCGTTACAGAAGACTGGTGGTGCCGGTATGCCCACTACCACTTTCGGAGGTCCATCGATTGTGCCGTTACAGACGGGTACGTTGACGATGCCGGCGACTCTGTTTGGCGGGCTGGCACCCTCGTTGGCTCCATCTCAGCCCACTGGTGGCATGCCCCAAACACTGTTTGGCGCTGCTGTACCTCAACAAAAGACGGGTCCGTTATCGGCGGCGACTACCGGGGGTATCGGCAATGCCTTTGTACCTCAGCTGACGTTTGGCAAGCAGATCACCGGTGGGTTCATGGCTCAGCCTCAACAGCAATTACCCCCGCAGACGCTGTTTGGCGCTAACCCCACCACCAACTTCCCGCAACAGATGAACCAGATGACCAACATGTTTGGTCAAACCAATTTGGGACAACCTCAACCTCAATTAGGACAACAGCCGACTAATATGTTTGGGCTCCCTCAACAACCCACACAACCGGCACTTCAGCCTCAGTTTGGTCAACAGCTGACTCTGTTCGGTGGGTTGCCTCAGACCCAGCCTCAACAACCGCAATTTGGTGGTTTGCCACAAACTCAACCTCAATTTGGGCAGATGCCGCAGCCTCTGTTTGGGGCCATGCCTCAAGCTCAGCCGCAATTTGGTGGGATGCCTCAACCGCAATTCGGCGGAGCTCAACCGCAATTCGGCGGAGCTCAACCGCAATTCGGCGGAGCTCAACCTCAGTTTGGTGGCCAGGCGCCTCCGATGACGCTGTTTGGACAAGCACCAGTGGCTCCTCAGCCCGTTAGCCTGTTCGGCCAGCAGCCGGCTCAGTTTGAAGGGTTTGGCCAGCTCCAATCGCAACCAACCGGACTTGGGTTTGGAAATTCGCCGTTGCTGGCTCAGCAGACAGGTAAGTCCCAAGCCAACTTGGCAGCGGCGACCCCTGACAACCCTTTTGGGTTTATGCACTGATTACACTAATAAGAAATCACAGGATAGTGTGGTGGTAGTAGAGATGATTACAAGATTCAAGGGTACACAATGTAGCATGAGTAGTTTCAAAATTCATTCCAGGAAATTATCTACCAAGATTGCCGATAATGCGGATCTAACCAGCGTCCATACAGAAATATATGCTTTGCATGATGTAAACCATACGAATCAAAATCAGAAATTTAAGTCAATTCAAAAACAATGGTAATCATTTACAAAAATGGTTTTATTGCCTCGGACTTTCACGTTGAGTTAAACCATGGATTGAGGCAATTGTTCAAGCTCAAACATTATACGCGAACTACCTGATAACAGAAGTTAAAGAGACAATAGAAATATCAAATTACATCTTGAATTCAGAAGAATCATCTCACGGAATCCCATTGACTTGTTCTAAGATTCGACAACGCAAATTCATACATCAATCATGTCCTGCATCTGCGTACTATATCTGTATATAACGGATGGTGCATAGACGGGACAATCTAACGAAATAAGTTACTTCTAGAAACACGAGTAATAGCAGCCAATGCACACTATTGCAAGTACGTCTTTTTGAAATTGAAACATAAAGCCGGCAAAAAGCAATGTGAGTAGGGGAAAAAAAAATGTTTTTGAAAAACTTTTTTTTCCAAGGTTATTCTTCGTATAAGCACACTGCGTCTGTTGCAAAGTTCATTATGTTAAGAGGGCCTCGGAAGTGACTTGCTTAATTGGTAGACATCGAAATTAAAGCTTAGCTCCTCGTCTAAGGAGGATGCCTGTATGCTGGTGTACTTAGCAAAACGCAGTATATGTCAAGCAGCGCTCTAACACAAGGTCCAAAGTGAATAGCTGAGGTTCCTGAGCACAACTACAGATCCTATACTTGACTATTCAGTTCAAAAGGTTTTTCGAAAACTGTCACAAATATTAACAAGAATGTGGTGTTGCAAATTTCAGGACTGCACACAAAAGTTGCGTCTGCATGTAAATATGAACCTCCAACCAGGTTCTTCTATGACGTGAAAAACACTCTAGAGAAAATTGAATAACATCACCGTTGTTTAAACTGCTCAAATATTATTTACAATAGCAAACGGGATTTTTCTGAATTTCTTATGGAAAAACTAAAAAGTGGGCTATAAAAACAGGAAAAATCGCTGAAATCAATTCGTTTGCTCCATAAAATTCTTTGGCATTGGAAGTATAGTTGAGGTGAATTTGGGTGAGTCGACTTCAAAATTGGCGTCTCTATGTGAGTTTATCGGTGGATAAAAAAACTATTTTTTTTTTTGGCAAAATTTTTTTTCACCCTTCTGAGTTTGAAATGTTGTCTAAAATGTCTGGTAAGCACTAAAGCTGACTTGAGATGGTTGTAGCAGTGATGAGAGCGGTGTTACACCTCGTCTATGTTTAATGCCTGTATGCAGGTGCATACAGAAAATGCAAGACACACTAAGGTTAGTTCTAATACGCACTTATAAGGTGAGCAGTTCAAAATTGTTTGCATCACTGTAGTGCAAGAGTATGTCTATTTGCTTAGATGGGTTGAAGTGGGTGCCACCACCATTGCTGACACATATATCATGCTTTCAAATTGCAGGTTCTGCACACAAGCATTGCATGTGCATATGGTTCATAGATTTTCAATCAGGTCTTTCATCATGTATATGACGCTCTAGAAAATATTGAAATGCACCACTGTAATGAATACGGTGCAAATAGTATTTACAACAGCAAACGGAATTTTTCCGAGTTTCCTTGCAAAATTTTATAAAATGTGATATAAAATCAGGAAAAATTGCTACAGACCTGCCGTTTGCTTTATAAAATTCTTTGGCATCAGAAGTATTGTAGATAATTTTTTGGGAGGGCGGACCTTCGATTCGAAGTAGATTCAACAGAGTTGGAAAAAAATTCGAATGATTAGCGATAAAAAGAATATTCATGCTCCATAATTTTATTTGGCACTTGCTGTAGAGCTGATGGGTGTCTGGGTGATTTAAAGTAAAAATTGGAGTATTTTGAATACTACTTCCTTCTTTTACATTACCTGCAGGATGGTGCAATGTATGCAGTACATAATATTTTTATCTCTTTGTTCGTTGATACCCATAGGTAAGTCACATATATTACAACCGTCATAATCTTGAGTCGATTTACTACTGGTAGCACGTTTTCCATAAACTCAACTTGATTATTCAATCCCTGATCAAGCTTACAAGTACATCAAAGAGTTTTCCTGCATGTAGCCAAGAAAAATTTGAAAACAAAAGTCGCAAAAACTTTTGGAAAAAAAAAAAAGTTTTTTTTTTCGAAGAAAAAAAAAAATAAAAATTAAAAAAATAAGAAAACCAAAAGACTGATTAAATTCGAGAAAAAATTAAATGACAGATGTATACTGCTCTCTCAATGATTTGATATCTGAATTGTTGTTGCTGTTCCCTGATGGGAGCTGGTGGCGATGATTTTGCTGATTACCATAGTTCTCGTATGCTATATACAGTATTGAAATGTAAATGCAGGGAACGGTTTCTGAGTTACAAAGATTTGAGTTCTGGGTTAAGTCAAAAGTCTAATCACAGTTATAATATTTGAGAGCTATTTTATTAGTGCGAGAAGTATTACGGAGTTGAATCAGATATTGAGAAAGTTATCTTGCTTTCATTTGGCTTCAAATATACCTGCATGTAGTCATCGCTTGTCTATCAAGATTTCAACTCGTATATGACAGTTTACTATATCGCCTTACATCGTACATCACGTGTGTGAATGTCAGTATAAGTTTGGAACATACGAGAAATACTCAAATTGTATCGACAGAAGTGCGGTCAGCTTTGTTCAATAATGCGTTGTGATGAAGATTAATCCCTAAGTATTCAAGATGTTTACTCATTATTGACGTGGTCGACACTATTCTACTTGCCAAGCACTTGGTACCAGTCATCACTTGCAGCAGTAAGATCATTGTTGTCGGAGTGCATGCTCTTGACGTCGAGCTCGGTCTCTTCTGGTGATGTGGTTAATGTTGAATTGTTCTCTGGTAAGAGGGTATCCTCCATACTCATGCAGCTATCACGATAATTGCATTTCGACTTGATAACGATGGCACCGAAATAGTAAGGCTGAGTTGTCCACAAACTGGAGATCCCTTGCTCTCTCACTGATGGTACTACCGCAAACACGATATGAATAATGCCGGATATCCCGAATATCGCCGCCAATATAAGAGATATCACATAAAACGCGGTATCAATGATACAATCAGACGCTAATTGCGAGAGTAGTCCAAATTGCGACGCGTCACTCAGTTGTTGATATGCGGTGATGAGGCGACAAAATGCGCCACCAAACACTCGGTAATAATAGAGCCCCACTGCAAGCCACATCCCGAAAAACGCCGCTTCGAAGATAATGATCATGAACGGGAATATGAGCACCAGGCTGCGTCTCACTGTCGCCACACAGCACCCAGACACATACACCACGCCAAGCACACTGAACACAATAAGGCATACCAGCTGGTCGCGAGCAGCCATTATAAAGTAGTCCAAGTCTCCCCGGTTAGCGCTCTTAGCCACATGGGTTTGAGACATACCATAAGCGCCAAACCCGAGCTCCACAACCTGTAGTGCAAATTGGAGTAAGCGCAACGTTGCCAGAACCCCTACCCACGCACGGCTGGTTGTGGGTTTGAGGAAGTCTTTCGTCTCCTCCATCTTCTGTCTTTGGGTATTCGTATGTTGCAGTGGCAGACAAAACAAGGGAGGAGTTGCCTCGGAGTTTAAGTATTGGTTACGTTGATAGTAGCCCCGTCGATTTCAGCCCTCTTTTTGCTGTTCTTAGCTACATAACCGTATTTTCCGCAAACGGCTTGACGCGCATGTTGGTGAAGATGATTTCGCTAAACAATCCCAGGAGCCAACGGATCTTGTTTGAACGGAGGTGACGAGTCGTTGTGACAGGGCAGGTCTTACCAGCAGTGTGCTTTTTCTATGGCCTGGACAAGATATTGGTTGGTTTTTCCTGACACTTTTGTGGTTGTCCGCCTTGCCACACGTGTTTAAAGTGTAGGCCCCCTGGCAGTGGGTGTGAATCGATCTAGGTGCTCGCAACCATGCACCATAAACGAATAGTTCGACGCAGGCAAAATTGTTTCAGCGTGACGCGCACAGAAGCGATAAACAATCTAGACGCGAATCTTTTACTCAATAGGAAAACTCAACCTTTTTGTGTCATTAACGAGGTTCTTCAATTTGCAACGAAACACACTCAAACAAGAATCATTTTAGCAGTTCAAAAATTCAGTCAACCCCATAAGTATAACTTGTGGATTGTAATCGACTTCGGTTTGGCTAGACCCTTGTATTGTGATCGGCTTCCCAAACAGGTTAGTGGTGGGGGGTCTTTTTTCAGTGCCAGCCAAATATTAGTGGGGATACCAAAGAGGTGTATTGACGACCACACAATTCCCCATTGTGGAAACAATTTTTGCGTCGTCACTACACACTGTCCACATCGGTCATGACGATGGGCTTGCGAGGAATATAGGGGGCGTTTTTGCCTTGGTGGTGGAGTGTCTCGCGAGTGATGTGGTCGTCCCACGACATCGCCCCCACAAGGTACATTTGTGGTCTGATTAGTGACATGATGCCTTGTTCACGGACAATAGGGATCATGCCTTTAAATACGTGTCGCGACCATGTCCAGGCGTAGAGTACGATCAACGCGATGCCCACGGCGTAGGCGGCGTGCTGAATGTGACAGGCTTTCGTCAGCTTATCTTCATCAAGGTCAATTTCGTTGGTGAGGTCGCAAAGACCCCCTCGACCACTGAGGGCAATGGCATCGTACATCCAGATGACGACAAACGACAAGTCGATGAATGATATCACGATGGGACGTCCATACACTTTTCGAAGGGGCTCAAGGTAGACCACGTAGGTGCACACGGCCCACACTGCCAGCAATATCGAGAAGCATAGCGTATATATCAGTTTGTGCTTCACGGAGGCGCCAACCGATGACTGGCTTCGCTTCAGAAGCACAAACGAGTAGGCCGCGAAGCCCACGGCGACATAGGAAAGTGCCGACTGGAGAAGCCTCAGGATGGGCTGGTCGTACCCTCGGCGGGGGTCGACAAACATGGTTGCAACTCGTCACCTTGATTTCTCTGGCCAAAATTAAATCTTTCGTTTATCTTGGCCTGCACACGCGTGAAGGAAATTCCAGTCACCCTGACCCGGAAATGAGCAGAGTATGGTTGCTATACATTTCTTGGACATGCTGATGGTGTCATCGGAGGAGAGAGGATTCTTGGTGGCTGTGTTTTCATGCTACGTGCGATGGGGGCCACTGTTGCTAGATTGGTAGCACTACCGCCGCAAACCGTGATTGTGTTGTGTTTTGTGTAAACACCCTAAAGAAGCTTTTTTCTCAAACCCCACTTTTTCAATTATTGAGGTCACGTGCGTAAAGCCTCCAGAAGAAAAAGGAAGATGACATGGGGGGGGTGCCAGATGTCTCTACCTGACTACAAGCGGGGTTAGAGTGATACGAGATCATGATATCAAAGCGGGGATATAATACCGTCACGTCACTACATGACAATGGCCACCGACTTCCATTTAGCCATGACAAAGAGCCCACCATGATTCGGTGTCATCTGTGCAGCTTGGCGACGACTGCTATTACAGATCCCACAGCGCTTACTAATCGGCCATTAAGATCACCACTCCGATATCACCGCCATTCTAGATGATTTACCCCGTAAGCCATCGCAAGCGCCACCCAAGGTCATTGTTTTTCTTTGCTGCTCATTTCGCAGCCTTTGTTCGGCAGATAACTGGAGGGGAGAGCCAGCAGCCAGAGCCACACGGCCAGTTGCGGTGTGGCTACAGTTGTCCGGTCCAACGGCCCATCTACAGTAGCAATGTAAGTGTAGATACTCGTTGTCACTGATAAGGCCAGCCATGGAAAAAGGTCGCAATTGACATCCGCTGGCCGTTATCTACCGGCGTCGCGCCTGAGCTCGCAGCTCACACGAGCTGGTGCCACTCTGGTGGCGGTGTCTACTCCGAGGTTCGGTGGGCGGGGGGCTTATTGTGACGGAATGCGACATCGCCATAAACAAATGGCAGCGGGTTGGCGCTGGGACTTATTCAGGTGCCGGTGCTCGTAACCAAGCTCGCTCTCTCAGCCCAATTAGTCGATACTAGTCGGGGTCACATTTCTCTCACCACGCGTCAGCCGTCTGGCGAACCTTAAACGTGGCCCAAGGAGCCTAACCTGTAACCACCTCTGTTTGTGGCCGTCACTATCTGGCGGTGGCCTCGACCACAAACTGGCGGCGTCATTATCATCCCGCCGCTTCTCCCCGTCAAAAGAAAAAAAAAAAANAAAAAAAAAAAGTCCACCCTGCGAGCGAGCTGCAGTTGCTAGCCCTAAGGGGCTAGAGCCCAAAATGGATGGGTTTTTCAAGTTTTTCAAGAGGGGTAACTTGAGGCAAAGCAACCACCAGATCAGATCACACTATTCATATTTTAGCAGCGGGTGTCTATGTGTGTCCACGGTGATCGCCGAGCAGCTGGGCCCCATAAATGCCCGCATCTGCTCGCTCATTCCAGGCCATCGCTTGCTCGTCAAAAATATCTTGTGCCTATGCGCGTTGATAACCGGCCGGCCTAGGGTCATGGATGGCGTCACAAAACAGCCCCTATCATCAGAGGGCCACAGTTATCTACACAGTCCAAACCGGGACAAATCAAGGCAGTTTACGAAACTGACACCCTCTACCATGACACGGCTTTGGGGTTGTCAACCCCGATCACCCCACCTATACTGCCTGCTCGGCGCCTCGCCGCAGCTGTACTTTGTAAATCACCTCATCGTCTCGCTCGACCTCCCTAAATGTCTCATTCGCCCTTCCCCCCACTTTCGCACCAGCGCCGCTATATAACCCCTGCTCTCATCGCGAAATTTTTTCCCTATCTAATAAACACACACCCAGGACCGTTCCCAAAGCCGCTACGTGTGTCTACTTGTGCTCCCTACAACCTCGGCCGTTTTGCTACCACTGATGATCTATATCGACGTGCTCAATATTTTCTTCATATCCCAGCCCAAAGTGTAAATGGCAAAAAGCCCCAGAAAAGAGTGTGCCCCGGTGGGGGGCAAGAAAATCCCCAGCTACGCTGGCTTCCCCACCCCAACTTCCAATACCAACCTTACCAAGCATCGCCCCACCGCGAAAAAGCGCGCCGGCAAGTCGCTTGGGCCTCACCACTTTCAGCCCGCGGGCAAACGGTTGGGCCTGACTCCGAGCCGCCGCTTCCTGATTGTCGATTCCCCTAGTGACGATGACGACGACGACGACGACGACTCTCAAGTGGTGGTGTCGATGCCCAAACTCATGCCCCAAAAACGATTGCCCAAAGTGGCCCTGAAACGATTCCCCAAAAAGACCCCGCGTAAAACTAGTAAACACCAGAAGTTCAACTACGACGACCTTGCCTCGCTGCTGGACGATGACGCTATGGATCTTGCTGACCTGGACGACGATGAACAAAGTAATGCCAACGACAGAGACAATGACGACGAAGACGACGACGATGCGCTGGACGCGCTGCTGGTGCTGATCGACTTTTCGTTTATGAACGCCGCTGCCGCTCGTCGTAAACTGGTGGCATCTCAGTTTGACTCTGGCGACGACTCCAGTGACTCCGGCGATAACTCGCTGCTGGACCTGGACGTTGATTTCGTCAAGCTTCAGCTCCAGCATAAGGCCAAGCGCTACTCGCCGAAGAAGTCGCAACGGCCTCAACTCCCTCGCAAATACGAACTGGCTATCGCTCTGCTGGACCTGGAACTGGAGCTTCTGGACGTCCCCAGCGCCGAGCTGCTGACCACCAGTGTCGAGCCTCCGAAGTTCGGTCGTCGCAAGAGCGATGCTGTGTTGCCTGACGACATCAACTTCACCTTTGATTTTGATGACTCGACGCAGCACCTGACGCTTTTGCCTGACGGTCTTGAGGTCAATGGTAACATCAATGAAGACCTCGGTGAAGATCTTGGTGAAGACCTTGGCGAAGACTTGCTGACTCCTCCCGACCTCCCCGTGTTGCCTCAATCGCTCGATATGGTCGACTTTGACCTTGCCGTGCCCAAGATTACTGATGCCAACTCCGACGAAGAGTACGAGTTTGACGATAACGAGTTGTTGGCGACATTGCACGCCGACGACGATATTCTCGACCTGCCTGCTACTTCGGAGCCGCTGCGCACGCGTAACAACTCGATTAACCTGCTTGATGACGATGACGAGCAGAAGTTCTTGCGTGAAGAAGAAAAGTACCTCGTCAACGAGTTTGAAACCAACGGGTTCGACGATGAGGTCGACGACCTGGACGAAGACATGCTGGAGCAGGAGTTGATCGATTTCGGTGAGGACTACATGCCCAACCCGGAAGACAAGATCACCCTGCGTCTGAAGCTGGCCCTGGACGAGGACGACGACCTGTACATGTGGAACTACTTCTTTTCCACCAAGCTGGACGAGGAAGAGTCGGAGGCGCGGGCGCAGGCAGCAGCCTACGAAAATGCCATTCTCTCGCTGGACGAGGACAACCTTGGCATGGGGGCCGCCGACGGCTACGAGTCGAGCGACTCTACCGACGTCGACGAAAACCTTCCTCTGACCACCACCAACGCCAAAGTGGCGCAAAAGGCTAAAGAGGTGTTGAGTTCCACCACCACCGACTACCGGCCCCCGGTGCTCGGCACGTGGATGACGGTGGACTCGAAACCTTTTGGCATCATTGACGGTCTTTCCACTCGTGTGCTCAACGGTCACGAGCCGCGTAAGCTGCGCAAACTGGTGCTGGTCCCCACCAATGTCGACGATCCTCTCGGGCTCGACGAGTTGTTAAACGTGAGCGAGCTTGATGATCTGGAGACTGACGTGAAGATCTGGCAGGACTTTAACCTGCGGGCTAAGGTGCCGCTTGGTGCCTTCCGCAATAAGCTGACGGGTCTTGCTACTCCAGTGTTTAACGAAGGGTCAAAGCAGAAAGTATACAAACGTTCAGGCAAGGCGAAAACCGCCCGCAAGTTGGCTCGGCGTCGCCAGCTGATCCTGGAGGCGATCCAAGAAGGGTACCGGCCTACAAAGCTGGGATTATTTGCTGAGCATATTTTGGGAGACGTGGAGGAGGTGATGGGTGATGACAGGGAGTTCATGAATTTGATTAAAGGATTATGATTGTTTTTGTTTTTTTTTTATGGAATATACAGAAAGTTAGTGACACAAAGTGTAGGAGTATGAAACAGTATGTGGGCGGGACAGACTGTAAGCGTGAGCGTGAGTATACGGACGGAAGAATCGGAAATGTACCAAGAGGTCATCGGAGATTACAGTCACGATGCCCCCTACACTGTTTGACAGTTGCGATTACTCAGCTAGTCAAAAGTCTAAACTTTATTCGGCTTACGGCATAAATAATAGAACTTGGCTATACCTACCACACCATAGCCGAATTCCGTTCCGGTGTTCCGATGTGTCATTCGTGACAGGGCTCGGATATTGCTGTGATGCTCCGATGGCAGCTTTTGACAGGGGACCGCAAGTTTAGGTTAGCCAGCATGAGAGTGTTACAGTGCATGGAGGCTTATCACGACGGTGTTTGCTGGTGTGGGCAAAGGATCGGCGGCGTGGTATCAGGCTTCGGAATTAATCGCCAAATTCAGAGGTGTCAAAAAGTCTATTTTTGCACGCCGACAGTGAACGTGCTGCGGTAGGGTCATATTATGGTCGATCCACGTCATTCTTTCAAGAACTACTTGCTTCAAAACGTAAGACTACCTGCTTCAAAATGTGTACGACATATTTTCGAGGGTGAGACATCCCGCGGTTCTCTCTGTGTGTCTGTTGACTCAATCTTCTATACGAGGTGGCGTGTTTGGAGAATCCACATAAACGAGTGCCATCGAAGGAAACGTGCCACGTTATGCAGAGCATGGCGTTTGGCAATACGCAAACGACGTACGCCATGTGGGACCACGATGTTGAATATTTTTGTAGTCCCGTAGTGACGGTGGGCAGGCAGATTCGGCAAGATCGACGTCGCAGGAGAGATAATTGCCAAGTCTACCACCATCGTGGGATGGATCTGCAGGCGGCACAACTAGCCCCCACTAGCTGCACAAAGAGCTTAATTTGCACGGTGAGTGACACATTTCAGATAACAGATAACGGGAGGCTGAGCGAATTACACGCTTCCGCGGATCAACACCATCTCCCAATGCATGGCGACATTTTGTGTCACCAGAACATTTTGGTGAGATGGTGGTGAAGAGAACGACAAATACGGCCAAGAACTCAAGAAATGAGTAATGTACTCATCGGATGGTATTTGGCAAAAATGCACTTGTGTCCGCTTACCTCAGTGGTTGTTACGTCATGACACGGCAAACGTCCCCGTCTGCCAGCGGCGGTTACCGATGAGGTACGTTCGCAGGGCATTATTTGCTGCACCCGTCACTCACGTCAAAAAGCTAATGTAACATGTACGAGCCGAGCCCTGCTGTGTGCATTAGGTGCCGCCAACCTTTGATATAATTCTTAGCTACGTCAATAATTTACTCTAGGACAACGAGTTTCTCAAGTGCAGCGAAGTATATGGAGAAAATGTTCTGTGCGTTTATTATCGTGGAGAAATACATTGTTCGTGATTGTTGTTCATGATATCATTATACGTAGGCGTCTAAGTTTATACGGAAATTTCCGTCCATGGGCCCATGCGTGCAGAGATGGCCGTCTGTACCACCCACTCCCAGTCAATTACCCCCACCGTAATCATCGGATTCTTGGACTTGCTTCGCCGGGTCGACTGATTGTCGTGCTCCCCATACACCAACAAGTGGGTGGGGTCGTATGTTGTCACTTTGCGCAAGTCGGTACAGAACTCTACTATTGCTCCGAAAGCTCGAAGCATGAACAGCGGCAACTCAGGGTTCCGCACCTTGTGGGCGATAAGCACCACTGTGTACCCTTTCATGATTGTCTGATTAAATGCAGCGTTCTCATTTAACGTTTGATGAGCGTCGTAGGCAAGACGGAAGCGGTAAACGTCCAACAGCTTCACCAGCTTATGCAAAGCACTCAGCTCCCCCGCTGGTAAAAGGTATGCTGGCCAGTCATCTATCACAGCCTTCTCTGCAACGCAGTCGCTGATGTATTGGTCACTGACCACGGGCCAGCCAAGCGCCACAGCCTCAAGGTATTTGGCACTGCGACAATAGCTTCGGGCGACGACTGCCGCAAGTTTCAACGTTCCACACTTATCCGGGACATGAAACTTACCCTTGTGATACTCTAAGAAATCGTGGAGGTCTTGAGGTACGTACCAGCCACCGTTAGATTCCACTTGCTCCACAAGCGGCTCGCGAATATCATCATCAAGAAACGTAAAACAGAATACAGTACCGGCAAACAACCCTTGCGAAGTCTTTGGTTTCATTAAAGGAGGGACGTTCTGGTTATTCTTGCGTAGCAGTGCTTTAATAGGGGATACAGTGACGTTGGTCAGCATCATCGACGCCGCAAACGAGTGGGCCTGATGTTGTACCAACCACTCTCCCAAATCGAGCCAGCACTGAGAAAGCGGCACCACTCTTGGCTGTTGCAGATTGCTTCGTGTTTTACCGTTATTCCGCTCAATGCACACTGAGTTGAATCCTTCAATAGTGACAATATCATCGTTATCAGTATCGTACGAGAGTTGGGTGACAATAAACGGCGTAACTCCCGAGCGAGTGTGGATCTTATCACCCACAGTGAGATGCAACGGGTATATATCTTCGTTCTTGATCAGATACACGCCATCGGCAAACTGGACATCCAGCAGATGACGACCTCTTTCCTTGATCAATCCTGGGTATAGCTTAATGTTCCATGTAGCCCACACTGCGTTCTCATTAGCCTGGGGTCCACCGCGTCGAGTAGGCGAACTGGGGAGGTCGCTATTTGGTCCAAGCAGGGGTTGCACTAACGGCAGCAGTTCCATTGGTGTCGGCATTTCCGGCAGCGCGTATATCTTCTGGAATTGACTGTTTTGAGTCAGACGGCGTAAGTCGGGTGTAGGGCCCAAACTGATCTTTTGTTTAGCAGGACTAGTACGCCTCTGATGGGTCTCAATCAGATCTTCAATGGTTGCTGCTGTAGGTACCGGCACCAGCTCCTCCTCATCCTCCTCTTCATCGTCAGAAGCTACCACTTGAGTGTACACTGGTCGGTCAGAGGTCATATGAGCTGGTGGCAGCTGGGTATTGGCGACTTCGATATAGCTGCGGAGACGTTTGCGGCTAGGTTGTTCTTCGTCAGAGTCCTCGTGAATAATGGGGATATTTCTCAGAGTCAAGATCATCCCTTGCGACAGGTCCTGAGTGGTTGCAACAACTCCTAAAGGCAGCACAAAATCAGGGTCGGTGCGAGGCTCTCTCGAGGGCAGCACGGGATCAGGGTCAGTGGCTGGTTCCCCAGTAGAGCGATACGTGGCTCCAGCACTGGGCAGGGGCGGTGAGTAGGGTAGCAGATCCTGTAAGGTGTCTGGGTCTTGAGTTGACACTTCAGGTTGGGATACATCAGCAATATGGTTTCTCGCTGGCGTAATCGGTTGAGTGTCAGTAACGTCATCGATGGGTTTAATTGGTTGAGTATCAGCAATGCCGATGGTGGGTCTGTTTGATGTGGGGCTGGCAGACCCAATCGGCTGAGTGTCAGCAATGTAGTTTGGTGGTTGGATCGCCTGTGTGTCGGGGCTATCGTTTGTGGATCCAATCGGCTGAGTATCGGTGATATTGTTCGTGATGGCAATCGGCAGAGTGTCGAGATTGTTTGTGGATGGTGTAATTGGCTGAGTGTCGGCAATGCCATTTATCGGCTGAGTCTCGGGACTGTTATTAATTGCCAAAGTGTCGGGACTGTGGTTGATGGGTTGGGTATCGGCAATGTATCTATTAGCAATTGGAGGAAGGGATGTCTGAGACTCAGGCTGGGTGCTACCCTCAACAATGGGAGAATCAGTGACAATCGGGATCCTTACCGCTGACTTGGGTATTAGTTGAGTGTCTTGGTCGTGTACACTTAGTCTGTCGCCGTGGAATGACCCATTCAAGCGAGAAGGCGTGGGTTGAGTGGTATCCAATACTCTTTGTGCCTCATCGAGAAGTCTTTGGGTATCGTCAGTATCGGGAGTGGCAAATACCTGAGTGGCCGGTCCCTGGCTTTTGTTTGCCCCAATCGGCTGAGTGTCTGCAGTCATAAGGTGTATCTGAGGCGACGCTGATACTGACGCCACCAATGGTTGTGTAGGTAGAGTTGCCTCATCTCCATGGGAAGGCTCCAAAAATGGGTGCGAATCCTCCGATATCAGCTTAGATACGTTGGGAGTGGGCAGAATGTCTTCGTGAGTAGGTTCATCGTCATTTGCAGTGTTTTCGTCATCGTCTTCTCCGTCGAGGCGCGATAGAGATACCCTCACCAGCCGGCGCGCCGGGCGCACGGGGGAGGACTCGTCGGACTCCTCCAAGTAGGAGGCGTGGGTCCGTGGCTGTCGTAGCAGTCTTGTTACCCTCTGGGACCCCGACATTGCCAGCATCGGTCCATTCACTGGGTCGTCTTGTCAATCAGCAGTGACGCGCACTCGCGACAGGGGCTTACGTCAACGATGGATGTACGAAGCCCCTCGATGGTGACAGATCACCATCTATTTTTATCGGTCAAAATGGCTTCAATGAGGTTGATATAGATCAGAACATGAGTAAGTTTTATAGTTAATGGTTTGTGTCACATAATGTTTATGGACGGGATTCGAACCAAGGGAACACGGGGTGTTTCTTTGATCTGTTCGAGTTTGTGATGAAATGTACATAAACCCAGAAATTCGGTGAGGCAAAACATAATGCCATTAAGTGTATCAACCACGAATCTGTAATAGATTGTATAATGCAATGCTTCTGCCGGAGAAACCTAAAACCTGAAGCTATTTCACAGCCTAAAAGGGTTTACCCTCATTTCAAATTGATGCTACAAGATAAGACTACATTACAATTAACAAACAAATTTAATTCACTATAAAAATTACGCTAGATTTCAATCATGCTTAAATTACGATACTGTCACGATCGGATTACCGTCTATGTAATGTAAGATTAGAATCGTAAATATCGTAACATCGTCGTCTGCGCCTACAACTGGCTCAACAAGTCCTCAAACTTCGGTTGAGGCGGGCGCTGGCCCCGACGGACCACGTACACCACATACATGCCGATGTCGTCGCCCTTGTCGAAGGCACGCAACCACTGAGGCCGGCCCTGGTCGCGGAAGTCGACCACGGCAAGGTAGCTGTCCTTTACAAACTGGGGACGGTTGTCCAACACCCCGACCTTGTTCTTGAACAACAAGTAGTCATACAACTTCTGGTACTCGGCGCCGTCGCCTTCCACCTTCACCAAATACACATCGCATGACTGTTTCACCACGTCGAGATAAGCGTCGGCCCGCGAACGGTCGAGGCGGCCCTCGACGGTGTAGTGGCTAGACTTCATGATATCCTTAACGGTGGCGGTGGCGGTGACGGCGTCGGTAGCAGGGGTGCGCAACACGGTGGTGGCGCTAGCGCTAAACGAGGCAAAGTCGGGGAAATTAATCGTGCCGTGCCAGAGAGGAGGAGAGGAGGGCTTAGAGGAAAGAGCTATAGACGCGCCGGGCTCGGTGGCCACGGTCAGCGGCGTCTGCACCGAGTCAAGCAGCGACGTCAGCAGCAGGTCGCTGTGGACGGGGGCATCGTCGCCGTTTATGTCAGCAGTAGGTACATCATCGTCATCATCGTCATCATCGTGGTTAACAAACGTCGGGTTCGCTGAGGGCAGAAGCGGGCGAATGATCTTCGGCGCTTCGGTGTCCAGCACCAGAAACTGGCGGTGGTCGACCAGCCGCACCACCAAGTTGTCGGCCAGCGCCTCGGCCGCTTCTTGCTCACGCTGTTGTTGGCGCATGGCTTCGAGCTGCAGCGGCCCCAACACTTGGTTCTTTAAATCCTCTTTAAGTTTCAGCTTCACCCGCGCAATCAGGGCGTTAATCTGTTCGGGGGTCTTCTTCACCACTTGGGCAAAAGTGATTGTCCCCGCCTGAATATCGGCCATAAAGTTCTTCTTGAGGAGGAACAATATCCGCCGCAGTTCCGAGCTGTACTTAGCTTTGGGGAACTCTTTGAACAATATCAGCTCAATGTCGAATGCCCATTTGCGGGCCAAAGTCTCGGCATTCTCACCTTCTTTGAACTTGTAGTCTTCAGGGAATGACAGCTTAAAGTAAGCGTAGAACGCCTTCGCCGTCAGCGCCCGGAACGGCTGCAGTTTGAACCGCACATCAAAGTTCATCTGGCACTCGTTGCACAGATACTGTTCGGGGATCTTGTTCAGAAAGCCCATACATTTGGCGTGTTGCCAGGTATTGCACGCTTCACAGTACACGAAAGTGCCGCCCTCGTCCTCGTCCTCGTTGTAGTTGTCTTTGGTGGTGCCACAGGGGGTGCACCGCACCTCGTCCTCGTCGACGGCCCGGCGGCGTTTCGGTGTAGGCTTGAACGATTCTTCGGGGATGTCGTCGTAGCCGTAGAGTGTGTCTAACGCACGTTTCGAGTGCTGGCCTTTGTTTACCCGGGAGCTTGTTCGCATATGGTTAGTGGTGGCGTGGGGGTTGTCGATGTATACAAGGGGGTTTGAGATTTTTAGGATGAGGGAAGGCGAGAGAAAACAGGTCGAAGGAGTGAGGTGAGACGCGCGTGACCATCGCTGCCTAACCAAAAAACACCATGCAACAATTAGAAGTCACGTGACCGTTGTGAATGTGCGACATTGGTAAAGGAGCCAGGGAAGCGGCTGGCGATGGCCATAGTGGGGGGGAGGAAACCGCGTTCGGCTATCGGCGGCTATTGGCGGCCGACTCATCGCTACAACTGACAAAGGCTATAATAACGCCATAAATCATTAAACTCTATAAACAAAACTTCTTAACCTATGCAAAAACCCGTCTCCACGCTTCACGGCACACCGCCTTCACCAACGGGAACCCGTTGTCGGAGCGCACAGCGTCGCCGTTCTCCTCCATTCTTCTCAACAAGTACTCCTTGGTTTCCAAAGGAGGACCCCAGGGGACGTACTTGATGACGTTGTCGACACCGTAGTTCTTGGTCAACGAGTAGGTGATGTTGTCCGCCATACCCAACAATTGGCCCAAGACGACGTTGGCCTTGTAGATGTTGTTGCGGCTGGCTTCGTCACCAAACAACTTTTGCGACGCGAGCTTGAGCGAGTCGCCGTTATGCGAGGCGACGACGAGGTGGCCGATGGTGGCGGTGTTCTTGTCCTTGGCCAGCTGGCTCATGATCTGGTCGATGCAGTACAGGATACCTTGGTTGTAGTTGGCGTCGGTGTCTTCCTTGGTGGCGTGGATGATGGTGTCACGCTGCTTTTCCGAGTGGATGTAGGCGCCTCTGACGAGCTTGAGCCCCAACCGGTAGTTGCCTTGCTTGGCAAGCTTTTCTTCCTTGGCCAAAAGCTCCGCCAGTTCGCTCAAGTACATTTGCAACGTGCCCACCACTTGCGCGGGCAGGTTCAACGGGTTGTATTGTTGGTACAAGCGTCTTTGCAATTCGTAGACCCCTTCTTGGAGCTCATGCTTTTCAGCGTCAACGACAGCAACGACGAAAGGAGCCACACGGTCAGGATATTGTTGGTGCAACTTGGCGTTGGCTTCCGAGATGGCGGCGACGACAGTCAGCGCCTTGGCGACAAGGTCTTCGAATTCAGCCTTCTTGGTAGTGTTGTAGTATCTCAACACGTTAGCAGCGTCGTGGGCGAAACCAGTAGGCTTCAACGCCACGTAACCGGGGGGGATCAGGTTGATGTCTTTACCAGTAGTCTCAATCATCTTAGCGGTGTGGGGGACGAGAATCTCGTGCACGGAACGAGCAGTCTCCTTGACAATGTATTCAGGGTCGACGTTGTCGTTACCATCACAGGCTTCGATGGTCAACGAGATCATCATGTTGTTGATACCTCTTTGGGTGGCCAAACGCTCACCGGTGGCCTTAACTTCCTCGATGGTCTCACCACCGCAGTAGATCTTGTAGACAAACGTCTTGATCATCCACATAGGCACGTAGGGGAACGCCTTGATGCACATGTTGAGGATGGGCTTGTTCAAGGTGGCCATGCCGATACAGAAGTACAGCATCAATTCTGAAGGAGTAAAGTCCTTAAGGTAAGCACCGGGGTTCTGGGGCTTGGCCGCGGGCTTCACCGCCAGCAGGGCGATGGTGTTTTGCACGCCAACGGTAGACTTAGTATCAGGGGTGGAGTGGAACCATTGCTGAGGACGACGGGTCACGGGGCGGGCGAGCAACGGGGCATAGCGGGCACCGGTGTTTCTGATCATGAGATCGGGTGGATTTCGGAGCCAGACGGCGGAGGCAGCGGCGTCATTTATATCTCGGGGTCCCCTCGCTTGTGTGTGACGTTTTCGCTAACGGTTACCCCGTGCGAACTGGGGTAGGGCAAAAATTTAAATGACAGGTTTGCCTGCGATGCGGAATCTGCGAACGGGGGGGGTGCAAGCGACGCCAACCGTTTTTACTACGATGGTTTGCCGTGTGTAAGCAACGAGATAACGAATCCGGGGAAAGCGGCATCGGCTGCCAAATAGAGACTGCCGACGCCACAGGAGGGTTCTAATTCCGATAGGCGTTGACCCAGATGGTAATGGGGGATACGGAGCTTATTAACCACCTTATGTACAGATTGAGTGATCAGGGCAAAAAAGTGTGTGTAGACGGAGTTTGCGAAATGGCTGCTAAAAGCGTGACTTTACTGATAACGGCCCAAAGCAAATAGTTTTACGGGTTTCGAAGGGATCGTCTCGCCTACCTTAACCACTACCAAGAACAATGTGGGCCCAAAAAGAGGGGAGATTTATCAGGTGAATGGCGCCAGTTGGGCGTGTGGTAATTGCTCCCCTCCTTTAGATAAAAACGCTCGGAGCGGTGCATCCTTCCCGTGCCGGCAGCGAACCCCGACGAGCAAACCCAAGCGAAATGCGCATACGGCAAGTGAGAGCGATGGCAGCGATGCCACTGATGGTGCCAATGTTTGGGTCAACGTAAACACGCCATGTAGGTGGGGAACGCCTCCGGCACAAGATAAGGCATGATCCGATTTGCTGACCTACATCATTCGAGGTATACGGTAGCGGCGACGAAACATGGGGAAGTAACCTCAACGGTACACGGAGATTAAATTTGACCGTTGGTGATAGTGCAAAACGGTTTCTGCTCTCAACCAGTAATCAAATTCATTGCATTTAATATCCCCCTCCCTTTGACTCCCCACTCTTTATGGAGTCAGATAATCGAATCGACCTCCTTAAGAGATGGAAAAAAGTCACGTGACGAGACGTTGTAGTGATTAGCGGCAGGAAATCTCGCTTAAGCAGTACTCAAAAGCAAAAATTAATCAAGTCAGAATAAGCCCACGAGCCCCTAATGAAGATTCGCTAGTATGACCACAATTAGACCCGTCTTCGGGAGTGTTATGGACAATGCTTAACTCGTCACTGCCACCGAATTTCGGAGTACGGGCAACTGCCAGTCTCGGCGCAGATACGATGTGTGAGTGAAACTTGTAGTGGGTGCCGTCCCTGGTGAAATTAAGCATTATTTTGGTAATTACATTGGTAGTGCCTCATTGTTAAAATCTCGGAGCCCAGGTGGGCCATGCCAACCTAAACTGAATTAACCAAAAGCACATGTTCTTTATGGTGCAAATATCGAACACAATACTAATTGGTAGTCAATCACTTTACAAGAACTTGCTACCACCAGTTACCAAATAATAGGGGTAGCCACTGCTCGCCTATCGGGGCCCTCACTGCCACCCTACTAAAACTCACAGCGCGTGGGGAGAAGAGGGGGGGCATTCATTCGAAAACGCACAGCCGCTTACTTCCAGTTTGGGCACCCTGCCCACCAGGCTTTTCCTGGAGTCCCCGGAACTGGCCATTGTCCGTCGCCTAGATCCGTGGGGCAGTGTCTAGCCTACATCGGTGTGGGGAGGGCATGCGCAGCTAGCGGCGGCCGGATTTGCAGATTGAGGTTCAATTGGACTCGATATATCGGCGGGGGTAAATGTTCCGGAGAGTATTCCCGGATGGTGTATTTTCCGGTACGGATTTTAGGTTGAAGCACGGTGGACTATGCCCTTTTTACTATGGTCACTTCATGGGGTATTAGTTACGCTATACTAGATAGTGAAGTGATCTCTCCGCGCTACCATCCGCCGCATTTTCCCCGATTAGATCGAGCCCTCTCATCGCCCTCATTGACCCCGATGCTCAGGAGCTGGCGAGCGTACCTGAAGCGGCTGCCGCTCCCCAGCACTGTGCTTGATGTTCTCCAGCAGAAGCCTGAGCTTACCCTCACGGCGGCCGACAAACGGGTGTTCTTAAGTCCCAAAGAGGCGCGGATCACCCCGAGAAAGCGCCATAACCCCACCGCCACAGCCCCGATACCACCGCTGGCAATCATCAAGGACTTATGGCTGCCTCTGCTAACCACCACGGGTTCAGTGGACAGTTTCCGACCCGATACAAACGCGTTATCGCCGACTAAATTTCATAAAGTGGTCAACGCGTTGGTCGACCTGTTTACCACTGACCAGCTCAAACGGTACGCTCAGCAACACTGTACGATTAAGTCTCGTGACCGCAAACGTGATATCGCCGCTAAAATTGTCTCCGACGCCTGGAAAGTTGAGAAAACTGAAGGTCTCACCATCGACGATTTTACCCTGGTTAAACGAGTTAAGCTCGAACCCATGCATCTCCATTTACTTTTAAAGAACCGCAGCATTGTCCACTACTTGGGGCTCACCGGAGCTAAGCTTAAATTCGATCTGGCACTGAGTCTGATCCAATTTAGAGGTACTCAGAAACAAGTACAAGACGCTGAAGTTTTACTTAGTCATACGCTTGCACGTGCTCATACCCAAACACTTGAATGGGGTCACTTAGACTCTCAGTGTCGCCTTGATGATATCGCTGCTCATACCGATGTTTATTTCAGTCGCAGTGATAACGGTTTAAACATGACCTCATTCAACCCTAAACAACTCAAACGGGCCGAGAGATTACTACTATGGCAACAATTGCCTCAGCTTTGCCGTTCATTTATTCGTCAGGAGGTGGTGGAGCCGTCGTTGTCACTGGCCACTAATTTGATCAAATTACCATTTCAAGCCGACGCTCTGGCACTGTGGCGCCAGCGATTCAGAAGGTTATGGACGTGGGCTAGACCTCAGAAGGCTACCGCATCACCGTCATTGTCTCGGCTGATTGAACGGCTTCTGGGAGCCACTTCCACTGAGCTTAGTCTCGATGACGTCACTGACGCTAAACACAATTTAGGAGCAGCTAATCTTGAACTGGAGGCGGTGAGAGTGGTGGAGATGCTTTCACCGAGTCCCGCAGTCAGTGTCGACTCCGTGTGGCCCCAGCTAAAGTGTCCGGAACTGCCCGAGGGTTTAGTCACCGTCACTTTAGGTACCGTGGTCTTTGATGAAGAAAACCAGGCGTTTTTCGATAGCAATGCCGCCTTAGCTGCCGATGCTGCTCTGAGACTACCATTATGGCACCAGACTCATCTTAGTTCAGCGGACATTAACCATTTGATGAATGAAGAACCGGGTACTCATCTGATCCAGCTTACGTTCGTACCGCTGCCGTGGCTTAAGGAAAAGGACCCTTCAAGTTACCCTCCCATGGTTCTCTCTGCCACGTTAACGGATAAAATGACCGTCGATGTCGCCACCATTGATTTAGCCGCTGTTCACGCCGAACACAGTGTGCTTGTCCCCTTACCCGGTGAACGGGCCGATATTAAGGTCACCTACCAAAACCCTCAACTGGTGCTTGTGGAAAGCAATAATGAGGCAAACGAAGAGCTTACCGAGCCGCTGCTGCTGATAGATGAGATATTGCACCTGACGATGGCTCTGGCTCGTCACTTGGCCTCACAACCAGGGATTGGCCAATTCTTACTGAAGCTGAAACTCAACTTCTCCCAACCGTTAGATATCCATCCTACACTTGATATCACGGTAAACGGTGAGATTATCCCTTACCACTACGTGCTGACTGAGCTCAGACGACTGGTAGAGTTTAGCTACCACGACCGCCTCGTACAACACACGTTAGTTGAAGGCGGACGTCTTGGTGGTAGACGCCACGAAATCACTTTTGCCGGCGACGTTGGCGGCGATCGAGCCCTGGTACAGGCGCTCTTAGCCGACGCTCACCAATTCATCCGCGAGATGTAGACCATTGTACATAGAATTAGAATACGTTAATTTTCTAGAATACGTTAGATGCTTGTATTTACCAGGGAGTATATCTATAAACGGTTAGCGCTTCTGGAGCTCCTCCAACCGGGCGATCAGCGTCTGCAACGCGATGATGTCGGCCATGATGACGTTGTTGGCCTTCTTGTACTCGTCCAACAAGTAGTAGTAGGCGCCGGCCCCGGTGACGGTGACCCCGAGCAAAAAGCCCGTGAAACCCCCGCGGAAGGCACCGATGCGCTTGGGCGGCTTCACCACCACTTTCTTAGGTTGAGGGGGCGGGGGCAGCGGTCTCGGCTGGGCGTGCACGACCACGGGCTTTTCCACGACCACGGGGGTCTTCTGCACCACGGGAGGCGGGGTGGGAGGGTTCACTGGCACCTTGGACACCTTGACGTCCGCCATTCTGAAAAGAGTGGGCAACATATGTGATTGGTAGACGGGCGGTCGCACTTTTTCAGCGCGCCATAAGGGAACCGTTGGCGAAGGTAAATAGAGAGAATCACGACTAGAATCAATTGAATTATATGAGGATGACGACTTATGTTTAGGGACGGGATCATCGCTAAGCTTAGAAATGATCAACGCGAATGGACACTTTCATTACAAATTGACGAACGCTTTCAGCCCTCATAATGGCTGTAATAAGTTTCACACGAGTCCACAATGGGAGGTATTAGGGTGATTCGATGTAGATGTCATTCCAATATTCTTGCTTTCTCCAAAGTAGTGACAATTGAAACACAGTTGATTTTTGCAGTACTCAGCCTAATTCGAGTTAGGCTAATAAACTGCAAATATTCAAAGTGAATGTGAATTTTTCAGCCGTTGTCAGCTTCGCCAAAAGCAATTGCAATAAAGCAAATATTTCGATAATACACTCATTCGTTTTAATTCATCATCGAATGACGATGATGATTTCAAACTGCCAACTTGTCTTGTCTCCGTACTTAGTTTCACAAAATCACTCACAAAAGCAGAATATCTCACCGTCAACCAAGACTGATTACAATATATTTTACCATAATTCACTGGTAGTGGTGGCAAAAGAAACTAGTATACCGTGAACGTATTTCCGACTAAGCCTACTTATAACGGTTACTGGTATCAAGCGACCTCACTGATCACTCGCCATTGCTGCCTCACTACATTGCTATGTTCGCCACCGCTCGACGCCAGTGGCCCAAGGTGGCAACGGCGACAGTCGCCCTCGGGGCAGGGGTGTATGCTTACGATCGGACCCACTATTCAGTGGTTTCTCGAGCCGTTCGAGCCATGTGGACGCTCAGCTTTGTCGCCTACAAGTATACCCGCTGCAACTATGCCGACATGAAGGAGATGGAACAGGTCCACGAGCAGTGTGCCGAGCTGCTATTACAGATGCTCCAGAAGAATAAAGGTTTATTTATCAAGATCGGCCAGGCGATCGCCAACCAGGGCCCGCTATTCCCCATGGCGTACCAGAAACGGTTTGCCCAGTTATACGACGCTGCGCCCGCCGACGACTGGAAAGAGATCGAGGCGATGCTCAACCGAGTGTACGGGACCAGCAACTGGGGGTTTACTATTGATAGCGATGCCGTGGCGCTGGCGCTGATCGCTCAAGTTTATAAGGGCCATTTGCCTACGGGCGAGGCGGTGGCGGTGAAAGTCCAGCACCCACTGATCGAGTACCAGCTCCACGCCGACTTGTGGGTGTATCAGAATATTCTGAAAGTGTACAGTTGGGTATTTGGCCTCCCTTTCTCGATGTTTACCAAATATATCTCGCTGCAGATGGTTCAGGAGACGGATTTTGGACGGGAAGCCGCTAACGGAGAGCGTCTTCTAGCAGCGTTGATTGCGGATGGGTTCAACAACCGCGTCCACGTCCCGAAAGTGTATCCTCAGGTGTCCAAAAAGCAAGTGTTGGTGACCGAGTGGATCGACGGTACCTCATTGACGGAGACGGAGAAGATCTCGGCAAACTTCAATACCCACGATGTTCTCCACACGTTCCTCGACGTGTTTGGCCGGCAAATTTTCCGTTACGGCTTTGTCCATTGTGATCCCCACCCTGGTAATCTTATGGTGAGACGAACTAAGTGGGGCCAGCAGCAATTAGTGATCTTGGACCACGGGCTCTACATCGACTTACCCCGCGACTTTGAGCAGCAGTATAGTCGGTTATGGCAGTATATGTTTACTCAGGATACCACCCACCTCAAGGAAATCGCTCAACTGTGGGGGATTGACTCGGTGGATATATTCGCTCTGTTGGTGCTGTTGAAACCGACCTACATGACCTCTAACCCCCCTCCGAAGGCGACTCAACTTGACGACGATCGTGATATTCAGACGTTACTCGGACAATTCCTTAAGGATGAGCTGAAGTTCCCGCTTCAGTTGATCTTCCTTACGCGGACGATGAGAATGATGCAAAACATGAATAAACAGTACGGGCTGCCAGTGAATCGGATTAATGTGTTGACCAGAAGTGCGGTTGCCGGCGCCAATCTTGGATGGAGTCAACGGTTACGGGTGTCGTTTGCATTGTGGGTATCCGATATCGTATTCCTCTTTGTCAGATTCAAGCAGTGGTTGTTGGGAGACTTATGGGGTCGTCCCAGTTTGGGGATTGAAGACTATATGGAGTTGTTCATCAAGAACACCGCCAAACAGCACGGTATCGACTTTGACTTGTAGATGTTTGATGATGTAATGATAGATGTTATACAGACTTTTTTATTCTTTGTTAAAATTGAATCAGTGTAGCGAGAAAGCAAGTTCTGTTTACGTCGATATTCCTCGTACAAGTGAGGGGCTAGGTTTGTGTCTCATTCTTATCGTCGTAGGTCAGATCAGGTACTAGTGGTAATAGTGTGTACCGTGAAGCTGAGGGTGAATCACCAATATAGTCGAGTAGGTTTAACGTTGTACAAAACTTACCAGTTTTCACCAGTTGTAAACCCGAATATCACTTATGTTTGCCGACTTCTTTACATTGACCAATAAGATAATTTACGGTTATTCGAAATTTGTAACAAACGAACGTCAATTTCACAGCAGCCAGCAATTTCCGCTTAGGCTTCGCACGGACCTGTGCGAACTTATTGCTAGGCGAGCACTAAGCTAATGAGTGCGACTCCAATCCCAGGACTCCCCTGGCGCCGCACCGCGCGCACCTTCATCTCATCGCACCAGAGACCATCCCTCATCGCATGGTGGCACGCACAAGTTTTGAGCAGACCACGGCGTCCATCGAGCCGTGGTACACCGGGAACATTGCTCCCGGCATCAGCGACCACTACCTTGTCACTCCACTCGAAGAGGACGTGTGTTTCATTGACGTTTCCACTCAAAATGTCGCCTTCCGCATTGAAGGTGATGGTGAACCCATCACCGCTGTGGCCATCACTCCCGATGGCCAGTGGGCAGCGATCGCTTCCCAGTCCCAGCAGCTCCGCATCGTTAATGTGGAAGCTCAGCAGGTCACCCATACCCACCGGTTGGGGCTGCCGGTATACATCGCCACTGCCGATGCCCGGCTGCTGTTATTTGCCCTTGGTGGTTCTGATGGTGTGGTAACGGTGTGGGATATTGCCGGTGGCTACGTTACCCACTCGTTAAAGGGCCACGGGACCACAGTGTCGCTGGTTCGCTTCAATAACGGTGACGCTACCCATTTCTTATTGGCCCTGGGTGATATCATGGGTACCATTAAAGTGTGGGACTTGGTCAAGCGTAAAGCGATCCACACGCTTAACGAACACACCGCCGCTGTTAGAGGTTTAGGGTTCGTTGAGGATAGCCGGCGGTCTCAGCTGAGCTATGCGTTAATCCTGGGTGGCAGAGACGACGTCGTCATCCTCTATAACCAGAGCTATAGAGCAGCCAAGGTGATCCCGATGCTGGAGCTGGTGGAGCTGTGTGGTTTTTTTGACTACGACGACGAGCCGTGCTTCTATACTGGCGGTAACAGTGCCCAGCTTAAAGTGTGGCTGGTACTGAGTCTCGCGGTGCTTGCTCAAACGGCTAAGCCTTTGGAAACCCTGGAAGAGCTCGTGATCATTGATGTGTTTGAAGTTGACGATGCTCTTGTTACCACTCTTAGTGACCAGACGATCATCTACTACGACCGCCGTAGTCTTCTTCCCCAGTTGACCTTAGCGGGTAATCACGGGATTATCGCTGACTGTAAACCCGTGGGCGACAATCTCGTGCTTGCCACTAACTCGCCGCTGGTGCGGATTGTCAGAGCTGATGCTCCACTTCAAGTGGAATTCTTACAAGGTCACACCGACTTGGTTAACGGGGTTGATGTCAGTCCTCTGGGCCAGTGGATGGTTACTGGCGGTAAAGACGGGGTAGCGATTGTATGGCATTTGGGCGATGATGGCCACTGGGCGCTCCACCTGAGCTATAGCGGCCACAGCGGTCTGGTTTCCTCCGTGGCTATTGCCAGAGTCGACCCGCCTCAGTTTATCATTACTGCAGGTGCTGATTTAACCATCAAAAAGTGGAAGATCACTAAGGGAGAGAACCTGACGGCAATCTACACTAGACGCGCCCACGATAAGGAAATTAACGCTGTCGACATCCTGCCGAATGACGAGCACTTGGCGACGGCCTCGTATGATAAAACCGCCAAGATTTGGGATATAGATAGCGGTGAAACTCGAGGAGTATTGCGTGGTCACCGTCGGGGGCTTTGGGACATTGCTTTTTCGCCTTATGCTCCTCAAGTGGCTACTGCTTCGGGGGATAAGACTGCTAAGGTGTGGCTGTTGCAGACGTTTGGTTGCGTGCAAACACTTGAAGGGCACACCAATAGTGTTCAGAGAGTGGCGTGGCTCAATCCCGAGCTGCCGCAAGTTGTACTGACTGGTGCTGATGGTTTAGTGAAGGTGTGGAGTTCTGGTGAAGAAGTGGCGACGCTCGATGGTCACGATAATCGGATCTGGGCCCTTGCCGTTACGGCTGATGCGGTGGCGCTGATCATCACTGGTGATGCCGACGGTAAGATTGTGGTGTGGCACGATGTCACCGACGAGATGTTGAAGCAACAGCAGGAAGCTGAGAAACAGAGAGTCGAGGATATCCAGCGGTTAGACCGGCTTGTTGCCAGCAACGAGATGGGGGAAGCGTTCCTTTTAGCACTCACTTTGGGACACAGCATGAAGCTTTATCACGTTATCACTCAAATGGAAGATGACGAACAGTTGGCTGCCGTCATCGAGCTGCTTGACCAGGATCAGTTGGTGCTGGTGCTCAAGCGGGCGCGAGACTGGAACACCAACTTCCGCCACTTTGAGGCGGCGCAGCGGGTGGTGGCTGTGGTGCTTCGCCGCCCCGTGGCCGAGCTCCACGCGGTGCCGGCGGCGATGAAGATCATCGACGCGTTGGTGCCGTATAACCAGCGCCACTTGGCCCGGGTCGACGACATGATCGAGGCGCTGTACGTGTTGGACTACTGCGTCGAGGAAATGGCCTAGTCCTTCTTCTACTTCTGAGAGGCGAGAAACGGTAGAGGCAAAATTTGATAGAGAACATTGCGGCGTCAGCGCCGAGCATCCTGCTGGACAGCAGCGTATAGTAATAGCATGACAATCACGAACATTGGCAGTCGTAGGAATTGGCGGTAGTAGGAGATGATCGGTTTACGATCACCGATAATGGCGATGGGGCGAGATCGATCGAGATCATCTAGCTTAGCGATTGCGGGTGGTGGGGCGCCTCCGAATATTATTGCCGGGGCTCGAAGTCGCCCGTGAATCCGCAGCACAATCGCGAGTGAAACGAAGGCCAGGGGTTCGTGGGCTAGGGGGTGGGGCCCGTTGGCGCCCTGCCCTATTGGGGCAAAAAGGTGACGTCAGCCGCTGTGCAGAGGGAATATCGCGTAAGCGGGGCGCGAGCATACTCCCGACGACGACTGCGCTGGCGTGCGAGCCGACGGGTGCCGACACTATACTTTTGGCGGTGTGACCAACCATAGGGACCCACAAACACCACCAAATCGACGAATATCGACCCTAGGCTTCGGCGAAAGCCCAGATATAGCTGTAGCGATGGTTGCTGCGGCTGTTTCAGGGCAAAACGACCCAACATTTTCGCCGCGGGTCCCTGCAGGGTTTTCGCCTAGACGATGGCCGGCCACAAAGATCTGCCCCAGGGAATTTTCGGGGGAACACCCGGAAACGGCAACAGGGCGCTAAGCGGTATGGGTGAAATTCCCTTGTGTCGTCGCCGAAATATGCGCCGGCGAGGAAATAACATGGGATGGGGCTTAAAGATGTGGAATTGGTCGGCGGGCCTAGGCGAGTGCGGGACAATGCAACTTGCGAACGGGACGCTAGCCGAATTAGCGCGAGCATCAGCGAGGGAAAAGAGCCTAACGACGAAAAGGGAACAACACACGGACATTTTTCTCGAGGATGACAGTGGTTTAGCGGCGCTGGGCTTGTCTTACTCGATCTTGCGCTTTGGGGGTGGGGGTTCCGGAGCACGTTTGAGGGTGGCTGATTGCATGGGCTCGCCCCTCGCCAACGGCGATCAGCATGCCTTAGTCATACGTCGGCGTTTAGTTTTGAGATTAGATTAGATTCGGCAGTGCGACTTTCCGGGGACGACGTCGCTTAAGGTAGCCACAAGTGACGACGACCTTACCGAGGGAAGTGACGACTCACGAGCAGCGACCGAGGTGACGAGAGAACCCCGGCAACCGGCCGCTTACCGCGTACAATAAGCCGTAAGCCTCCAGCAATGCGGTGTTTTCTGTGGGCCGACCTTCATCGCAGATCGGGTATACGCACGTGCCCGCCCCAACCTTACGGCTTCACCCGCGGCTCTTTTTTTTCGACAGCGTCGGCCACGACCAGAGGGCTTTGACGGCACGGCATTTCGGTTAGGCACTGAATAGGAGGCGACCCGCTGGCGCGAGGGCAGCAGGAGACAGGGTACACATAGGGGGCGATGGGAGCAGCACCACCAGCACCTTGCGGTGGCTGTAGGGGGGTGGGGTGATGCCTACAGCATCTGGCAGCAACGCCGAGAGAGGTGACTAAAGGGGCGATTAGCTCCACACCCACACAAAACACCACTAGAGCCGGGCCAACGCGCGATTAGAGCCAGGCTAGGCCTAAACTAGATCCAGACCGTGCCCCCCCCCCCCCCCCGGGGGTGTTTTTTTTTT